CACGTGCGAGCATGCGCACTACATACATATGGTCCATGTCCAGGACATGACAATAGCGTAACTTGTAGTTCCTTGGTCTTTCTCTTTTGTATAAAAAAGTTTAGATTAAATATTATTCAACTCGGATGGTGAGCCAATTAAATTATGATGAAAAGGAGAAGGACAAAATATTACGAGTTATGACTAACTGTCCGCCAATGTAACCAGATCGTATACAGTCAGCGAGTGCGACAAAATGGCGCAAAACTTACAAGGAGTACTGAGATATACCGTATTTTCCCCATTAAACGTACACGTCTCCATTACTAGTACGTCCCCAATTGTAGTACATGTTGGGTGTGGATCGAAAATATAAAAGGACACGTCTCTATTAATAGTACATGCCGGAATGATGTGATGGGCATCAGTGGGGTACAGATACCAGGGTCCACCTTACTTCGTTTTTCTTACCCGTTCATCGTCATTGTGTCTTTGTACACTGATTCTTACCATGGTTGGGTGTATTTACAGCCTTACAGCATCATTATCACGAGTTGTTTGCCACCCAACCCAGGCAATCAATCTTCCCAGAAACGATGAAAGGACACGTCTCCAATACTAGTACAGTCTCCTATAGTAGTACAGGTCTGACCACCTTTGAAAAAATAAAAGTACTGTACATTTATTGGGGAAAATACGGTACGTCATGTGGAACTACTTGTTATTGTACATAACTAGTCCATCATACAATGTATCATGTCATGTTCAGGAGGTCGCACGTGTCACTGACATGCACTCTCGTTTTGTGTTACATGTAGCTGTGACTTTCGTTAGGGTTCACACTTTTAAGTCACAGGCTTTGTCTTCACCTTCTTTCGCGCCTGCTGATGGAGTTCTTGGCATGCAAGTGTTGTAAGCTAGACGTTTTCACTGCAGTAGTCCAGGGCGTACGCCGCTCGCCTCCAGGAGTGGTTCCCATGCCAACTGATGAACCAACATTCCACACAATTGAAGTGCTGTTTTCGTATCCCGCGGAGTTTCTGCACATTCTCCTCAGACTGGGTGAAATTAACATCCACAAGCTGCTGGACGATGTCATTGCTACGCATTTTTGATTTTAAAAGACTGAACCTTTCCCCGTTTTGTGGATGTTTTGTTCAGCATGACGATTGCATGCAGTCTTGAAAGCTGCCTAAGTTTCGAATCATCTGGAGCAAACATCACACAGGGCAAGCAGAAGCCACCATTGCATGCCTGTCAAAAGACTACCCAGGGTAATTCCTCTAACAAGGATAGTTGAAAGTGGCGCTGTTTGCCATCCATCTGGACACGCACAGGAAATGAAATCCTTCGCCTTCGGTGGCGCACAATGATTGTCGATGACGGAAATCTTTTCCGTGTCCGGCAAATGTCGGGGGACTGGATTCCATTGTAGACGTCGACTTTCAGAATATCCCTTCCAACACACTCCCATGTCACTGAAGTAAGTTTTGGATGATCGAGCAGCTTCCAACAACGGTCGCTCTACAGCTTCGCCGACGATTTCTTCCTCAGCGCTGCTCGTTGCATGCAGTCTTCGCTTGCAAGTCAGGTGCCGCGGTCTGCATTCTCACCTATCTCTTGACCTTCGCCACTAGCACTGGCTACACTCTTTGCCTGCTGCTCAAAATAGCTCTGAATAGAGCGCTGGCCCTCTGGATGTCGACGCTTCATTTTTCCTTTCCACAAAGCGAAAGCATCGTCCAAAACACGACGAACTTTGTCAAAACAAACTGCAACAGAAAATTCGACTCGGAGATCGAGGCGATGTAGAGACTTTGTTGAACCCAGCTCAGTAGGCTGTGTCCCAGCACCGCTTTCACACCTGGGCTAGTCATGTCACCATCCTCGACCTCGGACCGTCTGGCCATCAGGCGCGGACTCCAGGCGCTAGGCATGCACTGCAGAGCTGCATGCACTTACTTGCACTGCGAGCGCAGGGCCTGAAAAGGCTGGATCAAAAATATCCGTACTAATATCGAATTTTTTTTACTGGTTCCCGGGCATCCCGGGAACCGCCCTATGTACGCCCCTGTAGTCAGTTGGCTAACGTTAGAGTAGGCTGTAGTGCTTACGAGTTCGGTGAAAGGTTTCGAGCAATTGCGGCTTGGAGCCAGAGTTTTCTAACAGAGTTCTCTTGATAGTCATGAGCTGGTCTTTTGTGTGATTTGGGTGTGTGCCGAGGTAGGAGCACGCCTCTACAGAACATGTCATGATAGTGGAGTTCAGTAGGATGTTGACATTTGGGTTTGTCACAAGTCGTCTTCGCTCAGCTTCTCCTTTCTACGTTTATTACATAAACTTGAGCCTCCCAAGTTGGGTGGTCAGTTGCTTTGCGTCGTCGAGTTGTAGTAAGGCCGGTATGTCCTACAGTCTTACTAGGTTCGTCATCATCCAGTAACTTTCGGCATTCTTTCTTGCCGTGATGCGTAGCTCGTGCTCTTCTTCGTTGCGCTTTCCTTTCCCTCTTGGACCTTTCCGAACCTGTGCCTTCCAAGTTGGAAGGTTGTTGGTTTGCGCCTTGGAGAAGTGTTGGAGCTAGGTGTCAGGTCGCCGAATGTCTCAGTACTCCTTGTCAGTTTTGTGCCATTTTGTCGCACTCGCTGACTGTATAATATCTTGTTACGTTGGTGAACAGTTAGTCATAACTCGTAACATTTTGTCCTCCTTTTCACCATAAGATAATATTATGTGAGGGATTAATGGGATAAAGGCAAGAATTAAAGAGATGTTCAAACTAAACTAAACTAGGAACGCAGTAAACACAGTTATACAATACAAGCGATGCCGATCAATGAGGTCGTTTGCTGAAAAGAAGATCAAAATACTTCTGAAAAGATGCTGCGTCTTCTAGTATGGTCTTGGTGGGATAAAGGCAAGAATTAGAGATCCTTAGCAAAAGTACGATAACGCTAACTTTTACGGTACTCACTCCCAGCCGTGACAAAAGACGTTATCGGGTAACGGAAAAACGTTACAGAGCTCAAAATAACGGGCCGACGTTCGTTATGGTAATTCTGCAAAAAATGCAAAACTCGCATTGTTTTCTAACTGGCGGGAGATAAATAGCACGTGCAGATCGAGATCAGAGTCGAGATTGCTTCCTCTTGTGACATTTAAGCTTTTTTTGGCGAGTTTTGCCTTTCAGTTGACAATGTCTGCGTCCTCTGCTTCGTGCCTTTCACCCTCTATCCCATCTGGGAAACAAAGGACCGGTTCCGCGGCACTCCTGAGGAAGAAATTCATCGGCCTCTCCCAGACGTGCTGGAGCTGGAGAACCGTTACAGTCTTCGGTGCTGCGTTTAGGAATGGTTTTCCAAGGACCTGGGAACAGCGAAAACTCATTTTCGCCGCGCCTCTGCCATTCCAGAGCGAAAGACCTCGCCAAGGTATTCGTTCGGAACGACAGCAAAGTAATCCCTGGTTCAAAATTTTGAATTTCCCGCACTTGTTTCCACGAAAATTCATACCGCCATGGTTGTCACGACTACATCGTCTGAACTATAACGTACATTGTGCTAAGGGAAAAGTCAGCTTGAACGATCCGAAGTACGGAAAGGTTTGGGTCTACGTTAGTGTTGAGTCGGAACAAGATAGTGACGACGACGGGAACAAGATAGTGACGACGACGGGAACAAGATAGTGACGACGACGGGAACAAGATGGTGACGACGACGACGGGAACAAGATAATGACGACGACGGGAACAAGATAGTGACGACGACGGGAACAATATAGTGACGACGACGATGGTAACAAGATAGTGACGGCGACGGGAACAAGATAGTGACGACGACGACGGGAACAAGATAGTGACGACGACGACGGGAACAAGATAGTGACGACGACGACGACGGGAACAAGATAGTGACGACAACGGGAACAACAGGAACAGGTAGGTTGGTGGAACGACATTTATTAGAAACGGGACAAGAGACCAAGACGAACGAAACGACTACATGGTGATTATTGAAGAGGGAGATTATTGAAGAGAGCTTATTGAAGAGAGAGAGTAGAGAGAGCAGCAACGCAATATAAAGGGCCTGGGTAGCTATGGCAAACATGGACGCGCAAGTAGCTACCCAGGCCAAATGAATAATGCATGAACTAAGAATTAATATAATATTGTAATTACTTGTAGGCCAAACATTAGCGTTTCTTTTTTTGCTAAGGATATCTATTAAAGAGAAGTTTAAACGAAATTAAACTAAGAACGCAGTAAACACAGTTATACAATACAAGCGATGCAGATCAATGAGGGCGTTTGCTGAAAAGAAGATCAAAATACTTCTGAAAAGACGCTGCGTCTTTTAGCATGGTCTGAAGGTGCTTAGCAAACGTAGAAGTGCGGTGCTGGGTGCACCACAGGCAAAGAATTAAAGAACAGTGCAGCACGATTTGAAAAGGAATTGACACCGTCAGTCGTCCGGAATTTAGATATTGCAATAGCAGCATTAAAAGAGCTTCTTGTTGTCCTAGCGCCGGTTGAAACTAGAGGGAAAAGGCGTGTCAGATTCGGGAGAGGGAAAACGACATGATTAACATGGATAAATTTAGCAATGCTACGAATAAGGTAATGTTCAAACGGATCAATCGACAATCTAGCTAGTCATCATCACAACAGAGACTATTTACCACCTGCTCATTAATAAACATGTCCAGGTTGGCATGCATCCAGGATTGGTCACTGCATCCAGGGTTGGTCACTGCATCCAGGATGGGTCACTGCATCCAGGATTGGTCACTGCATCCAGGTTTGGTCACTGCATCCAGGATTGGTCACTGCATCCAGGATTGGTCACTGCATACAGGATTGGTCACTGCATCCAGGTTTGGTCACTGCGTCCAGGATTGGTCACTGCATACAGGATTGGTCACTGCATCCAGGATTGGTCACTGCATACAGGATTGGTCACTGCATCCAGGTTTGGTCACTGCGTACAGGTTGATAAGACTCTACACGTGTTTGTCCCTTTTGGCAGGTCACCAACTTGACAATGGAGCTGAACACGGCGCAGGCACAGGGCTCCATACTGCACGTCGATCACGAAACATCGGCGACCACACTCAACCGTGCGCTACTGAGCAATCCGACAAGGGACTATTTATCGTATCGTTGTCCGCTCAGATTTCCGAGAATTCTGGATGAAAATCTTACGGCATTTGCGGTAAGGAGAGGATGTAATGTGCTTGTCCTCGGTGCCACCTATCGTAGATGGTGCCCTCTTTACTTTCCCAGTACGCCCAGGATCCGCTATCCCCCAATAGATCAACACACTTGTCACCAGTCAACAGCAATGGCATTTCACAAACTTCACACCTACCACAAAACCTCACACAAGACAAAGCCTGACAAGAAGAGACCATGCATGACGGGACTAAACTCAGGACTTGTAAAGGGGAGGAAACCCTTCTCAGCATATGAGCATGCCAGGCACAGCTCAAACATCTGTGGGGTGGTGACCATCTACCATCGGCAACCTTATAGTCACCCTTTTGCCCATGTTGACTGTGTAGTGCCCATGACGGCGGCCGTGTGCTGGTGTGGTGACCGAACTACCCTGACTGTACACGAGCAACGCACCTGAGCATACACCCATCCAGTGCATAAACACAAATTGCACAACAGTCAAAAGCGTGACAACGACATCATAAGAATTGTGCATTGCAGCTGTGCACCAAGCATTGCAGCACTGTGACCAGTAATTGAACTGAAAGGAAATACTGGACTACCCAAGGTAGCACCAACGCAAAACCCAATGAAAATGGTCTTTCAAAAAAAATGCCAGCAACAAGCAATGATAACAATTTTACCACAACGCCACACCACCAATATATTGGCAAGAAAATCGAGGCACTAGATGAAGGCACACAGGACAAGCAGTAGCTTCACAAGTAGTTCATTATACAAGGAAAGGGAAAAGAACCATGAACAACAGCGCACATGCTCCAGATATAAATACTAGTAGAGTAGGAGTCATAATATGTGTACTCTTGTTACTAATATGTAGTGACGTAACAAACACCATCCACGGACAGTTCTCCGGTAGGTGATCTTCAGCTCAGCAAACATTATTTTACTGTCAAACAGTCTTAACCGGGCACCCATGTTTGCTGGTACATCTGTATTAGTTATGTGCGCAGAGTGATGCTGGCACATGGTGCATAACCATTTACTTTTGCATAGCCTATTCGTTTTCTAGTCGGAGGTCAATTAGCCAACTGAGCAAATTCTAGAAGTCCAGGGCAATAAAGTGCCCAGCATGAATATTGTCCTTCTTCTTTGCCAAAGAAAATTTTATCTTCTGTAATACACACACATACCAAGCAGCATATGACTGGTCATTTTTTTGCAACTTAACTTCCGTCAACATGTAGCTCGGAGGCATTCGATGACGGACAGTTCTGCACCTGTTTTTCTGGCTGTTTTTCTGATGCAGCATATTCTAAAGGCCAGTTCAGACGGCGCTTCTGCCTTCTTCATGAGCGACCTCAAAACATGTGGCATACGATACCGCCACCTGATGTCATTCCTATACGATTCTCCGATTGAAAACCCTCGTTACTGCATGCCTTATGCGCCTGCCAAGTGGGATATGGTTAACAGTAAGTAACTGGTGTGTTGCACATTAACATACACATACACACACGTACACACACGTACACACGTACACACACGTACACACACGTGACCACAGCAAACTCGCTGATGTGGGTTACATATGAACACATGCATGCACACACGTACACACACGTACACACACGTACACACACGTGACCACAGCAAACTCGCCGATGTGGGTTACATATAAACACATGCATGCACACATGCACACACGTACACACACGTGACCACAGCAAACGCACTGATGTTGGTTACATGTGAACACAAGCGTGCAGCGGTAGCACAAGCGTACAGCGGAGCATGTAGCAATGCAGGAGATTTGAGTAGCATAGTTTGAGCGGTGAGCGGTAGCATGCACCAGTGTGGATCCGTTAGTCTGCATTATTACTATAATGCTACACACACACACGCGCGCGCACATTTGTACTGATGTTGGTTACATGATGTGCACTGATGTTGGTTACATGTGAACACAAGCGTGCAGCGGTAGCACAAGCGTGCAGCGGAGCATGTAGCAATGCAGGAGATTTGAGTAGCATAGTTTGAGCGGTGAGCGGTAGCATGCACCAGTGTGGACCCGTTAGTCTGCATTATTACTATAATGCTACACACACACACACACACACACACACACACACACACACACACACACACACACACACGCGCGCGCGCACATTTGTGCTTCTACAGTCCATTCATCCCAAACTGGCACCATAACTTTGTGCCTTGCATTTAAAGTATATTGGGAGATAAAGTGAAAAACAACTCTACATCCTGCATTCCATGACCGGTGTATTCTTCCTTGACGCTTTTGAGTCCAAAAAAGGTGCAAGGATAGGGAGTTCAATTTTTGGCCAGGTTTTACCAAGTTAGAACAGGCATACCTCAGCAAAATGTACGGCAAAGAAGGTCAAGCACCCATATTGAGCCTTTTAAATTTGGAAAAATTGGGCTTTCAAAAGCCAGCGGGGCTATGTTGGATTGTGCCACGGGTGGATGCTGAATAAGTTTTTAAAGCTGCTCCAGTGTTCTTACATACATGGCAGCATGGAGTTAAACACCGTTGCAGGCGCTAGCAGAACTGTTTTTCTTGGTGGCTGAGCGCAGCAAAACACCTATTTTTCACTCACAACATATTTTTAGCTAGCTGTTCAGACCTTCTAGGGCTCAATAGCGCAGCTTAGAGTGACTGGCCATTTGACTGGTCATTTGAGCCACTTGAACCTATGTTGAAGGACCACGTGTGTTACAAAGACATGTTATGCAGTCACTTATTAACACATGTTCCACTGCATGCACATTCTGTTGTGATGGACTGGTCACTGCAGATGAGACCGCATGCGATCAGTACTACTGCGCAGTTCTGGAGCAGTATGCGCATGACGGTTCTTGTCTAGAGCAGTGTGCACGCCAAGAAACGCCGATACCACTGAGGCTAAATTGTTCAATTGGTAGAAGAACACTCCCGGATGAACGTGTCCTGTCATGGACATACCCTTCCTGTCTGGAAAACATCACAAACCACTTTGGTAAGTCTGAACTACAAGACGTTGGCATGCATATGTGTGTATTTGTGTATGTGCACTTGTCTGTGTGTGTGTGTGCACGCGCGCGCGTGTGTGTGTATTTCTGTGTGTGTGCTGCATCATTGCGCGAAATCGCGCATCTATGAGCGACATCCACATAAACTGCTGGGACCATGGTTGTGTACTCGAATCTCATTCTGAGCACCCTTTTTTCTTCCTTTTTTCAGCCGTTTTTTTGCAAAAAGTCCTCGAGCTCGATTTTTTTTGATCGATCGTTCTTCAAGGAAAGATGAGTGGACAATCGATCAACAGGGCCGAGGACGAATGCGTCTGGTTGGAGTTCTTGCGTGGCACAGGATGACCAGACACACATATAGATACATTGCGACGATCTAATCTGCACAGTGTTTCCTAATACCGCACGCACGACGACGGTAAGTACAATTCATGTGATTTCAAATTGTTTGTGATCTACAACGTCGCGAGCAGGACGGAAATACAGCAACAGCATGACAACCGTTATACCAGGCAGTAACCAACAGTCACCTCCGTCACATTCTCCAGATCAGAAGGCAAGTGAGGCAGTGAACATGAAGAAATAAAGTATGAAAGAATGAAAAGTGAATAATTCAAAAATCTCAGAAACGTTGAACGTAAAAAACACTGAGAACAAGAAAAGTGACTTACTTCGATGGCAAAAGACAAAGCGAATGTTCCTCGTATGGACCTGGCTCTTGCGGAATCAGCCACACTGTGGAACCATGTGTTTGATTCCACAAGGGATGGCTACCTGCTCCTCACCAACCAGCCTCCACGACGGTGGTAAAGTCGCCAAAAATACGAAAGTTGAACATTTTGTGCAAGCATGCAATAGAAAAGTTGTGCTGAGTATGTCGAGTGGCCATTCGCACAGGACAAAGCCGTTGCGCAAGCTGTGACCCTGAAATTTCGTCCACTGGTAGCGAGGGTAACCCTGAGCTGGAAAGTGTAAGGGATGGCATGCTACACTCCCCCGCATACGCTTGACAGCACGATTTGAGGCGTGGAGTAGTAATATACCAGTATCTTACTACCCCTTGATACCTGATGCATGGACGTCGTCATCTTCATCCCGCAGATCGAAAATGTACAGGTGTCGCGTGATTTCGCGCAATGTGGTGGAGGACGGTTGATGTTTTTCGAGCTCCCTTCTCTGGTGTTTCTCTAGATTTTTCCAGGCCTTAGGCGGCCCTGTGGGCCAGCCCTTGGGCCAGTAGAGCGCCTTCAACAAAGGGGTTGACGTAGGTTGAGGACGGGACGGCGTTTGATGCCGTCACCTCTGCCTGCACCCTTCGTTGCTACTCGCGGCGGTTTGACAAGCCCCAGTATGAAATTTGTCAATGAGAGGAGAGAGGAGAGGAGACGTCGTCGTATGCGCTTTGGGTGCTGGAACGTGAGGTCTCTGGTGGAGCGGGACGGCAGGATAGAGACGGCGGCTGTATCTGGTCGCGTTGTTGAGGACAGGAAAGTTCACCGGGTCGTCGGCGAGTTGAGGAGATTGAAAAGAAGGGGCGACGGGACTACAGGAGACGCATTTGTTTGGCTGCGACAGCTACGTCGTGGATGGATTCACGGTGCTCAGCGCTGGACTTCCGCCACCTGCCAGTGCAAACAATCCGTGTATGCTCGGCTCCTAGTCGGATTTATTTATAATTTTTCTAGAGTGCTGTTTGTATGTAGTTTACATGTATATTCCATAACCATTCTGGTCGTAGGGACGCCAAATGCCAGAGTGTTAGCTCCACTTTATATGTTACAGTACAGCTGGGCGTCGAGGAACGACCAGGCTAGAGTTTCACCAAAGCCCAGCATACCAGTGTATACAATCATGGAGACTCAGCTGTGCATAGACTGTATTCCATGAAAATAAGAACGGTCTAGGCTAGGAGGCTGACCCCTGTAGGAGTTGCATTTTAATAGAAAGTATATTTTTCGCAGTAAAAGAGTATTTATTTGTAGAGCTTGTGTTGATACAGATTCCTAGGTTCAAACCCCAAGATGGGCAGTTAGTTACATTTTTTCTCTCCTTGCGTATTTTGTATCTGCATGTTATTACCCTTTCCGTGAGTCGCTCGTGAGTAATGTATGAGTCATGTATGGCTAAACCCGTATTTACCCGTATGACTGCTGCTAGTGTTATTGTTCTAGACCATTAGCATAATTAACCAATCACAGTTCACAGCTCTGGAATATTCTAGAATTTCGTCGGCGACCGGTTTATATAGATTGCTCATTGGTTGATGACCTAAAAACATGGCTGCCGTTCGCCGCGTGTTTTGTCTTCTTGCATTGTTCTTTTCTTGTGCTCCTTTCACTTCTTATCTTTACTTGCCGAGTGTGTAACTAATAATTCTGTCCTAACGAGTATTCGTGAAACCACAAAGTGAGTGCTTTGTTTGAGTGTGTGAAATTGTCTCCGAGGGCCAGCTACTACATTGGTGGCAGCGGTGGGATTCGAACCCACGCCTCCAGTTCTTCGGTGACCGACAGTACTGTAGGGTAGGTAAGTGAGGGTCTTGTGTGGTCTTGTGTGGCTTATTACAAGTTATTAGTGCCTAACATGCACAAGCTATAGACCCAAACTGTGAAATGCCCTAACTATCATGTATTTTAGAACGAGTTCAAGGCATTCCCCCTGTGCAGAAGCTAACCAAGTAGCTGTTTTTCAAACAGTGTCCGGCTGATCGTTACCAATTTGAGTTGAATTGTAAAAGAAATAGAATGCAGTGTGTGTGCATGCCCACATTTTTGGTGTGGTTGTTATGGTTTGTGTGAAGAGAGAATTGAAGAAAATGAAATGCTGTGTTATTCTTGTAAGCATCTTATGGTTGCTGTAGCTTCCCGTTCTGGATTCTCACGTGATGCCTTTGAGACCCCGGTGCGGCTGAAACTCCGGAAACTATAATGAAAGAAAATGACAACAATAATTATTAAGCTCGGGCGGGTGTAGTTCGGGTGGGTGTAGTTCCTTGGTCTTCATTTCTTCTTATAAAAATAATTATTAAAGTGAATGTAAATGCTTCATGGTGGAGTGCATAGAAAATGGGACAAGATCAGAAGGAAATAGCCCAGAAACATGACGGGCAATGATAGAAAGCAGAGGTTGAACATGACGGGCAATGATAGAAAGCAGAGGCATGACGGGCAATGATAGAAAGCAGAGGTTGAAGTTCATCTTTCTCTTTTGATTGTTATGTTCAGATGAACTGGAGTCTAACGCCTCTGCTAAAAGTCAAACATGTCAAAGGTACACGCCTCGCAGTGCGGCGGGCAAGGATACTCGTACTTCGCCTGTCGTTCTGAACGGTATCTGCCATGGGTACAATGCAAGTGTCTGTGAGAGACCCAACGCATACCTGCATCAACCACCGAATGCCTGCTACAGCCAAAAGCAGGGCCTACTAATAGTAAATAATTTTCAGAAGCAGCGCAAGCCTGGTGCCGGTGCCTTCCCAATCGCTTCCAAACCAGCGTGGCTGATATTTGAATCCACGTCCACCGCTTGCTACAAGACTGTCGGTGATCAAGTATGGTACTTTGGCGAGAATTGTGCACAGAAGGACATCTTCTCTAGAGCACTTCAGAGCCCGTAAGCAATACGTTACTATACCACACATTTAAATTTTACGCTAGCCAAGTTATCTAGTCTGAAATTTCCAGGCAGCTGATACTTGAGGAATTTGGGGGGGGGGGGGGGGGCGCAGTTTTGGACCAAAAATCTTTTTTTTTCTCTGGCCCTGTAAACATGGTCTTCACAGAGATCATTTGTGAAATAGGAATTAGGGGCCACCGGGAGTTTAAATACTGTTAACATCCCACTGCACACACAGACATTCAAGACCAGGTTTGGGCGAGATCGGGACTCACAGTGGGTGAAATGATTAGGCTTACACCGTGCTTCCACATGGTAGGTCAAATGTGGAAGGGGCAGCTAAGAGGTTAGGCTTACACCGCACTTCCACATGGTAGGACAAATGTGGAAGGGGCAGCTAAGAGGCTAGGCTTACACCGCACTTCCACATGGTAGGACAAATGTGGAAGGGGCAGCTAAAGAGGTTAGGCTTACACCGTGCTTCCACATGGTAGGACAAATGTGGATAGGCTGCTAACACGGTTACGCTTACACCCTGACAACCGCATGGTAGGACGAATGCGGCGGGGCTGGTAACCTGGAGTTAAGTGACCAGCTCAAAGGCTTATGGAGTGCTTTGCAGGCCACCTAACAAATACCACCATGTTGTAAGTCCCTATTTATTTGTAATGTTGATATGAGTTGCTTTTGTGGTGAGTCTGGCACCATAGAAAGCGTTAAAGTTGGGTGGGTTTGGGATGGGGAAAATTCTGGCAGAGAGCTGGTTTGTGAGAAAACAGCGAGCCAGAGCAGCAAGCAAGCGTGGAACAACAAATGCTTGAAAGTAGAATCGGTACGCACAGGCAGCTTAGTGAGCCAGCTGCCATGCTAAGCTGACGTCAGTGAAGGGCGCGCAGCCCCCGGTCGTACGTGTTTGCAACATGTGCACGTGGTCGCATTCACAGACAGTGACAAGGCCAGCACAGCGTATCAGCTGTGGTATGGGTAAGGAACAAGTGCAACGTGGACCCTATGCAAGAGAGCCAGCTGAGAGGGTGTTACGTGACTGTTAACTACAGTTAATGCTTCGCATAAACTGATACAGTTGTCCCTCTCTAATCCGGCACTTGTTTATCCAGCACCCTTGCAAACCAGCACACTTTCTGGCAAAACGGATTTTTTCAGTTCATTCTCTACGCTTTAATCCGGCACTTGAATTCCGCCTCCAGCAGCGATTTCCTGCAACAAATCACTCAAACTGCACATAATTCGATTTTCTAATCCAGCAGTTGTACACCGCATACCGTCAGGGAGCATTGTAACATACACAACACATGTAACATACATTTGGGAATATCCTATGCCAGTGCATAGGATATTCACAAATGTATGTTACAGAGACATGCATTCCACAAAGTACTTGGATTGACACAGAAAATCACTACGTTTTGATGTACGACACACACATGTATGTTAACAGGTGGGCCGGGTTGGAGGGCAGGATTTGATAATCCAGCACCCTTGTTTATCCAGCAGAAAATGCCGTTGCAAAAGGTGCCGGATTAGAGAGGGACGACTGTATTTGTATTCTGGTTCAAAGGTCCCAAGTGTGGCTGATTTGCCCTAAATTCCAATGGTTGCAACCACAATATCACCAGGGAATGATATGGAAACCCTCAAATTTTATTCCAGATGCAGAATCAGCATGATACTACTCCCTGGCAGTTCACCAAAATATGCAAATAATTGTGGGAAGAAATTTTGGTGAAAAGTCACGAGAAAAACTGTTTAGGTGTTAATATGGCCCAGCGGCAATCGACGTCACAGTGACTCTCCTTGGGAAAGAACAGCAAGTAATAGTTATATTCGTCCCGGAGAGGGGATGATGCGGACATTAGTGGGACTCTCTACCAACACGTTGACACATACATGTAACACCTGACTCCTCTGAGTTGTTTGTATATGCAATGAATAAGCTACAGTCAATTCAGAAATAGTTGAGGTGACCAGCATCTCTGTACATTCATCGATGAAAACAGTGGCAAAATTACGAATCCTAGCTGAAAAGCTGAATTCAGTCTATGTGTTCATGTCATCACCCAAGTGTTCAATAACTGTACAACCTCTAGTATTTATAAATGTGTAGTTTGAAGTCTAGCATAGGTGGCAATGATTCATAGCCGTAGCAATACGGCGTACTATGCATAACAACACTAGACTCCCAGGCAGCTAGCCATTTGGACTTGCCGTGCCTCAGCCAGCAGAGCGACCCAGAGCGACTGGTCACACTGACAGCACTAAAGCCTCGTGAACAAGAACACATTTTTAAATTGGCTGAAAGCATCACAGATGCAGGGCTCTCTAACTAGCTCTGACAAGAGCAAGCACAGCAAAATGGAGTAGGTAATAACTAAAAAAAAACTCTCGTGGCAAGGTATTCTATAACTGCGGCAGCGCTACTAAGGGACGACGGTAACCCATGTAGCTGCATGCGTGTTGTGGATGTAAGCGTGTGCACACTTGGCTGTTGACAGTGCCTTTTTGTGGTGCTGCGTATTGGCAGGGTGGAACTGCAGCTGAGGACAGACTGTGCTTTGCTGGAAATGGCAGAGACATACAGCAAGCGCCGGTCCACTCTCCTACCCATCTTGCCCGGCTACTATCATGTGCTTGTGCCCTGGGCATCCATGCTTCACAACTGGGACCGGGCAGATGACGACAAGAAGTGTTCCGCTGACACTCGGGGCTTGTTGCGAGGCAAGGCCACCAGCATATCTAGAATAACGTTGAATCCTGCTCCAGGGGAGATGTTCAGTCTGCAGGTGACAGCTTATGATCAGGTGTTGCGCATGAGAGGAACGGCATTGAAAGTCAGGGTAAGCAGATGTATTATTATTATTATTATTATTATTATTATTATTATTATTATTATTATTATTATTATTATTATTATTATTCTCTAAAAAAAATATCGATATTACTTTGTGGACGATCCCTTAAATAGTAATACTATAGCCATGTATAGGGAGGGGAGGAGAAAAAAATCACAAGTGAAAGAAGTCACCGAAGGCAACTGAATAGGTTACAGATAGATCTGCGGGAAAAAGAACCCTTATTATTATTGTCTTTCCCTCAAACTAGTCAAGATATTATTATTATTATTATTATTATTATTATTATTATTATTATTATTATTATTATTATTATTATTTAAATAGGCGTCGAGGCGACAATAGTTTTAGAATTGCGATCAACAGAACGAGCTGAACCGACATTTCACAAAGGCTTTTATTGTTTTCAAAAAACGAGTGGACGCATCAAGCAACACACTCCTTTACACATTATCCCACGTAGCGCACAACTGGAGCGTCCCACGCGGGGAAGACCCCGTAAACAACCACTACCTCCGCCAACACAGGACCTAGCGTCCCATTCGGCAAGTCCACCATTGGCTCCCGTGGCCATGACCAAGTCACTCCCTCCACCAGCGGAGGTGGATGTGGCTTCGGCGACGCCACGTGTGTTGCATGCAGACACGTTTGCATCAGCATCGCTTGCTGCATCACCGGCAGAGACGACAAAAATACCTACCTCAATATCAACGAGACCCAGAAGAACAACTGCTAATTACACCATGACCTATTTCAGTACGGAAGTACCGAGCCAACGTAATACACAACAGGAACGTGAGACGAGGGATGGGAGGAGACGGGACCTGATTGCTCCGAGGCAGGACGTCGTTGAGGAGGATTCGGCCAGTGAGTCCAGTGATTCCGGTGAGTGTGAGAGCGAGAATGATTGTGTGAGTAAGAGTGGGTGCGAGCGTGTGTTTTCTAGTAGGAAGTCATCAGTGTATAAGCATCTTGCATCTCGTCCTGATTGTTGCAAGGTGTATTCTGATTCTTCTTTTTCTGTTTTGTGCCGTGCTCGTCATGGTTATAAGTTGCAGTTGAGTGTGTTAGAAGCTGTTTGTCAACGTATTCATAAGCCTGATCTGTGTGTCCAGAAGGACAGCATTATTCGTTTGAAATTGTTTTAGTGGCAGCTTGTTCTGTCGGTTTGGCTTTGGTTGGCCATGGTGTCATATCTTGTGTCACAGTATACTAGTAGTCCTTACAAGTTCGTTAATTGCTTTCGCAGTTTTTCCTGTTATTACCTTAGTGCTAGGATTATCATTTTCATAGGTGTTGTTTCTTCTCACTCCATTTCTCTTTATTAGTATCTTTCTGGATTGTTTTTCATTAGTACAACGTAGCTTCCTGAGGAGTGTTGTGCGAAAACTAGTTCGAAGTACAAATTTTTTGTTCATCATTTTTTTTTCCATATCACATTTTTTCTTTCTTCCACGTTCTTCACTGCCTTCGTATCCACTCGTTTTTTGAAAACAATAAAAGCCTTTGTGAAATGTCGGTTCAGCTCGTTCTGTTGATCGCAATTCTAAAATTATTATTATTATTTTTTTTTTTTTTTCCATTATTATTATTATTATTATTATTATTATTATACTATTATGTGAGATGAAATAAAACAGGAATTATTATTATTATTATTATTACTTGCATGTACGCGTTGGAGTCAACCATGCAAGCATGATCCACAACTTCGCTTATGCTGAACATGATAAACAGGACTATGACAGGGAAAAAATGAGCTAGAACGATGATAATAAAAATTATGATAACTATACAATGTTAGCTCATTGGTATTGAAGATATGTCATTTATGAATATGTCTATTTATGAATATTGCAGCCTGAGTGATAATGATAGTGCTATTTTCCTGAGTTTGACTGTTTCAGGATCTGTTGGAATATCACAATGCACAGACCCTCATGCATAGATCTCAACATGCTGGTCTGTCATGGGCAATGGCTCGCAGGCTCTGCAGAGCCTCTGCCATGGTCTACTATTGAGCAATCCAGCATTGGCTTGGCGCAGATCTCCCACCATAAAGGCATAATAACCATGATAACTACAGCCGAGAACCACGTAGTACATATAGTGGAAAGCTACACAAGATGGGCAACCCATTTTCATGTACAGACAATTTGCAAAAGCGTTCCGAACATTCAGGGAGGAGACATTACTTGCATGACACATTGGCAGAACGAACAAGGCAGACTCGAAGTTACCTGCAGGGCTTGACGAGCAGCGAAACGGCTAAAGAGGGAATGGAGCGGAGTGTTAGAGCACGCGGACGGCCAGTGTCATCGTGGGGTCGCGACTTGCAGCTGTTCGGCTTGTTGGTCACCCGGAGCTCCGTCAACGCGGGCATGGAGCTAATGCGAGCGCGTGGCCGAGGTTGCGCTGACTAGTTGGCGGCGGCTAGCCGAGCTTGACGACTTGTACTACGGCCTCAGTAACGGAGCTGCCACCCAACACCTGAAACACAGTGGCTGCAGAGTCTTGGAAGCAGATATACATACTACATAACCTGAATCATGTTTGACCAAGGAGTTTTCACATCACACCGGAAAAGTAAACAAAATTGCAAAGTTGCCACAGTAAAACCTGGGTTAAGCGACTTCTGGTATTAACGACCACCTGATTTTAAAGACTGTTTTTCCATGCACAAGCAAGTCAGCATAGAAACTGTACTGGAAACAGTGACCACCTGGGTTGTGCGACCAACTACCAACTTTTAGTGTACCACGTGCCATATAGGACCTGTATACAGAGACCATAAGTGACGTCCGGGCTGGCGTGCTTGACCAAAAAATGATTGAAGTGCGCTCAGAAGGGAGTGCATGCCTTATGGAAGCAACAAGTGACAGTGCAGGGGGGAGGGGGGTTGCATGCATTTGAATGAGGTGTGCTTTGTCTGAATAAAATGTTTCTGTCCTGCCACTTGTCCATATGAGTACATGGAAGTGTGTGGACAGTTCGGTGTGCCCCGAAGGTATGGGACATTGGTCTAAAGACCGCTTTTGCCGCTCGCACTGTGGGGCGGTCAATTAAACCAGGTTGTATTGAGAGTCATGCTCCAGGGAAGCATCACAGAAACACATCACTGGTAGCTACATACCGGCAAAATTGAATACTGTTCCGTGTACATGCTTTTACTTTAGCCTAGTATTAACTTCAGGTGAAATTTTGTTTGCATGATATCAATATGGTATTGCAGTGCACAGACAGGAGCGGTCAGGCCTTAAATGTGTTTTAAAAAGAAGGTTATTCTCCAGAAATTCACCGGAAACATTTTCATCTTCATATCGCCGCTATTGTCATGCTGTTACCTGTGTAGCAACGTTATATGAGACGCTAGAAACCTGTATTTAATGCAAGAGCAAATGTATAGCCGAGAAGTAGAGCCATGAACCAAGGCATAAGCTGTTTCAACTTGTGCAGAACAGTGACTCTTGCAAAGTAGAATGTGAGGTAAAGCCACTACACTGTATCTAGCCTGACGTGTGTTACCACTCGAATGCCGCACGCCGCACAGCGTGGGTTACTGTGAGAACTGAGACCTGTATCCGTGCTGTTTGTCGGTATGCACGCTCACAGTAATGCGATCATCAGAGTGTTCTAAAGTGATAACACGTTGTGGTCATTGCAGGTAGATTGTACGGAGATGGTGCGCAAACAAGGTCGAACTCACGATACTTGCAATAGCTTGGCACACGTGGGGAGCATGTATTTGGAATCCCAATAGTCCTTCAGCAAACGTGGAGTGCAGTGTGCACGCATGCCACTTATTGGTAAGCAATGTTCTGCACATACCCTGGATGCGCTGCAGGTTGTTTCCGAATACCCTGTGGTGATGGGACACATGAGCTATCTCATCCTGCCAGACCTTGGCCAGGTCTTCTTTTCTGCGGATCCCATTCAGAACATCTCGCTGTACGGGCCACCCGGTGCCATTGGATCCATTGAGCTCAGCGTGAAGGGTAAGCCGGTGCACAGCTGTTATGTCTTGATTGACGTTACTGTCCGGCTGGGCTTTGTATTGAGGGGCAATCCAATGCTTCTGCTAGCACTCCATACAAACACCTCAAATGATGATGCAGTCATATATTCTCTATGTACGTAGCCAAGAGTACGTAGCCCCCCCCCCCCCCCCCCCCCCGAATTATGTAGCTCCAGTCTACATCTCCAGCCCATGGGGTCTGGGATGGCAGAACTGCACATCACGGTACAACCACGTACACACTATTGGCACCCTACTCGGCATGACAGATACTGAGAGTTGTATGCAGTCCTGCTTCGGGCGCAGGTCTCCGGTGGTCACTTTGCACTGTTTTCCAGCGTAGCTTTTTGAACACACACCTTCAAAATACAATTATGTAGGCTAAGAGTGTTAATAGGGCGATACATTCTATTAAACTGCTGCAGCTTCTGCTGTTGCTGCTGTTGCTACTGCTGCACCATCTGCTGTTGCTGCTGCTGCTGCTGTTGCCGGTGTCACTGCTGCTGCTGCTGTTGTTACTGACATCTTTTTACTTTGCCAAGTGAACACGCACATAGAGCCTTTTCACCATTTCCTAAAAATCGCGATAATTTTGTGGAAGAAGAATTGTCTTCTAACACACCATGCCTGATAATGTTTATTTCTCTACTCCCTACTTCTGTGCCAACACAAGGTGAGATCACATTCAAGGATCTCTGGGACTCGTTTCTGTCTCTGACAATCCCGTTTCGTCTGCGCCAGTGTCACCAAGGCTTCCTGAAGATGGATGAAACAAACAAAACCGTAAGGCAATGGGCTCATAGAGAGCAAGTCGTTTAATTGATCTACACATTTCTCATACCCATACATCTTCATGACACTCTCTCAAACGGTCTCTGCGTTACACTAAAAGAAGAAAAAAAGAGATAATCTTAAATTGAAACAAGGAAAACGGTGGGGCACAAGTTATGCGTTAGAGTCCACCAACTAAACCAGGTTTTGAACAGTCAGACGTGCACAAGGTAGCACCAGACTGACAAGGAGTACTGAGACATTCCACAGCAAGGAAGTGAGCTTGAGCACTGCTCGATAGCGCTAACCAACGGCCTTTCGACTTGGAAGGTTCATGGATATTAGTGATAATTCCAAAGAGGGAAAGGTCTGACTGAAGGTCACACAACTACCCAATAATGGCAATATAAGGGCACAGAAGAATAATGCAAGTGAGATAATGCATGTAACCTCGTTCTAAAATAGTTAGCGCATGGCAAGAAGGGCCTTATGGCTTGTTTGTGCCCTTCAGGTTAGCCATCGGGTCTACGGCCCTCAGGCTAACTAGGCTGTGGGGCACTAACAAGGTAAAAGGCCCTCCTTGTCATGCACTTACCTACAACTAGTACTACTACTGCTCTGTATGTACAACATTAATATAATAATATTGATTGGCGCGGTAAAACTTGAGCTAAAACACTCCTTTCGCTAAATTTGCTAAAATATAACCGGCGCTAAAATTAGCCGTTGTACAATAGTGCTTCTGCTGAAAATTGATCATTGCTCTGTGTCTCTGTATCTCTGTCTGTCTGTCTGCTTTCCGAAGAAGACACCTGTCAAAACGTCAAATATGTCAGTGTCTCTCAGGGTCAAATACTGCTCCTGCACTGTGGTTTGCTTTTATCAAGAGTACATAACCAAGAGTGTGCAACTCTTATCTCGAGCTGTGATTGGTTCACCCACGGTGGAATTTTTGTATTGCGTCATTCTTTGGCAGAAGCACGATCAAGTGTGTATGCTTTCCCGCGCTTGTTTTGTAGATACGGTGAGAGTTCATCAGGTTCAAGACACATCGATCTATCGTCTGTTGTTCTGCTTCGACTACCGTAGCTGTGATGTGCACATTCTTTGTACTTTGATCTCTGGCTACGCATGATGGCACCAGTGAGCCAAACGGCCGCCGAAGACTGATTTCATAAAAGAACATTCCACCATGGGCTGGGGATCGTCGAGTTGCACACTCTTGGTTATGTACTCTTGCTTTTATCCAGTTGCCTGTCTGTTCGTCTGTCTGTGTGTCTGTCTGTCTGTGCGTCTGTCTGTGTATGTCTGTCTGTCTGTCTGTCTGTCTATCTGTCTGTCTGGGTGTCCGTGTGTCTGTCTGTTTGTGTGTCTGTCTGTGTGTCTGTCTGTGTGTCTGTCTGTCTGTTCGGCAAAAGCTTGATATCCATACGATGACACATGCCAGCACAGGTCCAGCCAAGGAATTCACAAAATGGCAACAGTGGATAGGCGGACCACACAACAGAACCAAGACTACACCGATTGATACTGGTGTGTTAACGTTTCGACGGTTGTCTTGTTCGGAATGATAATGAGGAAGATAACCGTCAAAACGTTGATGTACTCGTGTCAATCACTCTAGCCTTGCCCTTGTTGTGCAGTCCGCCTATCCACTGTTGTATTGTTTGTCTGTCTCCCTGTCTCTCTCCCCTGTTCCTTCTCTTTCTCTGCAAATGTGGCTGCCCAAAACTGGTACCGTAAGATAGGCGCACACAAACCGTGTTACCCAAGCAGAATCTTTATAGATGTGCGACTAGGCCCGACAACCTACACAGCATGCAATCCATGCTTTAGCACACCGTTGACTTCGCGTGCGCTGCTGCTTTGTTTGGCTTGCATTGCATGTAGGCACGGGAGCTGGTCAATACATTCAGCTCTCCTTCTTCTTCGCATAATCTGACGGGAATCAGAAAGAAGATCAAGTCGCAGATGGGCTGCCAGTGTGCGAAAACGTTCCCATGCGTGAAAGCGTGTAGTTCAAGGGGAAAGAAGGCGTATATTAGCAGAAACTGCTGGGCAGGAAATAGCAAGGAGGTGAGGCCCATCGGTAAAAGGCCTGGGTCGTATGGATTTGACAGGACTTGGTTCAACTTATCCATTGAAGAGTTCTCCAGTAACAAAACCCGCTATGATCCGATCGGCAGTTACGACCAAGAACTGAATGGCTTTGCTGCAGAGACGTGCCCGTTGGGCCTGTGTTCGCCACAGCTACGCGGCCATGACGTGTGGGTGATCGGAGATCATAACCCGTGCGCTAGCCTGTGCAACTGTGGAGGTCCTCTTTGCACAATCTGCAAGACTGGATACAGGTATACAATGAACTTCATTGTAAGTACTCGTACAGTGTTAGGCACGGTAATATGCAGTAAGACCTGTATTAAAATATGACCTGCAGTGCAAGACCACTTGTTTTGGGAGACTGGTGATTTTAGAGGCCCCAGACCATGCTCTACCTCCACATTCATACCTGTGTAGAGAGGCCACCTGTCTTGGGAGACCTGTCAAGTCAGGCCCTAGACCATGCTCTACCTCCACATTCATTCTGACCTGTGTGGAGAGACCACCTGTCTTGAGAGACCTGTCAAGTCAGGCCCTAGACCATGCTCTACCTCCACATTCATTCTGACCTGTGTAGAGAGACCACCTGTCTTGGGAGACCTTTTTAAGTCAGGCCCTAGATCATGCTCTACCTCAACGTACATGTACATTCCAACCTGTCTAGACACCACCTGTCCACTAAGATTGGTATCATTCTATGCACCATGGGGTGATCACCAAACACAGGATACACTGTTGTACACTTAATGAAGCAGACTTGTATTTAGCAACCTCCCTAGTGTGAGGCTGCCTGCTTTCAGAGAGCGGTAATCACAACCAACAAAAGTTACAAAACATGTTTCAAATCCATGCGCATGTGCAGTGTCTGCTCCAGCGCCGGGTGAGCTGGGTAATCCACCCGGTTGGGCGGCGCTTGGACCCGGTTGAAAATATAGTACCGGGTCACCTGTGACCCGGTTGGTACTTTACACTTTCGAACTTTGAAAGGACTGACTACATGGCTTGTATGTGTCAGATACTTCTTCTTCTTTCGTAATTTTCTCATTCCTGTCCTCTCTTTTCTAAATGCGGCTTATCCATTCGCCTTCATATCATTGGGCCTACAGTCCGTTTCAAAAAGATTTACAATCCTGGCGATCGCCCGCGGAGTTTGGCGTCTTACCGTATGAGCACTCGAGCGCTGCCTGGAAAAACTCACTGTGAACTCGAAGAAATATTCCGCGCGAAAGCAGGAAAAATGACAACTCACTCACGTTGACACAGTCATGTACGTCTGGTTAACAACAAACGAGTTCTTCCTCGTATCGATAATGGAGTCAGAGAGGACATGTCGAAACGAAAGTGTTGTAAATGTTGACGAGCTGCATGGGTCCGTTTTGTGACCAAAATAGTGTCTTTGAGCTGCGATGCATTTTACTCACCGTGTGACGAAAACGACATCGACACGGACTCATTCCCAAGGCCATGACTTGACAAAGCTATCCGTGTGACTTCGACGACATTTTGAGAAAAGCAGACGCTTGTGAACGCTGATAGAAGACGGCGTTGACTGCTAAATTCAAATAAATTGGTGATCTTGAAATACTAAAATAAATCTCAAGAAGCTACAGCGCGATGACTTCCATTATAATTCACTCACACCATTGCAGGGTTGTGGGTGTGTTCACATGGCGTGAGCCAGTCAAGTGTCAGTCAGTTCGGCAGGAAGCGCGAGCTCCAACAACAAGTCGTTTGGTGCAGCCAGATGGCTGCACCAAACGACTTGTTTGTCTTGTAGCAGCTTGATCACCAAAACAATGAAAAAAAGTTTGACTTGAGGATAGGTTGGGATTTGAACTCACAACTTCATGGTCAGCAGACAGCATTCATAACCACAAGGCCAAAAAGGAAAGGATAAATCGTGGGTTTTGATAAAAAATCGATACTGGCTTCCTGGGCAAATTGTAAACCATGGGAAAAGGCCGGAAACCTGGCCGAAATTCTAACTCCTTAACGGTTGGTCCAATTGTTCCGAAACCTTCACAGAACAATTTGCCGTGTCCTAACAAGCCATTCTATGTACTTTGTTGTCCAAATTTCCCTTATCTTCATACTTTTTAAGACCCAAACCTGATTGTGAATCTTTTTGAAACAGACTATAGTTCCCGTTTATTGTCCGAATTAAAATAAACCAATCAACCAGTTAAAGCATGTGACTCGGCTGGTGAGACAGCGCCAGATACATGTGTACCCGGCTCCGACCCGGTTGAAATGGTTGCGCCAGGTACATGTGTACCCGGTTGTCCTACAATCCTAGAGCAGACACTGATGTGAGAAAGACAACCTCCCTATGTGAAGTCTGGCTTCCGCCCTTCCATTATGGGGTACAGGAAGAACTGCTATAGGCAAACATTGGCCCCCGTCTGATTTGACTGTGTGTGTGTTTCGTGTGTTTCGTGGGTGCTTGCGTGCGTGCGTGTGTGTGTGTGTGCGTGTGTGTGTGTGTGTGTATGTGTGTGGTGTGTGTGTGTGTGTGTGTGCGCGTGTGTGCGCGCGCGCGTGTGTGTGTGTGTGTGTATGTGTGTGTATCTGTGTATTGTGTATCTGTGTACATGTGGTGCGTGTACGTGCGTATGTATGTGTTATTTGTATGTATGTGTGTTTCCTTTCTGGTTGCATACTCAGTCATGTGTGGATTGCAGCAAGCGTTTTCAGGTGCCAATAGGTGTATACTTTGCTCTGAGCTTCGCCATTCAGCTTGTCGTCTTTGCTATTCTCCTCTTTCTGAACGTCGGTCTCACACCAAGCCTAGATACATGGATTCTTTTCACACAGGTGAGGGGGGGGTACATTGTTTGTGTGTTCGTGTGTGTGTGTGTGTGTTTGTGTGTATGTGTGTGTGTGTGTTCGTGTGTTTGTGTGTTTGTGTGTGGGGGGGGGGGGGGGAGGTGGGATGGAGGTGTCGGCACACTGCTGGTGTTGATCCATGGTGTGCATACTTGCCAACCATACCGGTTTTCTCGATATACTACCGGAAAATTAGGGTAACTCAGGGATGAATTTATCCGGTATCGCATCGCAGTTTGCTACGCAAAATCGATCTACTGCTACTCAAAATGACAGTGACACGCAGAAAACTGCCATACATACATGTACAGGCTATCCATGCTTTTGTAGCTTACGCCACAATTGAGATTTTGCATAGCAAAAACTGCTATGCAAACACACGACAGTAAATTCATCCCTGTAACTACAGTAAAACCTGTAATGGCGACCACTCGGATATGGCGACCACTCGACCATGGCGACCACTTTTCCTTGTCACGGACGCATTCACATTCAAAACACCTCGGATAAGGCGACCACTCGCTCAACGCGACCGGCGACCACCCACCCGCGACCGCTTTGTACAGTGCTAGTCATGTAAATGTATGCATTGCATGGTGCACCATGCATGGTAGATCTACACATCAGTGCAGGAAGTGTAGATGTACATGGTGCATGCACGACATTTGACATGTCTGAGGACCCCAGGCACATGAGTCGTGCTAGAGTAGCATAGGTGCGTGCACTGTGATGCACTGATCAAAATGATGTATCACACGTGGATATGGTCACGTGACCCACTGAACCTGGATAAGAAGACCACCTGGCCACGGCGACCACTTTTTCTCGTCCCTTGAGGGGTCGCCTTAGACAGGTTATTTCACTGTATCTGCATACGGGATGTTTGACTTTGATCAAAAAACTACCGGAATTGGCACAGTAGGTGTGCACGTGTGCAGGTAGCACACGTGCCAGTATGTTGCGCCGGGGACCAATACGTACAGAACACATGACCAAGACCAAGACAACCAGACCACGGACGAATCACACGGGACTCTCATTCCCAGACCAAACTAGCACTGCGCATGTACAGCATTCACTTGACTGTCACTTTCACACAGACAGAAGCAGGTTCTCACACTCTGACAACGTGTACCCTTGCATGCACCACATACCAGTACCATAAACGTCACACATCATACCATACTTGCACGTACACTTAGACCATAATTATATGACATCAGACACTGGACTCTACGAGACAAGAACCGAATACAACAACATGCGTAAATAATAGTCGAACGGAATTTCGCAATATATGTCCAGTGCAGTGCATTATGTGCAATTATCAATTGTCAAAATGGCCGCACCTGCTCCAGTCGAAGCGCTAGAAACTCTGTCCAAAGTGAACTTTGACCATGGCACATCGATCGTGGTGAGGACCTAATGTCTTTCTTAGCCTACCATGGCAGTGGAACGCAAAATTCCATACTTCATTTCCATGGTTACCATGGGCTGTTACCATGGAATTTCGTAATATGCCTGGTACTATCACGTCTAAAATTTGTGGACTCCTTCATTAGCCGCTTAGCAACAGGTCAGGGTCAAGTATTAGGTCAATGTTAGAATAGAGGCTTTGCAGCATGTCTGTGTATGATGGTCCTACCGGTAGGTCGTACCTGTACGACCGAGGTCTATGCAAGCTATCATTAATGTATGGTGACAGAATGCTACAGGCGCTAACTGCTTGCCATCTTGTTGCTGTGCTAACACTGCGCCTGTCCCGACGTCCAATGCGGCATCTGGGACCAGAACGAACGTGAGAGCTGTACTTTGACTATGACACCTTGCATTGGTGTCACTTGCACACTGGCAGCCTTGTTAGGTTTTGACATTGTACATAAATAGCGTAACGTAGATAGTGCTTGTGCTACTTGCCACACATGACACTTGGGGTGCTACATACCGCACCTGTGCTGGCTGTAACTCTTGGCACCTATTGCAGTCTACTCTAGCACCCTTGGCATATATAGTTAGGCCTCAGTAGTCATCCAGTTGCATTCTGGACAATAAACCCAGCTCATTGGTGGCAGCAGCTTTATTTTGATCAGCTTGGGAGATGGCAGCAAAACTGCGGCAGGGATCCAGAATCTCGGCGAGTTGAGAGTGTGTATCGCTGCCTGCAGAAACACGAGAGTGCTGAATGAGAAGCTGAAGGATGTGTTTGGGTCACAGTAGGCCAAGCTGTGGGCAGATGACAAGGAGTTTTGGGCTTGCATCATCATGCAGCAACTCCGTGGAGAGCCACTACTATGGCTGAGGCAAGAGGAGAATAGAGGATGTGCTCAAAGATGATGGGAGGTTATTAAACTACTGGAGGGATGGTATGGCCACACAAGAGCCAGGGTGGCATATATAAACGGCTTGGAAGAATCGGTACAGGAGTCTGGAGAGACTACATCACCGTTCCTGAGTCGTCTCCAGCAGCTGGCCGGCACAGCATTTCCGCACCCCGCGGGAGAGAGTGCTGTCGAAATTTGTAAGAAGCGTGAGGGATCAGCTTTTGATGGAAGAGTTGCAAGTGTACGGTTTCATAAGGGAGGAATCATGTACGGCAAAAGTGCTAGAGTAGTCAGCAATAGGTACGTAGAGTTGCAGGTAGCATAAGTACAGGTATGTTGCACCCCAAGTGTCATGTGTGGCAAGTAGCGCAAGCACTACCTACGTTACGCTATTTATGGACAATGTCAACACCTAACAAGGCTGTGTGCAAGTGACACCAACGGAAGGTGGCATCGTCAAAGTACAGCTCTCACCCCCCCCCCCCCCCCCCCTCCTCCTCCGCCGAAACTCAAGCCAGCTCTCACAATGCCATGCAATGGCATTATACTATTTCTATATTTAGAGAAAGGTGACGAGTTAAGAGTAACTATCCACCACTGTAATTAGTTACAGTCAGAAAGTCGGTGCGCTTACCTTCCCCTCTTTGGTCTCTCCTTAACCTAGAACCTTCCGAGTTGGAAGGCTGTTGATTAGCGGCGCTTCGTAGATGTGTTGAAGCTAGGTGTCAGGCCGTCGAATGTCTCAGTACTCTACTCTGTCAGTTTTGTGCCTAGCTGTTGCACTTTCTGGCTGTATTACAGTATCTCGTAACCATGTGTTCCTTTCCCTTCTCTAAATGTATTATTGGCTCAACATCCGAGTTTACTTTGTTATATGTTGTGTTATGGTACTATGTTAGGTTATGCCATACAAAATTTGAAGACATGGTTGCAAAAAAAGAATCAGAAGTGGGTGTGTTATGTGTTGCATTTAAAAGTATGGTGTTTTCAAGCAACTCACCACATTGTCTGTCTTCTTTTGTGACCTCAAACAGGCATTCTATTGCATTCATTTTGACAACAACTACAGCAGAGAGATATTTCACAACATCATCACGTTTGGACTTGGTCGTCTTTGCATCACGGAAGACATTGATGCTCTGGTGCGCGTCCTTGCACTGGTGATAAGCCCATTCTACAGCCTCACTATACTCGCGGTTATCTACCTTGCAGCGCGACGGGCCACCAGGCTGCAGCTTTTGCAGCGCCTACAGAGTCGCCACTCTATCCGCCATGTCTTCTGGCTGGTCATCATTGTCTCGCACTGCCTCATGGTACAGCTAGCCGGCTCGCTGCTCAGCTGCTCAAAACTGAACGGCAAGAGTGTTCTGAACATAAGTGCAGATATTCAGTGCTTCACTGGTAAGCACATGGGCTACGTCTTGCTTGCCATCGCATCGCTCCTGGTTTTCGTGCTACCCCCGCCCATGCTCCTGATATGGCGGCCCACGCACATCTGGCCCGCGCTGACGGGGTTCTTCGACGAGGCGATGCACATCTACGTTCCGAACAAGCCCTGGTGGGCCAGTGTCAACATGTTGCGACGGGTCGTCTACACAATGGCATTGCCAATCATCAGAAACAGTCAGCATCGGCGAGTGTTCCTCTGCATCTACACGGGTGCATTACTGGCGTTACATGGATACATACGGTAAGTGAGATTAGGCTCTCAGCTTCCACTTCCCCCATTTGCCGATCATTTTTCTAGTGTTGAAACGAGCGTACCTATAACAAACGAGCGATCTGTTCCACTAACGAGCAACCTAACGAGCGAGCTAACAAGTTTTATTGATGTGGCCAATATGATTACACTGTACATTATTTTTTATTTTTTTTCTAAGTTCGATATTTTTCACCTGGTTCAAATTATCACCGCCGGTATTTGGGGTTGCTGCTGCTTCACTTTCGGGCTGCTGTTTGGTGTCAAGATGTCTTTTCAGCGCCGTTGTTGAGCAGCCTTTGGAAGAATAGACCGTTTTCAAAGATTGCAAGTAGCCCTGTTCTTCGCTGAATCGCGGGAGAAAACTTCCAAACGACTGAGCGTAACTTTCAATCGAATGGAGAGTTGACAGAAGCATGTCCTGCGACAGGTCAGCAGATGCGAAACAAGACATCATTAGGGTCCACCAAAGCTGCAATGACAACTGAAACAACTCAGTGTCGTGCAGGTATACAGTCACTGTAACTGAGAGTGATTTTCACTTCGAGCGGGACTGGACTCTCGATCGACCAGGGAGTTGTAAAATAATCTACGACTCCCCGCGGTGCCCAGTCGACATGTACTGCCATGTGTACGGAGTACGGTGTACAGTGTTCTTTAGCGCAAACGAGCTGGCCGCACTAACGAGCCAAGTTTCTGGCGAGCGAGCTAACGAGTACCCGGTGAGATCGTTTCAACACTAAATTTTTCTTACTGCAATGCCTCTGTATTGTTGGCCATTCCGTCCGATCATGCAGTGCTGCCAACCTTCCGTATTATTCTGTATCTGTACGGGAAATCACTCCTTCATCCGCAGTACGGAATTTGATCCAAATGGTACGGAAAATTGAACAGCATCAATCAGCTACAGGTATTTATGTAGAAGCATGACAAGCACAAGCCGAGGATGAATATCCCTGTGCTGCCAAAGCGCGTGCATGCCATGCTTCAACTACATGTAGCACAAAATTCTGTCGTGGTACAAGTCCCACATGTTTTACACTAGGAAATTCAGCCACCGACAAGCATGTGCCGGAGTGTCAAAAAGCACAATGCAAGCAATGCACACTGCAGTACATTGGTGGTACGGAGAAACACTGCAAAATACGGAAAATCAAAAGCACGGTACGCAAAACGGACTCAGTTGGTTGACGGCACTGATCATGTGCAGCAGACGGTGCAACTCAACCTACACATGCATCTGTCTGAGTGTACAGTGTGCTGTCTGAGTGTACAGTATTGTCTGTCGATCCTGTGTGCCTGTCTGTATGTCTTTGTGTCCGTGTGTCTGTCAGTGTGTCTCTCTGTGTGATGGGTGTTCTAGCTGGACCTTTGCTGGTGTGTCGCTATGGAGCTCTTGCTTGATGACTGTATGTAGGCATGTCTGTGTGTGCGTGTCTGTGTGTGTCTGGTTGTGTGGGTGTGTGAGTAAAAAATGAAGGAAGAAGGTAAAAAAATGAAAATAGGGATTCACCGGTCAGAAAAAAGCTGCTCCAATCAGCCGTATGGTGTAGGCCAGCCTAAAATTAGTGGCGGTCATTTCATCAGCTTTGCAAGCTGTTAAATGGTGTAATCCTAGCACAAGTTGCTATGTCTAGCATAGCTGTTCGCTCTCATCGCTTCCGCGATGGGCATGTCTGAGTCTGAATCTGAGTGTGTGTGTGTAAAAATGTAAAAAATGGATACCCTGATGCCGTCAATCCTTTTTCTGCACCTTGTTCTCACCCACTTACTGAGGTGTGGTGAGCCCATAAGTGGGATCATTTTCAAGTCCACCCAGAGTGTTTGGGATTTCAGGGGGTGTCGGCCATTGGGCGGTTCAATAGCCAATTGAGTCATCTTTCCAAGATTCCTTTTGAGTCTCTCTCCCCTCTCCCGGGGAGACCCACGCGACCAGTTTTGGCAGTGAGCAACAAGTACAAGTGCGTGTGTGTGTGTGTACGTGCGTGCGTGCGTGCGTGCGGGTGCGTGTGTGTGTGTGCATCAATAGACCATTTCGACGCAATGCTCGCCTGTGGAAGTTCAACGACTTTGACAACACAGTCGAGTTTGTCTCACTGTTTTCCTTACTGGTCTTGTCGGTAGTACGCATTGTTCAACTGGATATGCAGTTTGGCAGTGAGCACAGAAACAGCCTTGCTCCAATAATCGTCTACTCCCTGGTCAGCACTCTTCCATTGAGCGTTTACGTCTATCGCTTTGTCCGTAGCTGGAGAAATGTGCTGGGACAAAAAGGGCGCGAGCCGCTTGTTGTGCTGTGGGACGAATCAAGCGAAGAAGGAGCATTCAGGCTTGCACAGAGGCGAGAGCTTGCAGTGCGGCAAGCTGACAATGCGGGTTCAGACTCGGAAAATCTATGTACACCTACATGCAGTCCCTCTGCCGCTGATGACATCCAGGGCAGTGGCAGCAGCAGCAATGGGCAACACATCGAGCTGAGACCGAGTGCCAGTGGCAGCAGTCGCAGCCTGAAGCGCTCCAGCGACCTACGAGAGCCGCTTCTAATGGATGAGATGGTAGCCAGCACTGAGCGCAGTCTGCGGGAGGCCGCTGCCTCTCCTGGACATTCACTGCAATCTCCATTGAAACGCCCATCACGCAAGCAAGAAAAGCAGAGCAGAAAGGCCAAGTGGTTTTCCAGATATCGGAAATCATGATAAAAATGAAGGAAGGTAAGCACTTTCTTTGCTCAAAAATGTTTTGTTCAAAGAGGAGGGTAAAGCAGTGTGAAGTACCGCAGTGTGTCACTTTAGATTTAATTGTTCACCCATCCATGCTTTTGGAACATGAATAGCACAGCGATAATCCAACTCCATGCCTGCGACTCAATAATAGTGTGCTTACACAACGCGTGTGCTAGATGAATATCACGTCACATCTTTGCCAAGCCAGTTTTGCAAACCCTAACCTTGTCCTTAGTGCAAACAAAGATAATGAACTTTGCAGTGGCGTCAAACTCCGTGTGTCTCAATGAGAACTCAATAAATGCACTCACATGCATTTTTCCTAATGTTTTGCACTGTGATTGCAATTTCTAGCTGCACGCCTCGCCTGTAGAGTTTATTTGTGATGCCAAGCCTACCAATGGATGTGTGCCTTCCCCAGACAGTACTGTTGTATCTCATTCGTGAGCTTATCGACACAGCACAGAGAAAGCGGTAGGGTGTCATAAATGCTTTAAAAAAAAAGGACTCTGTAAGTCTTCACTACCGTTTTATTCATTTCCTTTCATACTTTTTTACTTTTCAAATCTTGGCGCAAATTTTACGTGCTGTTGAAAACCATTCTGCTCATTATCTCTCTTGCTTCATAGGATGAAACATGAATGGCAATGCATTAGAAGTGTGAGTCTCTCATATTATACGATTACGTGTGTCCCCATGCTTTCCTTGAAACAATGCTCCTACAGACACTGCTCACAGCATGGGAAAGGGCTCATTCATTAGCGTACATCACAGCATGGCTAACCTGCTTTGTCAATATCAAATTCCTTTCCAACGAGGCCCTGCGTCAAAGTCCACTCCGTAAACTAGATCAGTTTGAATCGTGCCGGTGAACATCGTAAATATGCCTAGAATTTCAGATGATTAAATCGTGCGTTCCATTGGGGTAGGTAATAAAAGTCGGACAATTAGCAAAAGCCTGAAGATCAATATCAATATCTAGCTATCTAGCAGCGCTCGATGTACACAGCATATGCATTTAGGCCCAAAGACCAGCTAGCGTCAAATCTGGTAAGAAACATAGCAGCATTGAAGCACGTACAGAAAAGCAAGCAGACTAGGGTAGATCTGGATTAGGGTGTGACCTAGGGTAGAGCCGGATTACGGTGACCTAGGGTAGAGCCGGATTAGGGTGACCTAGGCTAGATCTGGATTAGGGTGACCTAGGGTAGAGATTAGGGTGACCTAGGGTAGAGCCGGATTAGGGTGACCTAGGCAGTGCATAGAATAGTCCAGAATACACTCTCTAGTCGTCGGTAGGGTACGATCGCAGGCTTAACACATGTCAAGTGAACCATGACTGTCCACAATGGAACAGCACTTAGTGGCACAACCAGATGAACCTGGTGGGATGCATTCAGGAGAGCAGTCTGAATCAATCCGCTGCACAATTCCAGTTGGCCCATAGGCCCATAAAGATCTTGACTTCTGATAACCAGTGCCGAAATTAGGTCCACCGTGTACCTACTATGCAAGGATTCCTATTAGCTGAATGTCTTCAGTGCAGGGGCTAGGTTGTGCCAGTTGCCTCTGCTTGACCGCAGATGGGATTTTAACCGGTTGCCAGCAACCACCACCACAGCACATCAGCATCTCGGGAGCAATCAAGCGACAAGTAATAGTTCGTAAGTAATAGTTCGTCAGACAGAAGAAGGTCCACCGTGACTGTGACCAGCACTGTGGCCACTGCAGCTCACAGAGGCATCTCCCAGTAGATTCTGGGATCAAAACCAAACAGAATGTGACGTGGTGAGTGAAGAACATTATGCCCCTGTATGTTTGTGGCACTGAAACTTTACAGCACCGGTTAGGAGTCGACCCCAATGCTTCAGGCCTCGACTTACCGGATCAATACATGTATCAATATGATCAATAGTAGTATTATTCTTATATTTATACTTCAAGTATTACAAAATAATTGAGAGGCTTTGAATCGTTTTTATCAAAATCTAAATATTTGCCGGGTTGGAAGGTGGGAGTAGTTGAACACCCGGTTGTAGGTTGACTACCCCTTTTTAATTCGCTGTTTAAGTCATACAAGGTTGACTTATAACTGGAAAAATACGGAGTGGGCCACATCTAGAAGTGACTTGATGGAGTGGGCCACATCTAGAAGTGACTTGATGGAGTGGGCCACATCTAGAAGTGACTTGATGGAGTGGGCCACATCTAGAAGTGACTTGATGGAGTGGGCCACATCTAGAAGTGACTTGATGGAGTGGGCCACATCTAGAAGTGACTTGATGGAGTGGGCCACATCTAGAAGTGACTTGATGGAGTGGGCCACATCTAGAAGTGACATGATGGAGTGGGCCACATCTAGAAGTGACTTGATGGAGTGGGCCACATCTAGAAGTGACTTGATGGAGTGGGCCACATCTAGAAGTGACTTGATGGAGTGGGCCACATCTAGAAGTGACTTGATGGAGTGGGCCACATCTAGAAGTGACTTGATGGAGTGGGCCACATCTAGAAGTGACTTGATGGAGTGGGCCACATCTAGAAGTGACTTGATGGAGTGGGCCACATCTAGAAGTGACTTGATGGAGTGGGCCACATCTAGAAGTGACTTGATGGAGTGGGCCACATCTAGAAGTGACTTGATGGAGTGGGCCACATCTAGAAGTGACTTGCACAATACTTTTAGTAGTACAGTACTGGCAACTGAAACCCAACCCCTAAGCGGTGCGTTCACATTCTGGCGGTCTCTATTTCGTAGTTTTACGATCCCGTGTTGGGCCTTTGGGATGTGAGCGCACAGCTGAGGGGTTGGATTTCAGTTGCCAGCACTGGAGTACAGTACACTAGTACAGGTGTGTGTGTGTGTGGGGGGGGGGGGGGGTGCACAGTGGGCTGGGCTAAGACCATGATTGAGAAACAAGAGGTACCAGGATCTAGTCCTGCTTGGAAGTTGGTGGATTTTGCCGTGCGACCCATAGTAACTTTTGAATTTGTGGCCTGGCAAGAGTCACAAGGCAAGGAGGGTCACAAGGCAAGGATCACACATGCCTTCCTCCCTATCTTCCACCTGGCTGTAATTTCGTCTCCAGGTGTATAGAAGGCAATCAGTCTTTTTTCCCAACATCCTGACATCAGCGACCAAACAGAGGATGTTCAGGATGGTAGAGTGCTTCAATTGTGTGGCACACTCATATCAGGCTCCCTTATCCTGGTCTCAAACTCAAAGTCACGGTCACCTCAGTCTACCGGGCACCCCGGGGTGAGTTTAGTGGAAATATTACTACTCTTTGCCAATTTTGTGGAAATAGTGACATCATATGCCAGATCTCTCTGTCCCTTCCTGATTTAACCATTCAGCGCTACTGGGCCTTGCCTATGGCACTCTGCATATAAAATGCTAAAAACAGGGCCAATAGCAAGTTCTAAAACTCCAGGGTTCTGGCAACTGGGGTCCTCAAATATTTTGGAAAGGATATCAACCACAGGGTGACAGAATCGATACAGTCCCCAAAAAGAATAGCGCCTCACAATAGGGGACGCAAGTTTGCTCAAATTGCGTGAAATACGCCAAATGCGTGAAATTGCAGCTGAAAGATCGCTGAAAAGAGAAGAAAAAAAGACGCGTAGTGTTTCCAAGCGAGATTCGAACTAACGACCTATCGTACAAGAGGCAGGATCATGATCCAACTGACTAACAGTGCTTTTACACATCAGACAGTGCCAGAAATCACTATATATCCCATGACGTCTATAGACGTCATCCCGCGCATGGGGGCATTTTCAATGACGTCTATAGACGTCATCAGCGTTCAATGGGTTAAACGTACATAATTCACAGTTACGGGCATTGCAACGTTATGGGCAGGGTTCAGCCCCGGATCGCCCGAATAAACAAGAAATAAGTGTACACTGAGTGGATGAAGTATCAACTCCACGTCCCCAGCTATTGTCATGCACTTCTCCGGAGTGCCTAAGTCAGAGTTATGCAATACCATCACAGTAGAAACCTGCACTCACAGTTTCATGGAGCTAACTGAGCTTCTTGGGCACGCACTATCCACGAAACAGTGACACTTCTTATGACATGCCAGGCCACAGTCTATGCATGAACACACACGCATGAACGCATGCACGCCGCACACACGCATACACGCACACACACGCACGCGCACCTTGAACCTTGAACGCCCATTGCCGTAGCAATGATAGCGATGGCTTCCTCACGCTGAGGCTCTAAACTCGAAATCTGCAGCATGGCGCATGCCGCTTGAGGTCACCAGGACGACGGAACACTCTGTCACAGCGGTAGTTGGGGCACGGGATGTCTGGGGCTTCCTTCTCGACCCTCTGTCGACAACACTGAAACCAGGTGGATCTCTCCTGCGCTGTGTCATACCAGTCCGCTTCAGGTAAACCGATGACAGCAAAGCCCGAGGACACAACATCCCGCCAGCGCTTCTTGGGACCATGTTGCGGGCGTTTGCAGGGCAGTTCGCGAGCACACACACACACACACACACACACACACACACACACACACACACTTGTACTTGTACTTGTTGCACACTGCCAAAACTGGTCACGTGGGTCTCCCCGGGAGAGGGGAGAGAGACTCAAAAGGAATCTTGGAAAGATGACTCAATTGGCTATTGAACCGCCCAACGGCCGACACCCCCTGAAATCCCCAAAACTCTGGGTGGACTTGAAAATGATCCCACTTATGGGCTCACCACACCTCAGTAAGTGGGTGAGGACAAGGTGCAGAAAATGATTGACGGCATCAGGGTATCCGTCCTGGGATCCAACTGCAGTTACCCCTGCCCCCAGTGAAGGTAATACGTGCTACTAGTGTGGGTGGCTAAATCAGAGTGGATCTGATATTAGCTTCACTAGCACCATTGATTACACAAGAGTTAATCTAGCCAGAAGCAGTCCATGGTTAACAGGTATGTATACTTCAAATAGAAAGTATATGAACCCTGGAACCAACAAAGGTGGCAGGTACAACATTACACCTTCATGTAGCCGAGCCCGTTGGCAACAGACCCAACACAATCAGGCATAAGTGTACCCACCAACCGAACTAGCTGGCACCACACACACACACACACACATACAAACATTGGAAGTGTCATTGACTCATTGCATAAAGGCACATTATAGTCGAATGAACCAACATTGCGTCGAGAACGCAGGCCAGATCCATGGGGATTGTGCCCACAACATCAGCCACGTATAATTATGTGTGAAGTAATCGTATTGGGTATGCCCAGGACTCACTCAATGACAGCAGCATGACCATGTTTAGAATCATAGCAGACAACGCAATCATGAATCTCAGCTGGAATTACCTCGACACCGATATCCTTGCTTGCCAAAGCCAGTGATTTCTTTGGCACAGGCTGCACAGCGTCGACTAGCCTCCTGGCGAGCACTGTAGCACATACAGCAGATGGGATAGTACCAGATTCCAGTATGGGGTATCGCTACAGGGTATCAGTACACAGCATCACTACGGGGGGGGGGGGGGCGCTATGGGGTATCACTACGGGGTATCCTTACGGGAGGGAGGAAGGAGGAGGGGGATCACTACAGGGTATCAGTACAGGACATCATTCACGGGGTGTGTGGGGGGCGGGGGAGGAGGAGGAGGAGGAGGAGGGGGTATCAATCCGGGGTATCACTACAGGGAATGAGAACATGGTATGCGTACAGAGTGACGATTGAGTCCTGATAAAACACACCTAACAACTGCGCTAGGCCAGTAAAAAGCTATTTGTTTAAAGGGGAAGTTAAGGCAAAAATTAAAATTTCACCAGTTGTAGTCTTCGGGGTGCTGAGTCGAATGGTCTTGGTCCGAGGAAGCTGAGACGCTCCCTTCCTACTTGAATCCCAATCGAACTCGCGCACTTCCACCGAAACTGGGTGACTGCGCCCTACGAGATGGGGATTTGTATGCAAAATGTCACTAAAAGCGCCATTTCGTTCTTATAAAAGCACGGATGACCGCGATTGGCCCATATGTTGTAGTCTTTGGGACGCTGAGTCGACTGGTTTTGGTCCGAAAAGGCTGCGATGCAGCGTTCCTCCTTTATTCCCAATCGAACATGGTTGAAGAAGCGGTCACGTGGTCCTGGGTGCCCAAATCACCTGGTCACCACGCCAGCAGGTGACAACTTTCACACCAAGGTTCAACTCGGGTTCAACTCGAGTGACAGGACTGCACCCAAAAAAGGTCAAACAGGCTAGTAAGTTGTACCCTGCAGGCACGGTGACCAGCTGACTGGTACATCATGGTGTACGCAGGAGCACGTGACCGCTTCTTCAACCATGTTCGATTGGGAATAAAGGAGGAACGCCGCATCGCAGCCTTTTCGGACCAAAACCAGTCGACTCAGCGTCCCAAAGACTACAACATATGGGCCAATCGCGGTCATCCGTGCTTTTATAAGAACGAAATGGCGCTTTTAGTGACATTTTGCATACAAATCCCCATCTCGTAGGGCGCAGTCACCCAGTTTCGGTGGAAGTGCGCGAGTTCGATTGGGATTCAAGTAGGAAGGGAGCGTCTCAGCTTCCTCGGACCAAGACCATTCGACTCAGCACCCCGAAGACTACAACTGGTGAAATTTTAATTTTTGCCTTAACTTCCCCTTTAACCAGTGCTATACATTGTCCATTGCATGCTAGAGTAGTACACGATGGCAGGTGCCAGTAGCGGAAACGGTTACCCCGGAACGCATTTCCATTTTCCAACATTGTTTTGCAATGCAAAATGCAACTTACGGGGCGAACCCCAAGACAAATGTGCCTTTATGAACCCTCTAGTAGTGACTATCGACTGCATTTTCGTTGAATGGCATGAAACACAAAAAAATCGACAAATTAGTAGGGGCCCCCACTTTCTCACAGGGGGGGGGGGGGGTTGGTCAGAGTAGGAGGGCGCTCGATCTATGCTTTTGCTGTAGCTCTATAAATTGCTGTATTTTGACATTTTTCCATTATTCCCTGTACTTGCCCATGATGAGAAGGGAACAAAAACGTTCGGTTACTAAATTGGCTTACTTTACTGTGGATTGCGTCGGTGCTGACACCTTTTTTTCGAAATTGGATACGTCTCCAATTTTGTCCTAGACATTACATTAATTGCGTTTCAAATAGTACATGCCTTAACCTTATAGCCAGGTCCATACTTGTCAGCTGCATGTGTGTGTGCATGTACCTGTGCTTGTGCCCGTGTGCATAGTCGTGTGAGTGTATGTACCTGAGCATAGTCGTGTGAGTGTATGTACCTGAGCATAGTCGTGTGAGTGTATGTACCTGAAGCGAGTTGCAACAAAGACGTGATTGTTGTAGATGTGAAGCTTCTGGCCTTTGACGGGTAGGGTACGCTTGCTAGCACCCGAAGGAATGAGAAAGTGTCTGGTGATCCAATGAAACGGACAGAAGTGGAAATACCGGCAACCCGCACATATATGTACACACACACATACACACACGCGCGCGCACACGTGCACACACACACACACACACACACACACACAGACAGATGCACACACACACATGCACACACACACACGCACACACACACACACACCCACAAGAATACTATTCAATACAGAAATATGGCACGGAATAGCTAGTTGTGCGGGTACTAACAACTTAGGGGTCCTGGCAAGCACAACGACTGCAAAGCGGCCACAACTTCAGCTGGGTGATGGCCACAGCAAATCACCGGGGGGCAACGTTAGGCAATGTTACCTGGGAGGATCGTCGTCTGTCTCGATCACCAATGTTGAGAAGTCATGGGGAACACCAGACATGCCGGATGCTATAGAAACCAACAAAACAGGAAAACACCAGCAACAAAACCTTAAATGGCATCATCACTAATATCATCGTCCAAAGTCCCACTGCCACGTGGCAGCAGTTAGGAAGAATGACCAAACTATCACACCCATGGACTCAGAGATGTATTTTCAGGGTGCATGCAAGCAAGGGTATGATGGCTACACATGATTGTATTGAACTCGGAGAAGCCGCCGGTTTTAGTTTGCCATTTGCGAGCACAGGAAAACGTTGCACCCGGATATGTTTGCGATTGGAGTAAAATTCATCGTTTTTAACGCACCGGCTTACATTGCAAGTTAACACCCATCGCAAAGATCGCAAACGTTCCAGATCGCTTCTCGGTTCACAGTATTTGAGTGTACATGACTTGGAACCAGCATGTAGAATGCCTGTTTTGGAATATTGGCATTCTAGCTGTTATTGTATTTATTGTCCAGGTTTAAGTAATTAGTTTTCATAGAATTGCAAGAAAGGAAAGAGATATGACCAAAGCAAACTTTAGCTACACAAAATGCTGAAAATTATGCTCTTCAGACATTTTTCTAACTTTTTCAGAAAACAAATATGCTGGTTAGCATTGGAAGTAACTTAGGTGCTATGGAATGTCTATGCAATGGCTCTACACTGAGGCAAGTGAGGCAAGGGAAATATGTACATGCTGCCCAAGGCACACCTTTCTTACTGCACCGTGCTGATGAGACAAACACTGGTTGTACGAAGAACTCAACAGCTGTATGTTAAAAAGGGCTTGAAAGTGCTAAGTCACAGCCACACAGGAGTCATGACAATGCTAACGTTTGGATCCATTTGGATTCCGTGTTTGAATGGACCTATACCATGTTTGGGTGGTTTTACTTCACCGTAGGGTGACACATTTGCGGGTAGTACTGGACTGAACCCTCTCGGTCGGGGACTCACTCCTGGTAGGAAACAAAAGTCACACCGGAGTGTAAAACGAGGGGCCTACCTATCAGATAATCTTCTTTGCTATGGTCAGAGTGGATCCAATTTATTTGACTCCAAAGTTGTTATTTGTTGACTTGTTATGTCCTCAATTTCAAGCCCTATAGAAGTTCACTCCTATGTCTTGTATCAGCCACTCATACCGACTAGATACATGTAGGTCAGTAGAGACCAAAGGCACACAGCATGCATCTTACCACTGCTCATACGATCTGCTGTGCTGCCGTCTGAGAAGCCGAGCAAATCTGAACACATAGCACAATACACATAACATTACGTGCATGTGTGTGCACGTGCACATGCATACAGACACGCATACACACACACACACACACAACAAGTATACACGGAGTAAGCTGCCGCAGGTCTAAAATGGCGATGGGCGACAGATACTTGTATGCAGTAAAACCTGGTTGAAGCGACCATCCCATGGTGCCAGCAAAAGCAGTCATTGAGACAGGTGGTCTTTAGAACAAGGTCCCATATATTCATGGCATCCCGAATCACGCACATACTTCCATGTACAGGTCGTCCCTCGTTAATACATAATCTCTGGGACTTGACAAATGTTATGTATTAACGGGGTTTATGTACTAAACGAAAGTGTACATATCTTGCTTGTGTATCTGAATTTTTCACTTTTTTCAACTTTTCAGAGTGTTTCTTGCTGCCATGACTAGGGAGCGAGATATTCTTGATTCCCTCGATATAACATAAAAATTATGTTATAACGGTCACAGTCAGCGAAGATTCTACAGTTTTACTGTAAGACCAGAAATTTTACATGATACCTGCCCAGTCGCCATGCCTGTACAGTCACTCGGGGATAAACAGAGCTTTGTCAGTTTGTGATGTCCGCTCTGATTTCTGAGCTAATTGCGTCCACCAGTAGAAACTAGAACACGATGTGCCTCCACTGGAAGCCCAACAGACCAACAAATTATGTACTATTGAGGTAGGTGGCATGTGGGTCCGGAGAAATGTTATGTACTAACGGGGTTTATGTACTAACGAATTATGTACTAACCGACACAATTTGTATGGAAGTGACCACGTTTCGTCCGGGACTTGAGATTTCTTATGTACTAACGGGGTTTATGTACTAACCGGACTCGTATTAACGGGGGACGACCTGTACTCACATTGACAGGTGTTGTACATAGAACACTTTCATGCACATGAAGCATCCATGAGTGTTCACATCTCACTAAGTGCCTGTAGCGCACCCTGCACTCTGCACTGTCACTTGTCAATTCCGTTGACTGCTTGCACTCGCTTCTGAGCGCACTTCAACCCTGTCGCAGTCAAGCCTGCCAGGCAGGACAGCACTTGTGGCTACTATGCAGGTCAGAGATGGCACTTTGTATACTAAACATCGGCCGACGGTCGTACAATGCAGGTGGTCGCTGTTTGCAGTGAAGTTTCTATGCAGAACTTTCGGTGCATGGAAAGTAGGCCCTCAAAATCAGGTGGTCGCTAATAGTAATACCAGAGATCGTTTATCCCAGGTTCAACGGTACAGTAACTTGCTCAAATCGTCACAAGGAAGCATCAAAATCACTACATCTACACGTAACAGTGACATGAATACACAACTACTCTGCACATGTACCAATTAATGCTAACTGGCATCTCTGGCATCTCTGGTATTCGCCAGGAAAAGCGTAAGCTCTAGTGTGGGGAGCAACCTAGTTCCTTATAACAAAATACCGCCAAAGTGAGTACCACTATCTCATACTGGCATCATTGCTTATCAAAAATTATAATTGATGGTCTTCTACGTAGAAACCTTACCACCAGTGGACATGGCCATGTCAGCGGAGAGTGGTCTTGGTCGGTGGTGATGTCTGGGTGAGTGTTGGCCATGCCGGGCTATGCCATTGCTTGCCGGCGCTGAATAGTCGGTCTGGTCGTCATCACCACCACCGCCTTCCACGCTTTCCACGCCGTCCATCTCGTACGTCACCGAGTGCTTGGCCTGTCGCGACACCGCGGAACCTTCGGAAGCGCGTGTGACAGTCACATGCTCGTCTTCGGTACCGTCAGAAGGCGACTCGACGTTGATCGCGGGTGACTCGGAGCGGGTTCGGTTGGCAAACTCCGCTACAGATGCACAAGGTTACAACCAGTGCACAACACAATACAACAGTCATACCTGTTGTTAAAGGGGAAGTATACCCTAAAATCAAATTTTCACCAGTTGTAGTCTTCTGGGTGCTGAGTCGAATGGTCGTGGTCCGAGGAAGCTGCGACGCTCCCTTCCTACTTGAATCCCAATCGAACTCGCGCACTTCCACCGAAACTGGGTGACTGCGCCCTACTAGATGGGGATTTGTATGCAAAATGTCACTAAAAGCGCCATTTCGTTCTTATAAAAGCACGGATGACCGCGATTGGCCCATATGTTGTAGTCTTTTGGACGCTGAGTCGACTGGTTTTGGTCCGAAAAGGCTGCGATGCAGCGTTCCTCCTTTATTCCCAATCGAACATGGTTGAACAAGTGGTCACGTGCTCCTGGGTGCCCAAATCACCTGGTCACCGCGCCAGCAGGCGACAACTTTCACACCAAGGTTCAACTCGAGTTCAACTCGAGTGACAGGACTGCACCCAAAAAAGGTCAAACAGGCTAGTAAGTTGTACCCTGCAGGCACGGTGACCAGCTGACTGGTGTACGCAGGAGCACGTGACCGCTTGTTCAACCATGTTCGATTGGGAATAAGGGCCGAACGCTGCATCGCAGCCTTTTCGGACCAAAACCAGTCGACTCAGCGTCCAAAAGACTACAACATATGGGCCAATCGCGGTCATCCGTGCTTTTATAAGAACGAAATGGCGCTTTTAGTGACATTTTGCATACAAATCCCCATCTAGTAGGGCGCAGTCACCCAGTTTCGGTGGAAGTGCGCGAGTTCGATTGGGATTCAAGTAGGAAGGGAGCGTCTCAGCTTCCTCGGACCAAGACCATTCGACTCAGCACCCCGAAGACTACAACTGGTGAAAATTTGATTTTAGGGTATACTTCCCCTTTAAGCAACCAGTCCATGGTTCAGAGAAAACAAGTCTTTATAGGGAGGTGGTCTCTATTACTGATAGACAGGTGGTCTTTATAGAGAGGTGGTCTTTCTATCTAGGTTGTTCCTCCTGACATCGGTTGCTTAAGACAGGTACTCCTCATCAGTCCTGTAGCTGTGGTAGGATCCACACAGCAATAATACAGCAATGGCTACTAGCTTGGCAAAGGCATTGAACTAACAGTATTGCAACATGACACAGCACTAGACACGGTGTATGTTCAGGTCAGCAAAATGCCAGTAGAAGATTAGCAGTTAGTTAGCAGTTAGTTCTACTCCATAACTAAAGTCTTGTTCTTCTAGCCCGTCCGTAGGGAAGATCTAATCTGATGAGAAGTGGCTCACAAGAAGTTCCAAACTTTGATCTGCAAACCCTTTTATACATGCAGAGTTTTGCAGACTAACAGGCGCCAGAGTAGGGCACATACATATCACACTTCCGACCAGTGTCGAACGGTGCACAAGTGGTGCCAAGTTGCTATGTATGGCACACCAGTTGCAAGAAGGCCGCATAGTGCTATGAGTGAGTGTCAACCACTCGCACAGCATAGTGCACAGTGCTATGCAATCATACCAGCAGACACAGACACAGACACAGGCTCATGCTTACGGCGGCAATCGTGTGAAACACACACATCGCATGTGCCTCCACAACAGCCACATTACCGTGATGGATTTCACAGGCACACAGGCTACATGTATGTTGATGACAAGGCTCACATTGCACAGTCACATTGCACAGTCACAGTCACACTAGATGATCAGTGGTTGTGTGTATCAGTAGGTCAACACATCTACCGTATTTTCTGGAGTATAGTGCGCACTTTAGATGTGCTATTTTAGGCCCTAAATCGCAGGTGCGCACTATGCTCCGAATATGAAATGCATGTACTTCAATGAAGATTGGGGGTGCGCGTTATACAAAGGTGCGCACTATACTCCGACAAATATGGTACACACCTGACAATAACAGAAACCCCGGTGGATGACAAATGAACACATGCAGCGCTACTCAATCCCATCTTTATCTGGATGAGCTGTGCACCCTCACAAACACCAGACAGAAGAAAATGGTTTGACTTTTGGCAACCACCAGCAAACCTCTATAGGGATTTACTCAGGTTTACTGAGCCCTTTTTAAAGAGAAGGTTCTGTTCAATATCTTCAAGAACAGGAGTGCACATTGAGCATTTTCCATCCTACCTGCAAGCATGCGCCCAAGCAGTCTTCCCCTGGGAGATTCGTTGTTTTCCGGCGATCCGGGAGTACTGGCATTTGATAACGATACTGCAGGAGCGCTCTGATTCAGATCCAGCGGCTTGGTGCCGGAGGAGCGCTTGAACTCGCGAAGGCTTTGTGACGATACAGCCACCGACGGCGTTGATTTGAAGCGTTTGATCCTGCTCAACCGTGGTATGCTCTTGCGCTGAACCTAAACATGCACACAGGAAAAGTGGGGGGGGGGGGGGGGGAGGGCAGGGTAAAGCAGTACTTATAGATCCAATTCATATTGTACACCACTGTTATAATCCTGGGATGCAGGACAAACCAGTACAGTCAACTTCGCGTTATTCGCGAAGTGTCGTTATACCCGAAGTCCCATTATATGTGTTACAGTTGGATGGGACTTTGCTCTGGGCATGGAATTTCTGTCGTTATTCGCGAATTGTCGTTATATCCGCAGTCGTTATTAGCCAAGTTGACTGTACATGTAACTTATACAACCATGGCACATGTGCATAAAACAGGGCTGCAGCCATTTTTTGCAGGGCAACTTGTCCCATATTTGGCAGGTACAAACAACTCCACAAACTTGTCAGCATAGCAGTTACTGCTAGTATGCTGTGCGCAAGGGTTGCAGTGGACATGCCCCGCAAAACCAAATGGCGCAAAGACTATGCATAGTTCACATCTCTCTGCTTTCTTCCTGCATGCAACGTGGCATTTTTGCAGCTATGACTCGGCAAGTACTCTCCATGGCGATACTAGAAAAGGTTCTGCAATGCTGCTTTCCAAAAGGACTAGAGTAGTTTTGACAAGACAACAGAGCATGCTGTGAGTGGAAACCTAGTAGAAAAAAATGTGCCTATGGCCCCCTGTACAATACAGACTATGGCCCCCTGTATAATACAGACTATGCCCCCCCCCCCCCCTGTACAATACAGACTATGCCCCCCCCCCCCCCCCCCCGGTACAATACAGACTATGGCCACCCTGTACAATACAGACTATGGCCCCCTGTACAATACAAACTATGGCCCCCTGTACAATACAGACTATGGCCCCCTGTACAATACAGACTATGTCCCCCTGTACAATACAGACTATGGCCCCCTGTATAATACAGACTATGGCCCCCTGTACAATACAGACTATGCCCCCCCCCCCCTGTACAATACAGACTATGGCCCCATGTACAATACAGACTATGGCCCCCTGTACACTACAGACTATGCCCCCCCCCCCCCCCCTGTACAATACAGACTATGGCCCCCCTGTACAATACAGACTATGGCCCCCTGTACAATACAGACTATGCCCCCCCCCCCCCTGTACAATACAGACTATGGCCCCCTGTACAATACAGACTAGCCCCCCCCCCCCCCCCCCTGTACAATACAGACTATGGCCCCCCTGTACAATACAGACTATGGCCCCCTGTACAATACAGACTATGCCCCCCCTCCCCCCATACAATACAGACTATGGCCCCCTGCACAATACAGACTATGGCCCCCTGTACAATACAGAAATAAAGTGCAGAAAAAACCTGTCAATGTGACCAATCTGATAAGGCAGCCACTCGCCCTGGAATGCCACTGCAACTGGGACCAAGGGATGTAATTTACAGGCAAATGACCCTAGATAAGGAGACCACTTCTTCAGGCAAATGACCCTAGATAAGGAGACCACTTCTTCAGGCAAATGACCCTAGATATGGAGACCACTTCTTCAGAGGGACCACATTTGTAAGATCCACATTCGTGAGGTCCCTTGAGCGGTCAGCTTAGACACGTTTCTCCGTAGAGGAGTTCTGTCACTGTTTTACAGTATTCGTAAATTGGTTGAGCCCCCCCCCCCCCCCTGTGACGATTGCTGCTGCTGAATTCTACTCACTCGTATTGTTACGCTGCCGGTCTGCGGGTCAATATCACCTTCCACACTCCTCCCTTCCAAGAACAGTGTCTTCGTGAGGCCCTTCTCATCCGTAACATTGTTCAACATCAGCTTTGCGCGACCTAGAAACTCATCTGAAAAGACGATAAGCAAATCAGCACAAACACGACTGATGAGTGACAATGACTCAATCATGATCTCGGGCATGTCACGAAAAGAAGTTTAGATGCATGAATTGTCATCACTGAAGTGTGCTGGAACTGGAAGCAGTTATCACATTTCAGAGTACTGTGACCAGTGGCAACTACTTGGTATCAATGACATCATCATCAGCTTGTACATGTACCGTGATGCCAGCTTACTCTTCCGGATGACATCATGATGATGAACAGATACCGTCAGACACGTACTCTCGTCACCCAGATCACTGCATGGACAGAGGATAACACAAGGGAGAGTTGCAGGATGAGAAACAGCTGGGGAAAAAGTACACAAAGAGAGGTACAGAAAGTAGATAGATACAATACATGTGACATGTAAATACCAGTACATAACTCCGCTGATCCCCGAGCTGCAGAGAGTGCTCCATGTCAGAGACAGAGCTTAGTACATAGCAGACTCGGCGGAGAACATTCAGGTTGGTTGTAAGTTGAAACTCTGAATTTCATCACGCTAGGCAATCATCAGACAACTGATCTGATAGTACTGAGACCTACCCAGCAGTATGGTTAATACACATAGAGTCACAGGCATAAACAAATGTGCAGGTGGGTGCCAAGTCTGGTGGCGTAAGGTATTGGGAGAAATCTAGCGCGGGCCAAGGCGTTAGGAGAGAGACACCAGGCGGGTGGCAGTGTCAGGAGGGTGGCGGGCAACAGGCGGGTGTGAGTATTAAAGCGCGGACAGAGGTGTTGGGGAGGCAGTGTACAGCAGTGGGTGACGGTGCCAGGAGGATGATAGATAGATGGATGGATGGATGGATGGATGGATGGATGGATGGATGGATGGATGGATGGTTGAATGGATGGATGGTTGAATGGATGGATGGTTGGATGGATGGATAGATTGATAGATAGACTAGTAGCGAGATGAATGGATAGATGGCTGGATGGATGGGTGGGTTGATGGGTGGATGAGTGGATGGGTGGATAGGTTGATAGATGGATGGATGTATGGGTGGATTGATGGGTGGGTGGTAGGGGTGAACGAGTATCTATTTTGACCAACCGATCACTCATTCATAATGTTCGATCGAGTATCCGATTATTTCGAGTATTTTATCAAAATTCGAAAGCGCTAGATTTGTGAGTTCTCGACCAATTCGGAAGAAATTATCTGTGAACATAGAACAAAAGTCGCCAGCGTCTTGTACAGAGTGTAGAGTAACGATTTTCACCAGTACTTTCATTATCTCATAACAAACTAACGTTACTTGCCGTGGTGATCGCATCGTCGAAGTCATAAAATACTGACTCAAAGGCATGCAACACGCATGCATACCAGTCGATGAGCGGTACAACAGAAGTTTTTGAAAAATGAAATGCCCATTCTAAAAAAAAAAAAAAAAAAAAAAAAAAACGATCGAGTGCAAAATTTCGAATACTCGCTCGTTTGAAATTTTCGAACGAATACTCGAATATTCGAACTAATTGTTTCACCCCTAGTGGGTGGATGAATGGATAGCGGGAGGATGGACGGGACGGATGGAGGGAAAGAGAACATGAGAGAGGTATAAGAATAACTACAACTCCCTGTTGCACAAGGTTTGAGTTGTTTTCGAACATGCAACTGTGACAATATAGTTGTGTTGCCAACCCAACTGCTTTGCCCTGAAGAGCAATAAGATAATATATTAAGCTGCTTGGTAGTATACGTCCACTCACGGCATAGTACTCACAAGACAAATGCTTCATTCCACTCTGGCGAGGTGGCCTTACGGACGATGGTGGTGTTCTGAGGCTTTTGATCCGGTGAATCAACTTCTAATGTACAGAATGAATCGCTGTAGTCTAAGCAAATTGCAAATACACAGAATGAAAACAAAATTCACTGCTATATGCTTGAATGGTATTGTTAGGTACCTCCTCCCATACGTTGTACAACCTTTTCCAAGCTGGTCTGCATGCACCCTCGTACTCACCTTTCGTCTGCTTTTGTCACCTTTTGTTCCGTTGGCCTGGGCAGCTACTTGCACACCCATATTTGCCATAGCTACCCAGGCCCTATATCTTGCCGCCCTCACTTGATCTCTCTCTCTCTCTCTTGTCTCTCTCTTCCACAATGTAGTCGTTCCGTTCGTCTTTGTCTGAGTCTCTTCGTCTTCCCTAAAGAATGTCGTTCCCACCTCACAAAGTTAACCTGTTCCCGTTGTCCGTTGTGTCTGGAGAGTAATCGTCCTTGTTCGTACTCAACAGTATGAACCTCCATCAGAAATCAAACCTTCAATAGTATCCCACGAGGATTCAATAAGAACATCGTCTACCTCATACTGTAGGAAGTATAGATTCAGTTGTTAAGGTGGCTTGGAGGGGTGGCAGTTATCGACTCGGTGAAGGAGATCTGATAACCTGTAAATCGGCAAACAATGCCTGGTGTACTTCTCTAGTCCTACAAACAAACAGACATCTCTCAATTTGGAATAGCGTACAAACATCCAACAAACTGGGATTCTTCAAAGTAGCTGGCATTATGTGGACTGAAAAACATCCTGCCTCTTTTTGTAACCTGTCACATGAAAAAATAGTAGCTGGTCAGTAGGTCCAAAAGAGACATAATGGTGCCGGCTGGCCTCCATGGCAACCCTATACTATCACAGGGCCACTTGAAACAGACCCGAATGCATCGTAAGCACTTCAGCCACAGTTTGACTGGCCAGTAATAGTAGATACCAGTCACAAGGGAATGATAATAGTAAGTAAGTATAACTCTCTGCCAAAGTGAGGATCAGCTCTACATACCTTTTCCTTTCCGACAGAGACGATGTCCTTCAACCACTGGAGCAAAAATGGATTAGAACAATGACAGACGATCGGTATTTCAGCAGGAGGAAGAGGCAGTGAAAATTCCAGCAATGTTTGGGCAGCACAAACTACAAACGCCAAGTGCTTCTCCTCGAATGCTCTGGAGCAGTATCCGGAATGCTGTCAAATACACATGCTGACAGATAATGTATGTTCAGAACTCATTACCTTCCACGACTAGTTGCTTGGGAAGGAGGTCTAGAGACATCCCACCGCCAATCGGTTGCTGGTTCAGGGATGTTTGTGAGCGAGAGAGCGGCCGCACCTTGGACAGGCTAGCCAGCTGCTCTTCCAACAATTGGTTTGAATACCTCTACGAATGCATGGGACATCACATGTTAGCACAGGAGCAAGAAACAGAATATTAGCGTATTGAAAGGAGACTGAATGGACAAATAGACACAAGTAATGAGAAAGTGTCCACCACTGTAACCAGACAGTACGAGTCACACTACAATACAGTCACAAAGTGCAGTGACGGCTAGTCACACTACAATACAGTCACAAAGTGCGACGGTTAGGGACCAAACTGACAGAGTACAGATATGTCTCTGTGAATACGAGCTATTAGGAAATTGAGGAGACGTGTTAAAGCTAGGTGTCAGATCATTAAGTTTTAATGACCGGACACCTAGCTTTAACACATCTCCTCATTTTTTTCTCATAGTTCGTATAAACTTGTCCCTTGCCCTTTCTATATCACTGGCTCGGCAAGTGTCATGGTGCATTGCCTATTGTTTCAATCGTCTATAGTTCACAGCTGAATTGCCAGCACTGTGGGACCATGATGGGAGACTTTTGAAGAAAACTACAACCAAGTTTCAGATTTTGTTACAGTTTGGCTGCATACGACAACCAGAGAGCGACAATGACATGGCTCGGATGTTATCTAGTCCTTCTCCTTGTGCCAATAGATACACAGATACACAGACACACAAACACACACACACACACACACACACCACACACCACACACACACACACACACACACACACACACACACACACACACAAACACTGAAAATACCACAACTGCTAGACACTGGAAAAAGTCATTGACAGATGTTCTGAGCATGCAAACGGTGACTCATTAATAGAGAGGTTCCGCACTACGTGAAGTTGAGCAACTTTACGTTAGTGGACAGGGAAAACCCGTAAATTCGCGAGTTTGCATTCCACTTGCGGAACGTTGTGTACGTAGAGTATGTAGATAGGGCTCTGATAACGGAGGTGCTCCGTATGTGGATTGGGGTACAAATTGTATGACTCTCCTCAGGTTGACCCGGCCGCGTTCCGAGTTATCAAGGGCAGCTACGTGATTTGAAAACTCCGTCTGGCAGAACACAGATCCGCATGCAGTGTACGTAAGACTTTCCGTAGATCGACTACGTTTTTACTAACGTAATCACGTTATACGTAACCTCTCTATTATCATTTTTAAATGCAAAAGAAATGATTCTTAGTTTGCTTACAGACGATTCTGGCTGTGGCGGCACCAGCTTGACATTACACAGCTCAAGCACCTTTTCGAAGGCGGACGTGAGGAACGCCTTCAGCTTTACTTCCTCCTGGAGACGATCACAGTGCGGAGAAAATTGAGAATCAAATGCTGTACTGGCAGTCATCCACTTGTACCAGTACTGTACGGGCAGCACTGTACATGCACATCATTGCAAAAGCAGTACAATGATTCTTTATCCACTGATGATGTTGTTCAGAACAACGAAACGTCTGGAGAAGTATCGTTAATATTTCTATCTTTATTTATCGAATATGCCACTCTTTGGTCTAGAAAGAATACTTTTTTATATTACAATGAGAGTGGATAACCAACGGCTTGTCCACAAACTCTTTGATGCGACCATGTATGAGTATATGTATGTGCTTATCGAACTGTACTGATTGTGGTTACCTGGGCTTGTCATGCAGCCTCGGTGACACGTAGACTGAGCTGCAAGTACCCTGGCTCAAACTCATTGTACAATACTCTAATTTCAGAAATTTTCGGTGCTCAATATTTTCGGTATGAGGGCAACAGGCCAGGTTAGGTGAACAGAAATTTTCGGTATATAGAAGCAGTTCCCTATTGGATTATGTGTGTTAGTGTTTGTTCGGTGTATTGAAATTTTAGGTATGAAACAGGCGCACCGAAAGTACCGAAAATAAAAGTACACCGAAAATGTGTGAAATTACAGTATACAGTAATCCATGCACGTGCATAGCAAACAACACGACGGCTATACGGCTTGCCTGTGAGTGTGCACTGGGGGGGGGGGGCAACATGGGCTGGTACATGTCAGAACAGTGTAGCCATGAAGGCATGAGTACCAGAGCTGGTATAGCCCATGTGCGCACTCAGCACAGGCAGGCTGTACGGTAAGTACTGCACACAACAAGAGCGTTGCCAACCGTATTTCCCCGAAAATATGTCCCACCTTTTCACACTAAACTTCAAGGGCAAAGAAGGGGATGTGCCTTGCAATCAAGTGTGACATCCTACTTATCGGTGAATAGATTGAAACAACATGGGTCAAACCTAAAAGTGGGGGTGCGACTTATAATCGGGGAAATATGGTAGTAACTGCAGCCATGCAGTGGATATTGACAGGCAGCGTGGTGCCAGATAGTTTGGCGTCGACATCATTTATTTGCAGATCTCTGTGGCAATCTTTGTAAACAACACCACATGGCCCTATTGTCAAACAAATACATGATAAGTATTATGTAATTGACCCGCTTCTTACATTCTTGTGCAGCAGGGCTCCACTAAGGAGTTGCGGTGTGGTGCTGAGCGCGTGCAGCTTCACAGTTGTCAGTTCATACGAAAACCTTGGAACGCTGCCTGCCTTACTATCCAGGGGCTTGTAGGGCGATATTCTCAGCTGGACCTAAACACAAAATGGGCAGTGTGATGTCAATGCAGAGTGCAGCTCTGGGAGATCCTATCACGCGAGCCACTAGCAACGGGCGCTGTGCAGCTCTTGACCTGCGCTCTCGTTTGAGCAGGCTAATTTTTTTAAAATGAGATCAGATTTCACTGACCAGCTTCAATGTCAATAATTCAATAGAGAGGTTCCGGGGTACGATTTTCCGTGCCAAAATCCGTATGGGCGCTACGGATTTTTTCCAGGCGTGCTCCATACGATTTTTCGGCACGGAGAATCCGTGTGGACTGGCTTTCATACGAACCATGTTTCGTATGGAGATTTTGCGTCATCGGGTGCAGAAAGATTTTTCGCGTACAAATTTGGAACGAGAAACATCGATTTTCCGCGGGAAGTTTTGATTTCGGTACAATTTTTCAAAATAAAAGGCATAGCGCGGGAATGTGACGTGTTTGCGATCGTAACCTAGACAATGACGGCAAACACATAAGTTCCGTACTTCGGAACATTTCACTGCTCGAAAACGACGTATAAAAAATCCGTAGCGCCTCTACGGATTTTGGCACGAAAAATCGTACTCCGGAACCTCCCTAATATCAATCCAATAAGCAGGATCTTTCAACAGTTCAAGACAGAAAAAAACTTTACAAAAAAGATAAAAGATCTGCGCCGTCCGGGAATCGAACCCGAGTCACAAGAATGGGAATCTTGCATGATACCACTACACCAACAGCGCTTTGGTGGGAATGCTCTGGCCTACTGAATATAATATTATTGATATTAGCAGCCACATACATACATAGGAGATGGTTCGTTATAATATAACGAACCATCTCCTATAATAGGACACATAAACAAAGTCAAAAACCAAAACGGGAAATCCCCACATCGCATATATTGCGCAGCTCATGCAACTGTCTCAAATTTTCCGATGGGACGTACGATGCGATGTACGGCTTTGACCGGATCTTTCAGCTTTGACGGGATCTTTCAACAGTTCAAGACAGAAAAAAACTTTACAAAAAAGATAAAAGATCTGCGCCGTCCGGGAATCGAACCCGAGTCGCAAGAATGGGAATCTTGCATGATACCACTACACCAACGGCGCTTTGGTGGGAATGCTCTGGCTAATGAATATAATATTATTTATATTAGCAGCCACATACATACATACATAGGAGATGGTTCGTTATATAATAGGACACATAAACAAAGTCAAAAACCAAAACGGGAAATCCCCACAACGCATATATTGCGCAGCTCATGCCGCAACTGTCTCAAATTTTCCGATGGGACGTACGATGCGATGTACGACTTTGACCTTCTTTGCAGAAAAGTTGTACAAAGTTATACTGTTCAAGAGTTCCTTGTAGATTTGTAAATGTTGTAACCAGCCACACGACTGCCACGGTGACGCACTCGCCAGTATTGATCTTTGAACCATATCAGCAAGGCAACGTAGAATCGCTGACTTCTTCGGTGAACGGTATTTCGCAAGTTCGCGTCGCATCATGCATCTCATCGCAAAAAAAGATTCATTGGTTGAGTAACAGGGAAATCCAACCGTCATATTATCCAAAGGCTGCAAGGTCACGAATAAGTCGGAATAACCCACCGTTATGCCATACAACTGTGTAGGCAGGTCCGTGATTGCTTTGTACACACTCTGAAGCATGCCTCATGATCGCACCCACCTGTGTGTATAATACGACGTGACTACAGTACTGATGTAAGAAGTTTGAATATCGCTGACAAAAAAACAAGTACCCAGTGCTGGAAGCCTTGTGATGTATGCCTGTACACTCTGGGGTCTACGAACTCTTTAGACACTGTATAGCAGGAACTTTTCGGACGGAAACATTTTCGGACAAAGCCGAATTTGGACCTTTCGTACGGATTTTATTTTCATACAGTGCTGCATGCTAAATGCACGTGTTCGCATGCGGTATAACAAGAGTGAAGAGTCCATAAGCAGTTTATGCACTCTTGGGTATAATTGTATCGTGCGCATGTATTGTGTACATAACTTCACAGGAACAAATTTTAGTACGGAATTAATTTTAGTACAAAAAGAGGCCGTGAACGAAATCGTACGAAAATACTTTCTGTCCGAAATTTTCCTGCTATAGAGTAGGTGCGTAGCCGCTCAGAGCAGGATAAAACTCAATCGGAAATCCTCAGCAATGCAAAAAAAGCCATCGGTAAGTTACCTTCATTTGCAGCTTGCGCACGGTGACACCGGCCTGGACTTGGCTGACACTACCCTTGTACTGACCCATACATGTGCAGAGAAACACCAGTGGTGCAACACCATCCAAACTCCACAGGTTGAGCTCAGCAGTGATCACCTGCAGTCGCAAGACAAACAACGGTGGAAAATTGGAACACGTGCGGAACATTTTGACTTAAAATGAGCAGGTTTTTAGTGCATTGCATCTTGCAGGTACATGTGTCACTGCTACACCATGATATTCACTAGTTTGAGGGAAAGATGTTTCAGTCAAATGCAGCTAAGCACCCTTTTCACGTGCGCTGCACCATTTGTCTGAACACAAACTTAACTGAACAGAGGCTACTCATCAGTTACAGGCCTCTAATGCCATGTGCAATTTGCGCCACTCTCTTCAAATTGTGCCGTACCAGTGTATCTCGGGAGTTTCCTTCGTAGCGAAGCTGTGTATCGTTGACAGCGGGCATGCATGAGCCACTACTCATTCCGTCCAGACTGATCTTCCACGCAACCTAACAACGCAGCAGCAGCAGCAGCAGAGCAGGAGAACAATGTACTACATGTACTAGTATGATGGAACTCAATTGCAGAAACCAAAGCAGACTGGCCTAACAGTACAGAATTCATTCTCACACCTACATGTACCGTGTTTTCCGGGGTGTTAACCGCACCGGGGTCTGAGCCGCACCCCCCCCCCCCTTTCTAATCCATAATTGGTATTTTTGTTGACATTCAGTGTTTAAAAGCAACCGTCAGACTTTGAATTTTGTAGTAATCTGACTTTAATAATGGGTATAGCACTATAGGTACATACAAGATGTTTCCAATGGTTAAAAACAGTTGAGATGCAAGACTGAAGGTCCACAAAGGTTGCCAAGTTCGTCCTTCACTCAGAACTGACAACATGTAGAAGCTCTGTGCTACATATAGTACACTGATGGATTGCAGTACAGGAAAAGTAGCTGAATGACACCATACATGCATTATATGCATGGAGTGCTGGTTGATTCACATCCAGCACTCGGAGTCTAAGCCGCAGGTGCGATTTTGAGGTATTTCGTTTCTTTTTTAAAGTGCGGCAAACACCCCGGAAAATGCGGTACTTTTACAAAACGCGCTATGCTCCCTCACCCCGGCTTGGTTGGGCACTCCTTCTGGTCCGCGTCAAAGTTATCTGCTCTTGTGCAAAGCTCGCTGCATTTATCACCGTGTGAGTACTCTAGCTTTGATGCGCGGACCGGGCATTTTAAAAAGGCTGTGTTGTTCTTCACTAGACTTCAGTAGACTTCAGTGATTGCAATCCGTTTGGCCGGTGACTCTGAGCTCTGCTGGAGAGACCGAATAAACTTGAAATTTGTCCGGCAAGGAATTACAAAGTCGAATAGAAGATGCTGGCAAGATATGTTTACCAATCGTATTTTTTGCTGTTCCCTGAGTCACATCTTCAAACCTTTCTTTGGTCTATTCTCTTGCCATTCGGACATGAATTCGAACGCAGTCTAGCAAGTCCAATGACGCAGTGTCACACTGGGCATGAACAACCCACACTGACACACGTCCGGCTTGGCTTACTAGGCTTCATGAGCTAGGGTGCCTGGGTTGTTGAGAACACTCCACATCACTGGCCCACGGAAAACGGTTGTCAGTTGTTGCGTGTTTTGGTGCTTGATGTTAATTACAAAGCCCACCTTTATTTTCATTTCTTCTATCCCACCTACCCATGGACAGGAAACAGAGGCCAATGTAGTGGGAGTTGGCAATGATACCTATTTTCCGGAATCTAAGCCGCACTGGACTATAAGCCGCATGTACATGTAGATATGTTTGTCACGAGTACAGACATCTACTCTAGTTATCACCGTTATTAATTTGACCATCGTACTACATGTATAAGCCACACCGACAGGGGGGGGGGGGGTTACTGGTGGTTACAGGGGGGGGGGTTACTGGTGGTTACAGGGGGGGGTTACAGGGGGGGGGGTTACTGGTGGTTACAGGGGGGGTTACTGGTGGTTACAGGGGGGGGGGGGTTACTGGTGGTTACAGGGGGGTTACTGGTGGTTACAGGGGGGGGGGGGTACTGGCGGTTACAGGGGGGGGGGGTACTGGTGGTTACAGGGGGGGGGGGTTACTGGTGGTTACAGGGGGGAGGGGTTACTGGTGGTTACAGGGGGGGGGGTTACTGGTGGTTACAGGGGGGGGGGGGGGTTACTGGTGGTTACAGGGGGGGGGGGGGGGGTTACTGGTGGTTACAGTGCCGCCTATACTCTGGAAAACACGGCACTCGTTTCCACTCCCTCGAACTTATGAAAAGGTTATGTCGGAGTTACATGCACATGTATGTACAAGTAGGCACTATTGCCTAGTGGTCCACACCCTGCCAGGCCTTGCACTGCACGACTGGAGTTGACTAGGTTTGCAATATTTTTTTGAAACTATGTGCATTGTTTGCAATGAATAATTGAAATTGCGAATTGTGGATAGGATAGGGCAACCGCCTCCGGGCTATGGATCATGATTGGCGGGATTGCTTTTATAAACGTACTTCCAGCTGCACACATATTTAACATTACTCCAAAATACTTTGCAGTCGCTACTGGAAATGTGCCCCACCTTTTTCTCCGCTGATTGCTTGATCAGAAGTTCATTTAGCTCCTTCCTGACAGCTTTGGCCACCCACGTGTGCCAGTGGTCTGGGCAGTTCGCGTGCAGCCATTCTATAAGCAGGAGAGGCTGTAAGTTCACCTTGTCCCAGCACTCTGCGTACGTTGCACCACCGGGCTTGGAGAAAATCCGAAGCCTCCTTCGCTTCTCATTCACCGTCGTATAGAAGTCTTTGACAAGGGTGACACCCGCCGCTCCGACACTCTGGAAACCGACTAGTTTGTAGAGAGCGAATAAGCCAAGCGTAGCCAGGAGCACGGAGAATATTCCGAACACTGCAGCAGAGTAGATGTAGTAAAATGTCTCGCTGACGAACTCCCATACCTCGGACAGCATCTTTCCTAGCTGTTAGCGTCTCCAGCGCTCCCAGCAAGGAATGCCAAGGAAGGCAGCCCGTAAATCTATCGGTAGCGCTTATTAGGCCAGTTGGGATTCTGGTTTCTCTCTACTTCAGTAGTGTAGTAGCTCTCCTTTTCACCACATTTAGACAGTATCGTTCTGTTCGTTCCTCCAGTCCACCGTGATCCACGACACGAGTCGATCATCTCATGCCGCTGAGCGCAATGAATGGGGAAAAATGATTACAAATCACTGACACTGACACACATGCAGACTCTTGAGTAGGCAGGCTGCATCACGTGAACGGGGCACTTCAAACCCTGGGCCTGTGTGTTGGGAGGGACTCTGGTCCTTGAGTGGAATCCAGAAACTCTACAAACTGTGACAGGCGTTGTGGCGTGAATAGAAAGAAGCAAAGAACGATGATTTTGTGATCAGAATAAAACGAGCGCTAGCGCTAGCGATGCAAGTAAAGACCAAAAACACCATGAGCACAACGAATAACCGAACTCCCTCGGACCTCAGATCGGGATGTAACATTGTTGTTGTGGCGCTGCATCTGTCTCTGACTAGACTGTCGCGTGTCGGTGCAGTGTCACCTTCTGACTAAATAAATGACTAGTAATGTGACATAATAATACGGCGAACATAATTATTAACCACTGTGGCATTGATATTTACACAACTACTAAGTAATTAGTTACTTTGGCCGTGGATGCCATAATATGCGCGCGCGCGCGCGCGACTTTCGTGTTTGAAAAAACCCCTCACCAGACAGCTAGCATAACCAAGACTACCGTTCACTTACGTAGACTAGATAGCATAATAGGTTGTGTGAAAGAAGTCGTCTTAGTAGTCAGCGGAACTGCTTATGATAAGGTTATACTTACAGGGTTAAAAGTACAGTGGAAACGGTGATGGGTGCTAATGATTGTACAATACAAAGTGAGTTGCTAGCGCACTGTGCCGCAACTTCGCCAAGTCATCTCAACTGATCATGCACTCTGATCGCATAACCGGGGAAATCTCAGAAAGGGGGTAGACCGGGCACAACATTTCATCGAGGAAAAGGAGGTGGCAAAAATGTCGGCTCAACTGGAGACCATGAAAATTGCGGTGCATGTAACAAAATTTAAAATGTAGCATAGGGCGGAGAATTCGTGTGATGATTATACATGTATGTACCACATGCCTTGCGATACAGAGCTCTATTACACAGTTTGACACATTAAAAAAAAATGTATCAGAGGCTGGTGGAACAAAATGGTGATGTAGAGGGCTAGTAGTGGAAAATGTGACTAAGCATCGCACTGTGAGCCGCTCAACGGTGGCTAAATGATTCGTCTGATCTCTCCAAAACAGTACTTTCCACACAATGAGTAGCAGACTATATCAGTGTTGGGTGCTGCATGAATGCGATACTTGAAAATTGTGTGTGGACGTAGGGACGTAGAACGTTTGCCCTAGTTGCATGCGTCAGTTTTGTTTACCCATGGCGTCCAGTATCCATTGAAGTTCTTGGGATTGGCGGCAGGTTGCGAAGCGGTGTGGCCATCAGGCACAGCATGCGCAATGTATTGCATTTGCAAATGTGCCGTCAGCTGCGTCACAATGGCTGTTTCAGACGTGGCCAAATTGTTCCTCTCCTCCGGATCCTCCCGCGGCTTGAACAAGTAGACGGTATGATTGGCTGCGTCGGGCCCCAGAATGTCCAGGATGTCGGGCAAGTCACTGACCAGGGGTGCGGATGTAGCATCGTGCAACAACGATCTATCCCCTTCCCAGCTGGGTTCAGGGTACCAGCCGTCCGGCGCACCGGGCCCGATTAGCAGCTTCCACTCGCCACTGCGCAGGCCTGCATATCCACAGCAACCCTTGTCACCACCGGTCGCTAGGGGATCATAGTTGTGCAGGATTTCGGTACGAGGTGACTCGCCGCTTCCTGTGGACAGGATCGGCCATAGATCATGCCCGTCTAGCGGCAGTGTTCCTTCAGTGTTGCCTCCTGCCGCGGCAATGATCGTGGGAAACAGGTCGGTGGCGTGCATCATGGCGGATGTGTTCTTGTTGCTGACGTCCACACCGGCACCGTGAACAAATGCAGTGCCGCGTACTCCACCGTCCCACAGCGTGTGCTTGCTACCTCGAAGTGGCCAATTCACAGCACCAATACCGCTGAATGTGACATTCACAGGCCCGCCGTTGTCCGCAGTGAATACCATCAAGGTGTCATCCCACAGCCCTAACTCCTTGAAGAGGTCGGTCACGTTTCCGATCGCTTCATCCATGCAGCTCACCATACCGGCGAACTTGCGCCGATTCTTGTTCTCTATGTGCGCGTACGGCTTGACATAGTAGCTGTCGGGTACCTCCTGAGGTGAGTGTACATTCTGGAATGCCAAGTACAGAAACAGCGGCTTGCTGCTTTGACTGTTTGCGTACTGGCGCACAACGCGCTGTGCCTCGCGTGCAAACGTGAACGCCGAGTACGTGCTGTCTTTGGGCACCGGCCGTGTGTCATTCCGGTAGTCTATGCCGCCACTGGCCGTGTGCTCAAAGTAGTCCTCCGCGCCGCCGTAGAAGCCGAAGAAGGTCTCGAATCCGCGCGCCGTTGGAACGTGTTGCCAGCTGTAGAATCCTAGATGCCACTTACCGACCATGTGCGATGTGTATCCAGCCTGTGCAGTGGAGTATAATATCACAGAGAGGACGCACAAAGTAAGACACAAAATAATTGAAAATATACAGTCAGTTGTTCTTGGAAGAACGACGGCTGCATTCGTAAACCTGCAGCTGGTTTGGCCAGCATTGCCGACCAAGAATGCCTTGCTATTTTTGGGAAGTTGCATCACTTATGACCATGATTGTAAACTCAAATGTCACTTATCGGGTCACTTCAGGATGGAGCCCATGTTGCCTAACCAGTTTATTGTTTGCATGATTTTACTTGTTCATGTGACACAAAACAAACAGAATTGTAGTGGCAATACTACTTCAGAAGTATTTAGTTACGCTGATGGGATTCCCCATTGTAGCATACCAAATTACTGTAGGTATCGGTTATAGCGTGGGTGTTTGAAAAACGACTTTCTATTCTTTTTTCCAATATTTCTTACACACGATAAATCAAGTGTGACATATCATGTGCATGTGCGCAGAGGCAGGAAGAGCATCGTACATGCAATGACTGTGCATGCGGCTGGTTATAGTCAAATAGACTTACTATGGCCATATTGTGGCTATGCAACATGAGTTACATGACCACAACAGTTGAACCTGCACAAAGTCCATTCTTAGGACCGATATATTCTACTGTACGATAAAATTGCTTGTAAGAATAAATGTGCACTTGAAGTCCATGTTATGATTATGAAACCACGAGAGTTCATTCTTGTAGGCAGTATATTCTTTTACACGACCACGCTATCACCGATACGCACTGTATTGACTTCAAGTATTTCTGTTATTATCAATATTCAGTACGACCAGTTTCCTCTTTCGAGGAAATACAGTATATCGTATACACGGCTCGGTTCAAGGCAAAGGATCTTGGAGCCATGGAGGGCACAGCACCTTTCTGGCAGTGTGCCCTCCTGACAGGGTCTGTGCCATAGCCGAGTAAAGGTAAACCAGGCAGCGTAGAGAAACTCCTAGCCAGGTTCAAATCAAGTGGACATACAATGTATGATCGCATCACTATTCATATGTACATGCCTGTATGCACAGTACACACTACCTTCAGTATAGAGGTTATGTGAATGATATCATAGTGGTGAGTCAGCGGATCCGCTTATGGGAACAAGGCATTAGTGTATGGCGAGAATTTTGTGGTTTCCATGGTTTAGCTTTGAGCTAGTGCATCGTGCTGTGCGAGACTTTGGCAAAGCATCTCAACTGATGACACAATCGCATAGCCTCTATAGACCGTGATGTGCGTTGTATTATGTTATTGAACATGTACAATATGTGCCATTGCCACTGCCAGCCTGGTGACCCTGGTCTCTGCACGTGCAGGAGGCTTTATACCGGTGTGTGCCTCTACACATACTTCAGTGGTCGCCCACGGACGCCTGTTTCCTGCATGATTGTACATGATTGTAATGTTACTACATGTAGTAGTTGAGCTTGTTTTGTAACTTTTCTAGGTGGCCTGCTTGAAGAGAACGTCAAGAATCAAGAGTTTGGGACCACTACAACCAAGCATCATACCTGGTTCAGCTTCTCCGGTAGGAGAGTCTCGTTTGTGGGCAATGCGAACAGCTGATTGTTCGGGTAGACGTGGTGCAACAGTCCGTAGCGGATAGGATAGCGTCCCGTCAGAATACTCGTCCGCGTTGGCGAGCACACGGGTTGCACGTAATAGTTATCCAGCGTCACTCCGTCCGTTGCAAGCTTGTCCAGGACCGGTGTGCGAATCTCGGAGCCGTGGAAGCCCACATCGCCCCAACCCAGGTCGTCGGCGACCACCAGCAGCACGTGAGGCTGTTTGGCAGCCTCGCTAAACTGCCCATAACCAATGCAAGCGGCGACAAGAGTGAAGACACACCAGGAACGAATCATTTCGATCAACGAACGTCTTACCAATCCGGTTCTTCGCATGGTCGGTTGATGGGATACTGTTGCGTTAGTAGTGTATACTATCGTTAGTTGCTTTTCTGTGCCGCATCCTATCTGATACCGATACTTGAGTAAGTGATGAAATAATCAGGGTGTCTTGAAAACGCTTTCACGACACCCTGATTGTATCCATGGTATCAGTCGGTCCGACCCAGCTAGGCGTCATTCTACTTGTACTTGTACTTAGTTGTAGTTGTAGTAAAAAATAAGAGTACTACTAGTACTAGTACTAGTAGTAGTTAGCTACTAAGTAATTAGTTAGCTACGTAGTTGCAGTGCACATGGTGCATGCTCTACTACTCCATCTCTGTGCATGTGGTGGCCTGTGTGTCGCTTGGAGACGCCTAGCGCCTTTACTTGAGACTTCCCACGGGCAGACTTGTTATGACAGTCATAATCATATCGACTAAAGAAGTAAGACTAAAAGTATCGATTGGTGCATGTGTGGATATAGCTACCAGTCACACCTGAAGATCGCCCAGAGGTTGAAACACTGCGTGACTACATGACAATGCTCCTCTTTTCCTACTTATACTAGTTATCAGGTTATACGGACTGACAATCTTTGTGTTGAATTATCATGATTGTGACTTTCAACTAATACATGTACTTCACTACCGGTATCACGAGTACTGTAGATCTACCGAAAGTGACTCTGAAATAATGTTCTAGGGAGGGTAGGTCCCCACTGACCGACAGCCCCAGACCACCCCAGTAAGCATCTTCCCGGGACTCTTGCCACTACGTAACCGTTGTATAGTCTTTAGAGATGATTGATAGAGCAACTGCCCTCTCCCTCTCTTCTCCCGCTCCCCCTCGTATAACGGTACCATGTGCATGTACATGTACGTGCATGCCAGCACTGTGCAGAAAGGCAGACTGACAGGTGCCTACAATTTGTAGTTTCCATCTCTATGCTATGCCCTCACAAAACACTTTGGAATGTTGTATCCACATTGCTGCAAAATGACAATAATACTAACACATCACTCAGTACAACAATTACATGTATGTACAGTATACATAGATGCCGTTGGTGTTACGCTGGTAGCAGTAGCCAGCAGTACTGGCCGAATTACCATAATTATTCTCTCAGGGAGGTTGAAGATCAATACGAACGTACGAAAAGAAAACACACTAATCACTAATACTGTCAAACTCATGCACTAGCTAGTAGCTACCTTCCACTGAGCTACACTAGTTACCATGGTAACTACAGTGTGTATGTACCAAAGACAGTGACAGAGCGCACTAAGTAATAGTTAGTTGACTAAGTACTGGCAAAGAAGAGATCCCATAATTGTACAGAGACTGATGATAACTGCAAACTATACGATGAATATGTGTGCTACAAAGTTTAAGAGGTTCTAAGGGCACATGATTACATGCATCACATCCACTCTCTAGCTGCAGAGCACTAGCAGCAGCTGTTCCAGCCATGCAGTCTTGCTGAACTATAACATCATACATTGCATGTGAAAGAGTATGGTAGCCACCACACTGGACAGAACCCTACATAGTGTAACATTAGTTACATTGCAGTCTGCTGGCGCCGGACCTTGCGATGCCTGACATATTGATTGCCGCCGGGCATTGCACTGGGGTGTTCGTTTACTTCCAGCCCGGACATGCTATGCCTGGCTTGAGCAGTACATCAAGGACGCAGCAGGGGTGAATCACTGATCAAGCAATGGCGGCCAGGTCATATTCGTTGCCGCTTGCCACACACGGTTCAACAGTCGTGTGCACAGGGCACTGCTCGGAACTCCCAGTAGGCGCCAGAACGGCATGCACTTCCGAGGCGCCACCATTCTCATGAGGCGTCGGCAGTTTCCGCAGCGCCAAAGCCCCATCAACTTTTGTGTTTTCTGCATACTCACTTTTCCCCTGTCGTGGAAATCCAGTAGCTTACGCATGGTGGGTAGAATGGTTGAATCCTGCATCACACAGTAGGTTCAAGCCAGTTCAGATTTTGGGATTAGCTGAGGGTGATCAGTCAGTCCTCTACAATAAAGTCAAGCCTGTGAATAACAGTGAATCGTGAATATTGATGCTATCTTGGGACCAAACAACCATTTCACAGCATATTATATACATTACTGTAAAGTGATGAACTTGCGCGGCGTGCAAATTTAGCGTTTCCAAGAAATCTGCAGGTTCACGATGAGAAACTTCCGAGACTTCTTACATACATGTGCATGTATCTGTTCAGTTGCATAGTGTATTGTATATTATCAATGTGCATAGTGTATTGTATACTATCAATGTGCATAGTGTATTGTATACAATCAATGTGGATAGTGTATTGTATACTATCAATGTATACTTTGTGGCGATATAATTATATTCTGTACCTAGATAAAACAGAGAGGTTCCAGGCCGTCCAAGAGAGTGCTCAATACCGAGAGGCAGAGCTAGTTCAAACAATAAAAACGACGAGAAACACTTTTCCCGTCCTCGTATTGTCTGTACCTAGATACTATAATAGGCGGAAAGTGAAACAAGTGCAGCATAACACTGACAGAGCACTGAGACATTCAATGACCTGACACCTAGCTCCAACACATCTCCAAAGCGCTAATCCATTGTTCCACTCTCTGACTATTATAGTATCTAGTTTACAGTGGTGGACATATTCGGATGGAAAGCCAAAGATTAAGATTAAAAAGAGAGGGCCAAAAAGGAAAAAAAAACGATAACTTGTAAACATTTGATCCTCTCTCTTGCTCGGGCCTATATCGCGAAAATACTGGAGGTCAAAAACCACTTTCTCTTCGATTTTGCTTCTAAATTTTCAGGGTTGAAGCGTCCTGAGGGTAAACTATCAATCGCGGCAGGATGTACTGTTGCTTTCACAGTATCTACTAGTCAGTATCGAACATATTCAATGATTAGAGGACACTGCCACATAAACTGTCTACAGTACACAGGCAAGACATTTTCATGGGTCAAGCTGGCCAGCTTACCGGGATCTGCCAGCTTCTCGCACTGGTGGACATTGTGCTGTGGAATGCTGGCATGGCTGCTCGACGGGCAGTTTCATCATCGTAACCCGCATCAGAGAGTGACTCATCATCGTTGACAATAGTGTACATGTCCTGGTGATCCGTGGATCTTCTGGTCCTTGCTGTGAAATGTTCATCTAATGATGGCACTGTATATGAACAGGAATAGGAATACAATATGGATACTGGTTTGCCTCTCAAAGCAAATACCAGCGTCCATGATTATCGGCCATGTGTTTGACATGATACATTGTATTTGCATGTCATGGAAAACCTTACGCATGCATGCATAGTAGCATTGCGTACACACATACACACACATAGACGTGGGCACACACGTATATAGAGATATGCACACGCACACGCACTTAGACACACAAACAAACACACACATACATGCACATGTACACGCACATCCCCCCCCCCCCCCTCATGCACTCACATGTAGACTTTTTGCTTAGGGGTCCGAGTTACGACCTCCAGCACGTTAACATGGTCCACTTACTGAATGCGATCATGAAACCCGCTACTCTCCCACCAATGTCATTATGGTCACTGTGGAAGGTCACGTTGAGAGACCCATAGTAGCTGAAAGCCGAGCCCATATCCACAATGTCGCCGCAAACGCGCCGTATGGAGCCGTCCGACAGAGGATACTCGACGTGGTCCGCTAAACAGTTAAATGAGCCCTCCATTACTAAGTGTGTGAACTCGGAGTAGATCACGTAGAGCTCGGGAAACGCGGTGGTGAAGTAGAAGTGGCAGTCCATGTTGCTGAAGAAACCACACTGTCCTGTTGACACCCTGTTTTCGATATCCGATGCCAACTGCACCAGGCATGTTCCGTCGGTCTCGTTGCGACTCTCGTCGACTGGCACGCTGAAAATGGCCTGTTGGAGGAACGGATCGCCGCCACTCATGTACGTCATGAACTGGGGCACGCAGCCGCTGCGTTCCTCATCTCCTCCGGCACACGTGCATTTCGCTTTGGAATCCCCGTATGGAAATCTACAAGCAAACAGTTTGAAGCAAGACTTAGCCGAAAAGGGCTAGCATAGGTATAGAGGTACATCTCCTGTAATGCTAAAACATAAGGCTGGCCGCATGTGATTTCGTGCACACACACAGAGAGGTTAACCCAGTCTTTGCCATTGGACTTAGATTGCAGCGGCATTCTTTTGCCCAAGTGCTCATCATGGTTTGAGGTGTTTGACAGCTGAGATCACAGTTGGTCAGTATAATAATTATGACAGGGTCACCACTTGTAAGCATGGCTCAGGATCGAAAAATTCGAGCGTACTCTTTGCCACACGTCTTCGGTCTTTTTGACCATGGTTTCAACCTTGACTGTAGGTAGCCGGGTGTCGTGAAAGGGCTTTCACAGCTCCTGGATTTCAACGAGTTATCATGGCTGCGTTTTGCAGAGATGTATCACAGCTGCTTTAGCTATTTTCTAAGCACAAATCTCAAGAACCGCAGTCTGCAAACGAGCTGTAAAAGCTATCAGTGTTCAAATTGGGAGATTTTGCAGCCTTGGTGCCATAGCATTTAATATCTGAGTTTATAGGTTAGTGCATGGCAGGGAGGGCCTTTTATGGCTTGTTAGTGCCCGACAGGTTAGCCTGCGGGCCGTAGGCCCGAGGGCTAACCTGAAGGGCACAAACAAGCCATAAGGCCCTCCCTGCCATGCACTAACTATTTTAGAACGAGGTTACATAAGTTATCTCCCTTGCATTATGCTTGTGTACCCTTATATTGGGTAATTTATGGTTTGTGTGCAGAGAGAATTCGTGTGGTATGATAGAATATTTTCTTCTGGTAAAGCCTAGTTCACATTCGACGCAACGCCGACGGTACGGGACGTAAGGGCTTGTCGGGAGGGCTGGGGTGAGCTGTAAAATCCTGTACGATTCGTACGACACGACACGCAGCAGTCGTTGCGACGTTCAACGTCGAACGGCGCGAGTCATAAGGCACGGTCCGTGACGGGGTGACTTTCGGGCCTAATTTCTCGTTTTTCGGGACTTCTTTTCAATTATTTCTCCTTGAAAGAAGCGGAATCAAGTTCACAATACCAGTTTTTCATGAAGACCAGTAAACTAGCCCTGAAAGTTGTAGCATTCACATAATAGCCCCATGAAATGATAGAATAGTTCGTCTGTCACGCTTCTGAACTATCCCTAAATGCAATAAGTGACATGAGATCTTATGTTGCTAAAATTCAACTAAAGTCGTGCTAGCCATTCTGTGAGTTATCATGGGAAGCGCAGTGTTCGAAATGCAAAAAAATCCAAGTACGAATCGGGAGTAGTCGGCGCACGATGCCGTCTCCTGTTCATTGCAGCCGCTTTGTATGCTTGCGTCCCCGTCTACGCCCGTCTACAGTATGAAAAGTTGGATCAATCCAACTCTTCCCGTCGCTTCCCGATCTGTACGGTAGTACGGTTGCGTTCCCGTTCCTGGTGTTCACATTGGACGCCGTCAGACGGTCCCGTCGCTTCCCGTCGATCCTTACGTCGCGTCCCGTCGCGCCCCGTCGAATGTGAACTAGGCTTAACTCAGCACCACTGAGGCCTACTAAAAGTAGAATAGAAGCAAATGAAATGCTGGGCTCTTATTGCGAGCTTCATTCTTATTCATAGCTTGTGGAGCTATTTAGGGGCTTCGAGAGCCCCTTTTCGAAACCGATAATGACTTTGATCTTCGGTTTTTATAGGGTTCTGCCAGCTGTTGACAAAGGAAAATCGTACAGATAAAAAGTACGGGAGGCAAAACCGTACACACTTCTGAAATGCGTAGCTTTTAGTAGTACACTGTACATTTTATGCAGAGTTCATTATCCGCACCGTACTATAATGTGTACAGGAAGTTGTACGCACATGTTTAGACAAAGTAGTAAAATTACGACTGAGCGGGCTTTAAAATCTGATAAGGCCCTGGGCGGGAATGTCGCTGATGGGTCGTTTCCTTTTTTCTTTTCTTTTTAACAGGACAACAATTATTTATTTGGGTAACAATGAGAAAACCAAAACAAAGACAATCATTTCCTGGACAACGAGACAGACCTCGTTCTAAGCCATTTTAGGGGGCATTCGAGTTCACCTCATCAACTTTTGGAGAAACATGTTAGAATTCATTAGTTGAAGTATCCCAATAAAAAGGTTGCTGTCAGCCTCACCACTTTTCAGTGGAGTCATCATAGCAATGAGATTTTCTAAGCGTGCTTCCACGTTCACCAAAATGGGTATCCCTTACGGTATGTGCAGGTTTTGTCGTAGGTACCACGGGAAATTCACACACAAAACAGTTTTCACGGGGGTATTCCAAACTCTTCTAAACTAATCCACCTCTCCCTTTGGATGACACCGTGCAGTTTCAAAGAGTTTTGAGGAGACTTTCATTTTCTGAAGAGGCCAATGACCTACCTCTTCAGAAAAACGAAACTCCTCGAAAAGTCAAAGAGTCACGGATAATTCGAACGCCCCCTTTGCCTTGTCGAGTCAACCTAGCGAATGTCTATATTCTGGAGGGGTAATCGAGCACGCCCCAAAGGCCAAACAACCCGTCCACAACGGGCACTACACCGCTGGACCATGCACCAAAAATAGCACTGCAACCCGGTGCAGGCATCATTATTGCAGTGAAACCACACAGATAAGACAAACTTTCGCTTTAGAAGAACTGATATTCCTAACTCTATTGGAAAAATCACTATTGTATTCATTGCCGGGGCATGAAATATGGATAAGGCCAAAACAAAGAATGACCTTGTTTCCGGTCGCCCGACCGGGTCACTTTTTCCCAAATTCTGAAACTTTTTTTGGTCCCAAATGTATACAAACGGTGGGAATGCCATGTGCGCAAGTGCACTCAACGAGTCATAACTCAGTCAAATCTCAACCGAATTCCACAATCGAAACACCTACAAGGTAGCAGAGATTCTCAGCTGTGGGCTCGAAAACCTCCGGGGTCGATACGAGCTAGAATAACGGAGCTGGAAGGACTCAAACTGTTTACTTGATTTCTCAGGATGTACGAAAACAGGAATACACCACATGCTGCACAAGAACAGTGAGTCAGTCAACTTTGACATTGACCCTTGCCATGATAATGTACATGTGTAGGTCCTCTTGTCCATCAATACCACAACGATTGAGGAACCAAAAAAAGTATCCAAAAAAAGTTTAATTCCGGCCGACCGAGTCTCCTTTTTGAGGGGTTGCCGACCGGAAACAAGCCTATTTTTGTTTTGGCCTAAGAAGAACTCCCCTTATTGCGAACAAATACCATCGACCCCTTGCCTTGGTGTTCGTCCTAAAGTCAAGAGGTTTGACTGTAGATCTACAGTACAGTAACATGGTACCGGTAGTACAGTGAAGGACAGGTGGCTAGGGAAAGATAGCAGCTCTATTGCCTTTGAAGGACAGGTGGCTAGGGAAAGATAGCAGCTCTATTGCCTTCTACTTCTAGAATCGACAATATTCTCTTACGGGTGAGCAGAAATACGACCAGCAGCCATCAGTACTAGTGCACATTGCAGTAGGATTCTGGTTAGTGGCAGCACTAGCGGTTGTTGAAGAGAGTTTCCTGTCAGGAGCTTCGTCATGGCGGCCGCCTTCAACGGTTGTGACGGAAATAACTTGTCGTGTAGTATTGCGGCCGTCGGGACCAGTCAGTCCTGATTTGGGACTGCAGTTATCCGACAAGGAATTAGTCCGTCGTAACAGGGACAGCTATTCGATGCAGTCTAGTCTGCTCAACGTTACTAAGTCTTACTAGTAGTAGAAGTTGGTGGTGTGCTCGCAAGCAAAGCCTACTACCCGCCATTCCTGCCAGGTGCTGGTCTGCAGCTTACTAACTGTTCGGCTTTGAAGCGACAGCGAACGATAGTACATTAATTTTGTAGTGCCAACTCGAATGCTGGGTGTAATGTTGCACCCTGGCCCTGCCTGAGGCTGCACTGGCGATACGACTTACGAGGAGACTGCGGGTTTTGCTGACCACGGAGACGACCGTAAAGCTGGGGAAGAAAATGAACGACCGTGTGGGCTGCTGCTTGGATCTGGCGCGATATATGGATACCACCGATAGTACCGACTACAAATAGTGCATTTATCAAAGTATCACCAAGGTGAGTCACGGCTGTTTGTAATCATGCCTTCATGGACTCAAGCCTTGAAGCCGTCACAGCCGAGGCGGCTGGGGCGGCTGAGGCCGCCCCACTTTTTCGGCCGTTTTTTTTTTTTTTTTTGGAGCACATTGCAACAAGGCGCGATGATCGCAGCTTAGCGCAAACATGACAAATCCTTGTCGTGGTTTGTTGCAGAATCAGAAAGTCTTTCATTGCAGTTACATGTACATGTACACTGAAATGGCACCAAATGCCTGGAAATGCTTGCAATTGGCTTCAATCTTTGAATTTTTTTCCTGGGGGAGGGTAATGTTTGTCCCGATCGTAGCGTCTTCTTGGTTTGTTGCAGAATCAAAAAGACTTTCATTGTAGTTACCGTACACTGAAATGGCACCAAATGCCCGGAAATGCTTGCAATTGGCTTCAATTTTTGAATTTTTTCCTCGGGGGAGGACCCCCCACTCCATGGCCGCCCCACCTCCAAAGTCGGTGCGACGGGCCTGCAGGTCTACCCTCATTAGTAGACAAATCCGGGACCGGTTTAAAAAAATGTTGTCTTGTTTTTATTTGTATAAACGAGTATTACCTACTATCCGGAGTTGCATACACGCGTTCGAGGCGCCAGGGGATTTTGGACCCTTGTCTACCATTGAGGTGTGTCTTGCAACAAATGTCATACCGTTAGTAACGAGGGTAGACCTGTAATGATCATGATGATGGGCATATGTACTCAGTGAACAGTAAAAGAGGTTAGACACGTGACAGACCTTCGTAGTTTCGACGGAGAAGGCAAGGACGAAGCAGATTACCATCATACATTGGCTCAGTGTGCTCGGGAGACGCCGAGTTTCTCCTGCCTTATTCCGGGGAAAAAAACTTGAAGTTCCCTTTCCCGCAAGCTCCCAATGTAGGATATCCTTAGTCTCCTATTATGTGACTCCCGGGGAATGTAGCCTCTCAGTGGAACCAATGTCAAGCGGATACAACAAGTGATGATCAGGCCTGTGATATCACACAATGCAGTAGTATAATGCAGCGAACAGGGCAGGCCGGGCAAAGCCTCAACAGAGCAGGACAGGCAAAGAGAAATGTAGCAAAAATCAGTGCACGCTGAGTGCCTAGAGCCGGGTAATCATGTTCAAGTTGACTAGTGGTTCCATCTCTTTGATGTTGAGCAAATATATATATAAATTAGAGGAAGAGACCTGTGGTGATGTTCGAGGCACAGGCTATGAGTATCAGTCGACGGCATATGCTGATCATCGTAATTCCAGTAGGCATTGCTGCCGTGTGCACCATCGTGATCACTGGTGCTATACTGAGTCATCTGGGGGTAGTCTCTTGAGTCTTGGTGTGTGACAACAAGAGTCTTAACTTCAAGCAGGGGTGTCGGAACCACTACGGTCACTACGATATCGACTGTACCGGGCTCTATTTTTTTGCCCCAGTGAATCAATGAAAATGCATTCCCGAATTTTTCCTGGGAAAATGTTAGGGAAACTGGGCTCAACTAGCTCATATTACATTGCTTCAAAAATCACTAGATGAAACTTTTTATTGGTGCGGCTTTGGCCGCACCTGCCGCACCGGTACCGACGCCCCTGAATGTACATGACTATGTACATGGACATGTACATTGTACATGATATTGGGCACGTTTGATTACACACATTTCGGTCAATTCTAGACTGATCAGTGATTAGGTATGGTGGATGCATCATTCGACACAGATTCCGTCATCAGAATCGACGGAATCCAATTCCGTCGATTCTGAAGAGAGGGCGGAATTGCTAATTCCGGTCCCGCCAGAATTGATGCACTCTACGTACACGCCATGCTAGGTCCACGTGCTCGCGAGGGTGTATGGGATCCCACGTGATCCCCTTTTTACGATGTAACGTGCAGTCGTTCGTTTACTGACATGGCCGCAACTTGATCCGTTCATTCTGTTCATTCGAAACCTGGGTACAGAATATGTGACTGCGTAATCATAGTACTGTAAATGCCATTATCCTAACGAGGTGCATATAATTATAACGATTTCCCAAAATATGCACTTGGCACGTACATTGTGCGGGTGATCTTTCGGAGCCCGGGGGGGGGGGGGGGTCCACTTGGCATGTACATTGTGCGGGTGATCCTTATACCGGGATTTAATTTCCGCCCAAGGGGGGGGGGGGTCCCCCGTCGGTTTCCGAGGAAGCCGTAAATTTTTTCGCTCCAAACTATTTTTCCGGGGTCCATCTACTCACAAAAAGTCGTTTTGCACACCTTTTTGCCCATCCCTGTACAACTGAGTCCAGCTATGTCCGCCGCGCAGAGTTAGGTGGATCCCTAACCCGGGTTCTACTCTACACATTAGCCGCGACGTGACCGCTTACTACTGAGTCACCCGTGTTCGATTGGGAATAAGGGCCGAATGCTGCATCACCACCTTTTCGGACCAAAATCAGTCGACTCAGCGTCCAAAAGACTACAACATAATGGACCAATCGCGGTCATCCGTGCTTTTATAAGAACGAAAACGGCGCTTTTAGTGACTTTTCCTTACAAATCCCCATCTAGTAGGGCGCAGTCACCCAGTTTCGGTGGAAGTGTGCGAGTTCGATTGGGACTAAAGGCCGGAGGAAGGGAGCGTCTCAGCTTCCTCGGACCGAGACCATTCGACTCGTACCCCGCAGCAATCATCAGCCTCTCTTCCAAGTCCGCAGAAAACTGAACTGCGAACTATTATTATTATTATTATTATTATTTGTGCTCCCGCGTCAATGGGCTCGCCCAAATTCGCTTGCACCGAACCATGCGAAAAAAGGCCACCAGCAGGCAGGCAGGCAAAGAAAAATAGAAAATGGTGTCACATAAACTAATACAAACAAGAATATCATTATTGATGACATTAATATACTGAATGAATGGCAAAGGCCATGTGAATACGGATAATACGGATAATCAGAGTACCAACAACAAAGAATGTAGCTCAAACCATTGCAGTGCCAACTTCCTTCACCAGTACTCTGCCTTGTACGCATCTGTAACTGCGTTGCACAGATATGTCCATTCACGGCGATCCAGTGCTCGCTGAGCCATCAGCTGCAAGTCCCTTGGAGTCCTCAGACGGCAGCCGACTCGCTCCGCGTCTTGATTCAGCAGGACCGGTAGCGTGATCCGCGGCCGCCCACGGTATCCCGGCACGGAGCAGCCAAAGAATCCACTCATGGCCTCCCTAGCCGGTGTGTGCTCATCTGATCGCAGGATGTGGCCAAACAACCGCCATCTTGCATTCACCAGAATGTTGCCAAGTGGAGCAGCACTGCAGCGCTCGTAAACCAAATCGTTCGACAGTCGGTTGGGCCACCTGATACCCAAGATATGCCGAAGTTGCCGCCGATGATACGATTCCAGCGCTTCAATTGTCTGTCGAGTGATGCCCCATGTGGAGCAGTTGTAAAGCAAGACAGGTAACACGAAGCAGTTATACAGCCGGACGCGCACCTCCAGACTCACTTTGTCTCTTCTCTTCCATAACTGGCAGAGGGACTTAAACGCTATCGCCGCAAGCTGCTTTCTGCGGGTGACATCCTCTGCATCACCAAGGAGAGAGCCGAGTTTCTTGACCATACGCCATGGCTCATCAGCACGATCGGCCTCTCGCTGGATGGCTGTGAATTCTGTCTTGGTCTGGTTGACGGTAAGGGACCATGTACCCAAGATGGTGGCAACTTGTGGCTCTAACATCCGAAGCCAATCACTAGAGATACTGATGAAGTCCACATCATCGGCGTACTCCACATCGTACGGAAGATGCCGGGCCACAGGTGCAGCCATTCGCTGTCGCACATCCTGCAGGGCAGCTTCCAGGTAGATCACGAATAGAATTGGCGACAAGGAGTCGCCTTGCGGGGTACCAATGTTAGTGGAGAAAGAGCTTGATGTTTCCGTGCCCAGTCTGACTGCCAAATTCGTATCTGAGATCAGGTAACGGATCAAGCGTACCTCGTCTTCTTCCAAGAATCGCTGAACCACGTCCATCAACTGTCCTTGCCTGATCGTGTCAAAGGCACGTGACATGTCGATGCCCAGTATGCTGAATGACCAGTGGTACCGCTGGGTCGTAGCTGCTAACCACCGATGGCACCAGACCACATCAGCTGTTGACCTTCCTGCACGAAAACCACTTTGGTTCAGTGATAGGAAATCGTTTACGGCTGGCGAGATGCGCTTGAGGACTACCAGCGACATGACTTTGCGTAGAGTTGTCAGGAGGATGATCGGTCGCAGACTGGTTAAAGCACCCACCGGCTTTCCGGGCTTCTGGAGAGGTATTAGTGTGCCATGACCGATGAATGGCTCTACCCGGTGTTGCTGAAATAGGCTGTTGATGCATCGGTTTATGACGGGAGCAGTGGCATCGGCTGAGTACTTCAACAGCTCACCCGGGATGTTGTCGGGTCCTGCAGCTCTACCGTTGTTGAGTCTTGCTAGTGCTGTTTTCACTTCCTCCGTTGAAACGGGATGCTGCAGCGGTCGAGGTTCCCCAGTGAAGGATCCAAATTGCTGAATTGCAGAGTCACTGAGCTGCGATGAGAAATGATTCTTAATCTCCAAGCTTGCTTGCTTATCATTACATATGATCTGCGAACTACAAGTGTAATACTAATAGTTGAACCGTCGGAACCAGAGCCAGACAGAGGCCACAGCCAGGCCAGAGGCAGATGTGATGACGTGTTTGAAATATTCGAATGGCAAGACGGTATCCGTCGGGTCAATATTTTACTACTCCCCCTTTTTTGAACGACTTGCATGCTTGACTGTCTTCACCTGTGCTGTTGACGTCCGCATGCCTATACATACTAACATAGATCGATGTGCAATAAATGCATTGCACTTTACCACAAATCAGGTGGGAATGTATGTGGCTGACTGACCAACCTGGTATTGACTGTTGGGTCAAAAGAAGCTTCATTCCAGCTGGAAACCAGGAAGATTCTCAACTTGCCTTTGCAGTTATCTCTTTCTCTTCATCTGTGCAGCTTACGTTGCCCATCTGCTAAGCTACTGTTGTGTGCGGCCCTGCGTTGGCGTAGAAATTTCTTTTTTTGTAGTGACTGATTGCTCCCGTGTTGGAATGCTGAATTGACAGAGGGAATACGTTTTCAACCTAATGGCTTCAAATCCACCCGAAATTAGACAACATGTTATCGACAACGCTGCGAAAGCGAAGGTCGGCATTGAGCATTACTATGACAATTTAATCAACCAGCACGAAGAAAGGCAGGCTCGGTGAGTTTTACATTTCAAGAATTCATTTCTTGTTTCGTATTTTTGGTGTGTTGTATGTTGCGGTGTGGGGTTTGTATGAGTGCAAGATCTTTCCGGCCTTTTTCCCCAGATGCAATCCATATTTTCAGCAGCCCACTAGTAAAATCCGAGTGCAAGGTTTTGTACTTCTGGCTTCCCCATCTGCTGTAACGGCGTTAGTTTCCCACTTGAAGTATTCTCATTTTTCTTTCAAAACTTTGACTCCTATTTTAAAGTACTGTATTGGCCTGCGGGCTCATTTAGTACTACATGTATAGCGTAAAGAAAGCCTTTTCTAAGATAAAAGTAGGGTTAGTGTGTTTCACAGAATATAAATTCCACACGTCTTCATTGATGCCACTATTCACTCCAGTGTAAGACGAATGGTCTCTTGTGACAAATACGCTCCCCACCAGCTAGCACATGACAAGTTGGTCATTGGAAAGGTTTAGTGAGTTGCAGAGCGAGTACGTTGCGAGTCACCTCGAGTGAGACTGGCTATACTTGTGGATTATCACAAGGCTCCCTAATCATTCAGGCCAGACCTGGGGCATATCGGTATAGTCCACTCGTGACATGCTCGTTTCACAACTTCTTTTAAACGTCTCGCTTGAATGCGCGACACACGGAGTGAATGGAGGGATATTATGCAGCTTTGGGAGAATGCACTAAAATTCAAGGGCCAAACCAAGCAGAGTTGCATGCTTTTGTTTATGTACTCTTGATTCAACACAAAGAAAAATTCACTTTTCGGATCGTGTATTTTTAAAGTACTGTATTAAATTTCACAAATTTCAGTGTACTTTTATTTTTGGTGCTTTCGGTGCATCTGTTTCATACGTAAAATTTCTGTAAACAGAACAAACACACATAACCCAATAGGAAACTGGTTCTCTGTACCGAAAATGTTGTTCGCCTAACCTGGCCTTTTGCCCTCATACCAAAAATATTGAGCACCTAAAATTTCTGGAATTAGAGTAGTCAACTTCGCTTATGACGACACTCGGCGGGGCATCAGAAAAGTGTCCTTATTCGCGAAGCGTCCTTATATCCGAAGTCTCATTATGTATTACAGTTGAATGGGACTTTGCTCTGGGCATGGAAATTCTGTCGTTATTCGCGAATTGTCGTTATATCCGCAGTCGTTATTAGCGAAGTTGACTGTATGTCAAATGACCCTGCAATACTGTTAGGCGTTCAAGTAGTAAAACATGTTCAGTAGTTCTAGAGTGTAGGTCATTAAGCTGCCAGCCATGTGCCTGTGCCTGTGCCTGTTAGCTGCATTGGTCAGTGCTATGCTTGTCGCACGCTTTCTCATGGCGTGTGAGCTTGTGCAGTAGATATAATCATCTTGATTCGGCTTTGGAGCAAAGCAGAAAACCCTGATGGCAATGCTTGCAATTTGCCGTTGAAGATGGCGGCTCAATGGTTGTGTTTCATTTGCCCGTGGTGCCGAAGTTTGATCCTTTGGCCATTGGCAAAATTGAAGCTGCACCTGCTCACGCAGGGCAGGCAGCTACATGTTAGTCTGCGTAATTCCAAAGTGCCTTTGATCTACTTGCAACACAGAACGTTTGTAAACTGTTGTTGGAAATTCTGTATATCTCCCATTTGTGTGTACTTTCTCGTTTGCCTGCTTTTAGGCTAAGAAATTTGGATCGTCAACTGGCTGAAGCTGGAAAGGCAATAACCGAAGATGAGGTTAGCGAACTGCTGAGTTTGCTCTTCCCTCCGCATCACAGGTCACGATGTGGTCAGGGTGCAACCCTGATAACCCATTCACTGCTGAGTTTGCTCTTCCCTCCGCATCACAGGTGACGATGTGGTCAGGGTGCAACCCTGATAACCCATTCACTGCTGAGCCTGTACAGTACTATCACGCGGTTCTAGATGACGCCCAGGCTCTGGGCCCGTAGACCCTGAGATTTTCATCACCTGAGCCCATTAAACTGCCAGCTTTGGGTGAATTTCCACATTGTTCTGTGGGTGTTTGGAAGTTGATTCCCCGTGTGTTGAATTGTAGGGTGTTTTAGTCAGTGTGCTAATAATTATTAGATTTCCTAGCGATGAGTTGTTGTTTGACAGAGTTATTTTAATGGCGCTAGCTATGTCTGTACTAATGAAGTTCTCTTGTTGTATTGTTTAGAGAACATCACGGCGTCTCCAGCAAGCGGTCAGAGAAACTGAGTTCCTGCGTCTCAAACGAGCCCGCCTCGGACCTAACGATTTTGAGTCCCTAAAAGTCATCGGCCGTGGTGCCTTTGGAGAGGTATGCACGCCTGCTTCGAAGCTGTTGGTGTTTATTAGCTCTACTGGCATTTGGCTTCATTCCATAGCACCATACAGAATGATCAACGCACTCCGTCGCTCCACGAGCTCTTGCATGGCTGTTCCTATCACGTTTATGTCACTGGCAAAGCGCATGTTTGTGGTGGCAATGACACTAGTTCTCACAGAGCCATCAAATTCAGTCTGTAGCACTGCTATTGGTTTTTAGTTTTGATGTTGTCTACATCACTCCGTTGTGCTTTAGGTTCGCCTCGTTCAGAAGAATGACACGGGGCATGTCTACGCAATGAAAACCCTTCGGAAGTCGGACATGTTGGCGAAGGAGCAGGTAGGTGCTGTGGTAGAAGAGAGAGAGTGTGAGTGAGAGTGAATGAGTGAGAGAGAGAGAGAGAGAGAGAGAGAGAGAGAGAGAGAGAGAGAGAGAGAGAGAAGGCCCATAGTCGGTTTTGTGTGCTGCAAGGCACTGATGTTGCTACCTTCTCCCGTATATTGCCTCCTTCCACATCCTTTTCCCGCTGGCCTGCATGCACCCCGTACTTACCTTCCCATGCTCCCTGTTTGTTCGTTGGCCTGGGTAGCTACTTGTGCGCTCATATTTGCCATAGCTACCCAGGTCCTTTATCTAGCTCTCTTTCTCTCTCTCTCACTGTCTCTCTCTCTCTCTCGCTCGCTCTCTCTCTCTCTCTCTCTCTCTCTCTCTCTCTCTCTCTCTCTCTCTCTCTCACACACACACACTCACTCTCTCTCTCTCTCTCTCTCTCTCTCTCTCTCTCTCTCTCTCTCTCTCTCTCTTGTTGTCACCTTGTAGTTTATCGTTTCGTCTCTCGTCTACCCCAATAAATGTCGCCCCTTTACCTACCTCGTCAAGTTTCGTTGTGTGATGGAATTATGGCAGTCGTTGAGTTTCAACACCTTGGTCCCATGCCTCTTTGATGGTGGTGTCTGCTTTTAAAGGCACTACCGAGTCCACTGGCAAGATGGTAGCCTGTTGCTCTATCAATGGAGTTTGTGTTTGCTGCGTGTTTGTAGGTTGCCCATGTGCGTGCAGAACGTGATGTTCTCGTCGAGGCTGACAACCCGTGGGTCGTTAAGCTTTACTTCTCGTTCCAGGATCAAGTGAATCTCTATCTAATCATGGAGTTTCTACCCGGCGGTGAGTCGGCTTTCTCGAGTGCCTGTTGTGTGCTGGGGAATAGTAGCTAGGCATACGGCGCTGCATGTGTTAATTTTCTGGACACTCTGATCTAGCAGCAGCAGCAGCAGTGAGTGAGCAGCCCTGTTGTGCGTCAAGGAATTGCTGTGTAGTGATATGTGCTGTAGAACAGACTTGTGGAGCAGCTTTTTCTCAGTCTGTAGTCAATTCACATGTACAGTACTGTTCAATGAAATCCAGTCGCGTCGCTCAAGTATGCGCCAGGCGTTGCGCAGCCCTAGACCTGTGAACACTGGGCTGCAAAATGGTGCAAGGCGCAAACTTGAGTGACACGACTGGATTTCATTGAGCAGCACTGTACATTCTTTAGTGTGCTGAGCCGTGCTGTCATGTTGCATTCTCCTGCTCTTAACACGCAGGTGACATGATGACACTGTTGATAAAGCAGGACACGCTATCGGAGCCGGTTACGCGCTTCTACGCAGCGGAGGCGGCACTGGCGATCGACTCTATTCACCGGCTCGGCGTAATACATCGTGACATTAAGCCGGATAACCTGCTGCTGGACAGCCGCGGTCACCTCAAGCTCTCCGACTTTGGCCTGTGCACCGGACTCAAGAAGGCGCATCGCACGGAGTTCTATCGCGACCTGAGCACACCGACGGCGTTCACCTCCTCGCAGCAGGACTCCAAGCACCGTGCCTTGAGCTGGAAGAAGAACCGGCGTGCGCTGGTCAACTCCACGGTGGGCACACCGGACTACATTGCACCGGAAGTGTTCATGCAGCAGGACTATAGCAAGACGTGTGACTGGTGGTCTCTCGGCGTTGTCATGTATGAAATGTTAATCGGTAAGACTGGTACGGTGAAGCGCTGCGTTCGTGAGTATGCGAACGCGTGTGTGTGTGTGTGTGTGTGTGTGTGTGTGTAGGTGGATGTGTTTTTGAATGCTCGTGTTCACATTTTGTATGTATTTTGCAATTGCTCGTACCTTTTACCTGATTTGGGTTGCTTGTGTTTGTGCTCATCCTCTTGTCCAGGGTATCCTCCCTTCTGCTCAGAGGATGCGAAAGGTAAGTGGTTTTTTTTCCAGACAGCTCTGGGCTGGTATCCCCATGGGATGCCACTTACAAGTTGTCAGAAATGCACTTGAGTTGATTTTGATTGTAGTGTGGCCGTGCTAGATGTCCTGCCTGTGTTAGTTATTCTGCATTTTTGGGGGAATTTATATTTCATCTTGCCCAACATTGTGGGTTTCGTTTTGAAAAATATTGATAGCTGAAACATCAGTCCATTCTAGCTGGCTCTTCATTATATTTTTCATTCAGGGCGCGGGAGGGGGAGGATCATAACTTTTCTGTTCCTTGAAAATTATTGATACATGTAATGCCGGATGGCCCCTGACAGTTAACTCTCTCCATCTTTGCTGTTTGCTCTGGCTTGCTTCCTGTTTGCAGAAACTTACAGGAAGGTGATGCACCATAGGACAACTCTAGTCTTCCCTGTGGAAGTACCCATTTCCCCCGACGCAGAGAGCCTAATAAGAGGGTGAGCGTGCCTTTGGAGTTTTGACAAGTCTTCTGTGGTGCATGTGTCTGTAAAGCTGAGTGGGTGCTCTCTAGTACATGTACATAATACTTATCTTCTCTTGTATTTCTTTTGCTTACTGTAGCACAATATAAACCAGTGAATTGGGCATGCTGTCAAGTTCATTGTTTAAACAAAACTAGCTGTTGAAATTGTGTGGACTGGTAGGTTTTGCACTTTGCTTGATTTTCCACTTGACTGCTTCATTTGGAGTTTGATTGCATCACTCTTGTGTGTGTGTGTGTGTGTGTGTGTGTGTGTGTGTGTGTGTGTGTGTGTGTGTGTGTGTGTGTGTGTGTGTGTGTGTGTGTGTGTGTGCGTGCGTGCGTGCGTGTATGTGGTGTATCTGTGCTTGTTTGAACTGCAGACTTATCTGTGATGCTGATAATCGGCTTGGGCGTGGTGGCCTCCACGAGTTGCAGGCACACCCGTTCTTCAACGGCATCGACTGGGAACATATTCGGTGAGTGCTTTCTGCCACCTACTGTAGCAGACATTGAAATCCGTTCAGAAGTCAAGCAGCCACGGGGCGCTGGCCTTGCAGCCACGAGCACTGCTGGTTCATTTTTACAGTGCATGTACCGATACATGTGCACGCTAAAAGCAGCAGGGGCGCCGGCCATGGTATTCCGATCGGATTTCCATGTCCACGACAGTATTATCTCATTGCATGTTGTGCTCATTGTACTCACAACTGGAGCAGGTACAGAGCAGTCCATGTGGATTGTGAAGTTGCAATGCTGGTACATGTACATATACATGTACTTGTAACTGCTAGCTCAAAATCCTAGAGTCACTGTCTTTGGCTTGTGTGATGTCAGCAGTTAGTGGGTACAGTATTGTCAGGTGGCGAAGAACGGAGAGCCGAAGAAAGAGCAGGCTAGAATTTCACCAAGCACAGCATACCAATGTATACATGGTGACTCAACTGTGCATAGACTGTAGTACATGAAAATAAGAACGGCCTAGGCTAGACACCCGTCAGTACTGTAGGGAAGTGCAACTACAGGTCATGTACTATAGTTTCACCCTGTTTCATTCTAACTTCGTTCTTTTCTAGCTGTTGGCTTGCACTGACAGGCCCACAAGGGCAAGGCTGCGGAATCTGTAGTGTGCAAATGCTCTTCCTTTTTCTTATTCCCCAGTGATCGACCAGCCGCTCTCGGTGTTGAGGTCAAGTCGATTGATGATACGTCCAACTTTGATGAGTTCCCAAATGATGAGCTCAAACTGCCAGTTGGTAAGTGTGGAATTCATATGCAGGGCTCAGATGTGTCCCAGCACAACAAAATTCTGCATACATTGGCTTCACCATTGACGAATGGCCTGTTGTGGTGTAAAAATCAAGGTAAAAAAGTTAGGAAAGTACAACACTCGTAAAAAAAAAAATTTTAAAGTCGGGACCCGTAAACAAATTCTGGTGTTGTGCTGCAGTAGTGTTGTGCTGTTCCATTTGTGTCTGCTGCACTCTCTACCAGCTACGCACACACACACACACACACACTCTCTCTCTCTCCCTTTCTCTCTCTCCCTCTTCCTCCCTCGGGTCAGGGGTGTGTGCTTACATTTGCAAAGCTGTGATAACATACTTTTGACGATTTGGTGACATCGGACGGATATGATACACAAGAGACAATTGTGATAATTCTACGTTGTGTTTACTTCGAATACATAATCTAAGGGAGTCCTAAAACAGCCACTGACTTCACACTACCAAGGGAAAAGCAAGCCCTTTTCTCCCAAGGACCAAACAGCCAAAGGAGCCAGCCAGAAAAGGACACGGCGAAATAAAAGTGGAACACTACCGTCCTGTGCAGTAGAGTGCAGGAGAACGGCACGCGGGGTACGTGACCTATGCAACCAAAAAGGAAGTGTGAGCATGACTGAAGTACAAGTAGTTGCGATTTATGCTAAAGTTCAAAGTGACGGAACAAGTGCAGCGCTACACCGTAACCGTGTACCACGTGGAAACGAGAGAGCTTGGAAGCTCAGGGCCCTACGCTATGCTTTTTTTGCCTTGATGACCTAGACAAAAAAAAAGCATAGGGATGTTATAAATTCTTTTAAAAAATCCTTTTTTTTAAAGACATAACCTGGGATTCGAACCCGCACTATCGCGCGCCCTGCATGCATCCCCCGATACACTTCGCATACATTTGTTTGTTTGTGTCACGCCTGGCGCTATCCGTATCTACCGGCAAAAAAAGCATAGGATGTTATAAATTTTTCAATTCTCCTATTTTTTTTTCAGGCATATCCTGGGATTCGAACCCGCACTATCGCCCTACATGCATTCCCCCATACACTTCGCATTCGTACCCATTCTTCCAAGTTGTTTCACATTGTGATCTTGCATTTGAAAGCCCTATTTGAATATGCATTGTGGCCAGCCGTCTTTGATGGCACGGTACGGTAGGGGATAGGTACGGGACAGGTACGATCGAGGGTAATACGACACCGTCTCCCTACCGTACCGTACCATCAAACACAGCTGGCCACATACAGCTGCCCGCAATATTCGAATAGGGCTTTCAAACGCAAGATAATAACGTGAAGCAACTTGGAAGAATGGGTATGAATGCGAAGTGTATGGCCCTATGGGGGAATGCATGTAGGGCGATAGTGCGGGTTCGAATCCCAGGATATGCCTGAAAAAAATAGGAGAATTGAAAAAATTATAACATCCTATGCTTTTTTGCCGTCAGATACGGATAGCGCCAGGCGTGACACAAACACACAAACAAATACCAGATTAAAGCTGTGTGGACCCTGGCTAGCGCCAGACGTTACTGAAGTAACGTCTTCTGCATAGCTACGGGAATAAACAGAAATAGAGACACGGGATAGCAGACATGAACTCGGGGTCAAACTGATAAGCGCGTAACGTGAATGCATGCAGTATACTGTATATGGAGATAAGAGTCCCAGTAGTCTGGCCATTCCAACACGTCACCACTAGAGCTGGGTAGGCTCAGTTTCGGCAGCTGCGCCTTTGGCTGAGAACTGTGGTGAGTGTCACTTAACGCACTTACTGCCGCTTGTGCAGCATACGCTGCCGCTTCACTCACGGCGTGGTTGACGAGGCGGATCAGTTTCGACCCAGTGCGGGCATAGAGTCGTATCGATGCATAGCTGCAACTGGCGCCGATTGATCTCTCACCGACTGGGTGGGTGTTGCCACTGAGGGGCAATCCCGATTCAACAGTGACTGTGGCGGTGTGGCAGTGGCGCTCTCGATGCCAGTGGGGTGAAGGCCGACACTGGCGGATTGAGGGAGAACTCAACGGGACATGCCGGTCCCATCTGCGCAGCCACGTCGTCTACCGCTGACTTCGGGAATTGACAGACTGTTTTGTAGAACTTTGAGCATTACTACTGCATGACCATGGTTTAAAAGGTAGTTTGGGCAGTTTAAGGGGGCCATCCGTAAATTTAATATAGATATTTATTTAGAAACGAAAATTAATCATTTAGGGGGGAGGGGGTTGAGCGCCTGTTCGTTTCTCGAAAAATATCGATGCACAGTTTATATGTGTGGGCATGTCCAGAAAAAAGGAAGAAAAAAATATCGATACCATGTACCATTTGTATGTGTTCATTTCTCGGGGAGGGGGGTTGAAGAAAAATGACTAGTTTTCGTTTCTAAATAAATATCGGTATTTACGGATGGCTCCTTAGGTTGAAATTTTTAAGTTGGGCATATGGATGTATTTTGTCGGTAAGTACAGCACAAAGGTCTAAGGGATCTGAAATTATAGTTGTATAAGGCCTACTGGGCATCTCGCTCTTCAGGAAGGGTGAATAGCCAATGACTATGTTGATTTTTGCGGCTAAAGCGGGCAATGTTGGTTAGAAATGGAATATCTTTGGAATGGGTGATCACATTCTCGTAAAACTTTGGGAAGACGGAGTACATACCCTATAGGTGATATGAAACACCTTGGATGGAATAAAGGTTGCTACATGCACATGCAGCCTAAGAATACGGGGTACAGTGTATGGATACAGTATTTCCTGCCATTTTGGAAACTTCAAATATTTTTGGCACGAAGATGGAGACTTTGCCCAAGGTTTCATTTGAATATTCGGAAGAGGGTTAGCCGATAGAAGACCTTTACCACGGGCTTTTTGGGGGTCACCAGGCATTTATTCGCTTTAGCGGGGGGAAACACGTTCAAAACACGTTCAAGGAACAGAGAGTACATAAACCAGAGTGTGCAACTCGGGATGGTTCCTGTGGGAGCGTAATCCGTGCAGTACGTCATTTCTGACGGCATGGTAAGCCACAGGTACGGTGGAAAGTTGCGTAACCAGTCACAGTGGTGAAGGTCACTGAGTTTGCCCTGATTTCGGTTTTTGGTACGGATAGCATGGTGAATTTGCTTGCCAGCGGATGTACACAGCGTACGCAGTCACAAAAACACCGAAATCCTAAAACAGGACGTCTAAATCATGCAAACTTGGCTGAATTCCGGACTGTGAAACACGAAAATCTGAGCTGTACGCCAGTCGCAGCTTGGCTCACCTCATCAGGGTGACGTTGTGCACGAGCTGCGCTGATCTGCACAGTTGCACTCTCTGGTTTATGTACTCTTGGTCAAACTGATAAATTAAAGCGCGTCATGTGAATGCATGCAGTATAATATTATGGAGACAAGAGAAAGACACAGAGCTCGGTATGTACCGAGTACTACTTCGAAGTACACACTAAACTCGTACATGTGAATGTCACCACAATACTGTCACCTTGAAATTTTGTTGTGTGTGTGTGAAACGTGTGTGAAATGTGTGTGAAACGTGTGTGCCACTCTCATTCCTGCTGTAGTAGATCCCCAAGCAGAAAAAGGAGATGACCGTGATTGGGTATTTAGCAATTATACATTCAAGCGGTTTGAAGGCCTCACCCAACGCGGATTCAAGCTTTAGCTCTCCAGTGAGAACATGTAGGTCGAGTAGAACTTTGACTGACTCGAATTGAGCATTGGTTCTCTGTCACAACTGAACCGCGCTATGTTTTTTTTTTTTAATTATCCTGCTAATGTGTGGTGTGCCACCACCTATGGGGATGTGCACATTACGTTTAGTAGCTGATCACTGGTGCGCTGCGTCAATTTGCTGCATAACACATTGACTTATCCTCTCTCGCTTTCTTCTTTCGCTCCGCTCCCGGCGTGCGCACCTGGTGCGTGCATGCACTCGTGGGCGGAGTACCGCATCATTCTAGTTGTTGATATCAGAGTGGGCCACACCCACACATGATATACCACACCGTTGCCAATCAGCGAAACGGGTTCTTTTAGTATTTATGCACAGTCCCTTTCCAGGACTTAGCTCCCCTTCCCGTCCCTCCAATCCCCAAGAAATTGCTTTTAGAAGCTCACCCTAAAATGGACTCCACGCTTACCTACACATGTATAATTGATCCATCGCCAACAGGCCCCATTCTGCTTCACCACATCATTTCAGTAGTCCGCATCTACCGCACGTATTTCTTTATTCCGCTCCTTTGCATCTGGCCTTGACTGTCTGCCCTGTTTTCATCCTCCTCATGTAGCTCTTCTCCTTGTTCCTGCTGTTGCCACTCACGTTCGCTGGTGTGCATTGCTGCGGATGTGTTTGGTGTGTGTGTGCGTGTGTGTGTATGGTGTGTGTGTGTATGGTGTGTGTGTGTATGTGTGTGTGTATGGTGCGTGTGTGTTTGTGTGCACGCGTGTGTGTGTGTGCACGCGTATGTGCGTGTGTGTGTGTGTATGCGTGCATATGTGTGTGTGTGCGTGTGTGTTTGTGTGTGTGTGTTGCCCTTCACCTGTTCGCCTCAGTGTGTTATGCTTGCACCCGGTGCTATACTGATTTGATAGTTTGTTGTCGCTGTCGTCGTCGTCGTTGTTTTCATTGTCGTCATTGTTGCTTTATTGCTTTATTGCTAAAATTTGCCCAGTTTGGAGCAGTTGAAATGCGAAAACTTCGTTAACCCCAATCCGTGGTGTGTTGCTTTGGCCATATGTGTGTGCGTGTGCTCCTGGATATGAGGGTGGCTGCTGTGTGTTGTCCGGTTTGACTAGTAAAACGGTCAACACGCCTGCTGAGTGATATACTGCGGCCTGATCGCCAATGGCTGAGGCACACCAAGCCAGGTCGCTTTCCACTCCGGCATCATTTGCCGATGACAAACCCTTTCTTTACACAATTCAATGATTGACACCTTTTATAATTGATATATTGCATGATCAATGACACCCTGGCCCTGGTCAATGAGTCTGATAAAAGTTCACAAATCCCTTGGCGTGTCTGATCTTCTTTTTGTCAAACACGATAAAAGTGTCTGTTACAGTACTGGTATACAGTCAACTTCGCTAATAACGACAATTCGCGAATAACGACAGAATTTTCATGCCCTGAGCAAAGTCCCATCCACCCAATTGTGACACATATAATGAGACTTCGGGTATTACGACACTTCGCGAATAAGGACACTTTTCTGATGCCCCGCCGAGTGTCGTTATAAGCGAAGTTGACTGTATTATAGAGGCAGAATTAACACCTTTCAATCAACTTAATCAACCCCGCAATATACAAAGATTACCAAGTTACCAAGAGTATAATTACTACCTTACCTATGCTGTAGTAGCACCCAGGTCATGAAGATCAACCCTGAATGGCCTGATGAGGCATTGATTGATTCGCTTCATACATGTAGTTCATACCAAAAACAATCATACCCACCCAGTATACCAACTGTAGTCGCACAGGAAAAGAAGAAAAAAAGAAGCGAGGGTCAAAAGTATGCGCCGTCCGGGAATCGAACCCGAGTCGCAAGAATGGGAATCTTGCATGATACCACTACACCAACGGCGCAGACACCCTGACATGCAGAGCAGAACAATCATATCAGTGTGTGGTTTCAGTGGTCAGCGCCACCCACACACATCGCGGTTCCCTGTGTCATCATTCGACACTTCGAGCATTTCCTTGTCAAACCATGTTCACTTGAAGGTTTTCAATTTTGTTCAGGATCTAGGACAGGCATCTGTTGACTTCGACAGTTTCTCCAGTGTTCCAGCAAAGTAGGCTTTCGGTCATGGTGAACTTCAAAAAGTTCAAGGATTCTGTGAATCCTGATGCGAAGGAGTCAACCGGAATTGTCGATGAACTAAAAAATGATGTGAGCTCAAGAGTCGACTTTCTCCCCACTATTAAATTATGGTTTTCTTATCGTATGCAATGTATACCTGCTGTGGATTGTGTGGCGTGCATATAGATGAACTGCTGTGCTAGCCTGAGCTGGGAAACCCGTATCAAAGGTTTTGCATGCTGCTTTGCCACTGGTCTGTGCCTTTCCATCATCGTAAGTTGAGTACACTAGATGTACAGTATATGCATGCATAGTATACCGTATTCCAGTTTGTTCGTGATATCATAATGGTACATGTATGTCTAGGTCACCAACATAGGGTGTCAGTGCAGTGCGAGCTTTTCACCATGCATTGCTGTAGCTCTGGCTACACCGGCACGCCCATGTGCACACACACGCAATACAATACAATATGCCCATCGGCATCCGGAGGTGATAGCAGGTCCCGAAGGGACCAGCAGTGTTCAAGTCACGAGCAGAATCGGGCATGGCGAGTCAAATCCTGGCGGCGCCCATAACTCTTTCGACAACTGCAAACAAAGTCTAAGGTGCCAAGCTCGGTAGGAGGAATGGTGCTGCATACTGCTCTCTGCGATCCTGGGCGAGGTCCTACCACTCCACTATCTGGCCGTCCTTTGTGTCGGACACAACATTGTCCTGCCACCGCTTCCGAGGCCCTTGACGTGGCCGAGTCTTTTCCAGTTCGCCGAAGAGGACACACTTTGGCATACGCGAGGCATCCATTCGAGCAACATGGCTTAACCAGCCGAGTCGACTCGTTTTCAGTGTCTCCTCAGTTGGCTGCAGCTTGGCTCGCTCGAGGAGAGTGGTGTTGGAGATGTGCTCCTGCCATGGTGCTGCTCAGGGAATCACACACACACCACACACACACACACACACCACACACACACACACACCACCACCACCACCACACACGCACGCACGCGCGCACACACACACACACACACACACACACACACACACACACACACACACACATACAGAATACCAATGGTTCGAACCATGATGATCAACTTGTCAACTAAGAACACATCACTAGTAATTCGATGATGCCGACTGACATGACTCGGAACTGGAAGGGCAAGCTGTTCTTTTCGTCGCTTTATCTTGTACTTTGCTTATCCTCAGGCTTACGTCATGGTGTTTACACAGAACTACACTGCGTTTGGCCTTTGCTACTCGTTTGGTACTGTAACTGCACTCGCAAGGTAAGGCTGGGCTGGGCTGGGCCATGGGCTGGGCCGGGCCATGGGCTGGGCCGGGCCGGGCTGGGCTTTGTGCATGCTATTAATCATACGGTGAATGTGCATTTCCAGACACCATTTTCACGATTTCGTCGAGATCAATCAGCTCTGCTTGCATTGCAGCCGCTGCATATTGGTGGTGGAATGGAGCAAAGGGAGCTGGACCCCCAGTTTTGCCAGATCGATCCAGAACTTTTCAGTTTCCTGTGCAGCCGTACACTCGAGCATGAAATCCACAATATGCATGCACAGTGCTGCATGTAGCTGAAAAAAGCTCAAAATTCAGGAACCGGGGTCTGATGTTGCCGAAAATTTCCAAATCTCCACTGGAGGGCGAGCCCCTACCCTGTCACGGACCCCCCCCCCCCCCCCCCCCCAACTCAGCTGTCATCCCACTGCAGCTCATTCTCCTATATTGCAGCTGGTGGAAGAATTATGAAGAAGACTTAACTCTACTGCCATGAGTTCATCCAATCCAACACTAAGTCTTGTAGAGGTGCCTGTCTTCTGGCTAGGCCTACTTCTGGCAATGGAATGGCAAAGCTCGATAGGAATGTGGGAACACAGTGCTTTAGTAGAATTTGAATTACTCCCCTGTTCACACAGTGCTCAATGCCACAGACAGTAAAGTTTCCGGACGGTACAAATAAGGTGGAACGAGTTTATTTGGCAACTCAAGTTTCACGCTACACAATCACCGGGCAAAATAGTTCTAGCCGGTGTAAGAATGATTCTGCTTGGTGATCACGTTGCATGAAATTTGAGTAGGAATGTGGACATGTTGTAAACTAGAAAATACTCGTAACATGTTGTTGTGTATTGTCTCTGTCTCTGTCTCTTTGCACTGTTTGTGAATAGCTCTTTCTTCCTAGTCGGCCCAGCCAAGCAGCTAAAGAACATGTTTGCCGAGAAGAGACTCATCGCCGTGATTGTGTTGCTTGTGAGTTTGGTGTGTGTTCAACCAGGCATTCACACAAAGAGAACCATAACTAACTTGGGTGTTCCCGAGGCTGTGTCAATTACCGGCGTTCAGATACAATCGTGTCGTAACTGGTAACAATTTGCAGAATACAAAACGTAAGGCGTTGTGTGGCAGTCAATCTCTTTTATGGCCAGGTTCAGAAAGTAGCTGCCCTGCCCGCTACGGCAGGTCTACCATGTACACTGTGGCCACAGTACTTTGTCTTCACAGTGCAAACGATTGGCTGTTTGGCCACACAAGCAGATTTGACTGCTTTTGTGCAGAGTGTGTGCAAGGACTGACTTTGAAAGTAGAAAGGTTTTGCGAGTTGTGGAACGCATACCATATTTCCTGAAGTTTTCCCTATTCCAAATATCAGTGCCAGTCCGACAATTAGTAAGCCCGGGGCCGAGAGGTGGTTGAAATGTTCAACCGGGCCTGGAAATACATTAGTCATTTTGATGAAAAGAATGGGTATCTTGACTAGGCCACCCTTTGTTAATTCATTGTTTAACGTCCTTTTTTTCGCGAAAAGGTACGCGGGAGGGCGAAAAAAAAAAGCCCATTCCAAAAACTGGAAACCCCAATCAAACATTTTGACCAGTAAAGCATGTGATATATACAATATTTCTGGGTCTAACGACACTTGCAGGCATAGAACAACACTCTTTGATGGTACATTGGAGCACATGCCTGATGAATCCAACAAAACAGGTACATAGCATGGAGTTAGCATGTCATGAATTCATTACATCTGGATTTTTACTAGGACACACACCGTACGATATTTAAAAGCCAACAAAATAAGAAAAAGAACACAAGACAAAGGCATGCCCGGGAGGCAAGATTATAAGTTTAAGGTCATGATCGGCACACTGTGAAACTACACAATCATGTATTTACAACTTCGCATATTATTGGTACTACTACTTTCTTGTTTTTTTCCGGTCGGAGGCAAAAAGGTACGCGGGCGCGGACGTTAAACAACGAAAAAAGAAAGGGTGGCCCTACCTTCCAAAACTAGCATGTTTGTAAGGTGTTATTATATTACGAAGTAGTGGTTGCCACTTCGGCGATGATTTGTAAGAAAGGGTTTGCTCCGGCGGCGGAATAGCGCGAGCTCCGGTGTGGGGAGCAAACCCTTTGTTATTATATTGCTCAGATATTTACCTTCTGTGTGTGTGTGCGTGCGCATGTGTGTGTGCGTGTGTGTGTGTATGTGTGTGTGCGTGTGTGTGTGCGTGCGCGCGTGTGTGTGTGCGCGCGTGTGTGTGTGCGTGCGCGTGCGTCTCTCTCCCTCTCTCTCTCTTCCTCTCTTCCTCCTGTAGGTAATGATTGCGCTAACGCTGTGCTCTGCTCTCTGGGTAAGACGTTGGAACAGTATAATCAATATCACACAAGTAATGCACGCCTATGTCACGTCATCATCTACATGATTGCTACTCACTGAGTGGAATTTCAAATTGTGTGGAAAGTAATGCATTCACCTAGATCGTATCACCGTACGCTTCATTAAAAAAATTTGGAGGTGTAAATACCATGAATACCGGGAGCCATATGTAAGTTTCACCGGAAGCACTATGCAGTATGCACTGTGTGTGAGCAACCCTCCTTGTCTCCCCCTGGAGGGACTATTTCACAAGTTACACCTGAACACATCAGGCATCGCGACACTGAAATATGTATGAGTCATACCTATATTTTAGTGCTACATAGTAGCTATTACTGATGGGTCCTTTGAGAAACCAGGCGTACTCACGTTCCTGTTGTACATGTAATTGGAATCTTCCAGCATATCATTGTCAACCAAGATGAACTTGTGTATATCTGCTCATGCATGTCTATCTGCAGTGGAAGAAAGGCGGACTTTGCATCATCTTCGCGATATTTCAGTTCCTTGCCATGGCATGGTAAGTGTTAATGTGTATGCCCTTGTGAACAGTTAGCAAAAGTGTTGGTCTCCCGTTATTGGCACTGGTACATAGTTTGTGGTGTTATGGCGCCACGAGTATAATATATAACCCCCCAAGAGTGTGCAACTCCTGAATGTCCTGATACCCTTTCTATGGGGTACGCCAACGGCGAAAACTCACATCACGTGGTGCAGTGTCGCAGTTGTACGTTTCCAGCCCGCTTTTTGCGAGCAGCGGAGTAATAAAAAAAGCACTCTCTGACAGAAACTCACTGCGGGTATGCAAATCCCCTGCATGATCATGGCAGATCGGATTGCGCGCACGCTATCCTTCGTGTGTACGTAGTACGAATGTATCTGAGACACGTGATGTGAGTTTTTGCCGTCGGAGACCCCATATGCAGAGTTGCACACTCTTGGGGGGGAGGGGGGGGAGGGGGTATATACTCTTGATGGCGCCAGTAACAGCAATACAGTAATCATGGTTGTCCTCCTGCAGTCTTTAGTTATCAAGGTCAAGAATGTGTTATGGGTGTGTGTGGGTGTGTGTGTGTGTGTGCGTATGTGTGGGTGCGCGCGTGCTTGTGTGTGTGTGTGTGTGTGTGTGTGTGTGTTTCCCTTGTTCAGGTATTCTCTCTCGTATATCCCATTTGCACGGTAAGAACAGAAGTCCCACTCATGCCATCGCACAAACTATCAGCTCATCTCCATCTCCTGGTCTGTCTTTCTTTCTTTAGAAACACTGCGATTTATATTCCCTTGCACATGTTACGGTTTCTCATGGAAAATTCTGGGGAAAATCAAGAATATGCGCTCTCATGGAAAATTCTGGGGAATTTTGGAAATATGCACAAGAGGTTGTGGGAAATGTGAGCTGAGTACTGTCAGTGAATGTGCGGAAACTGCAACATGTGATCAGCTTTGGAGGTTGTCAGCTGCAAAATTCCGGGGAACAAATGATTCAAAGATGACGATGGAATGAATGAGTTCTAGTAGAGATCGTGACAATCATATGTAGGAACAAAAACCTTCGTCCTAGTAGTACAGCTGTATAGCAGAAAACAAACACCGCCGTTCTTAACTTTAGGCTGTCGCACTCTGACTGTAGTGTTTCAGGCTGAGTGTTCTTGGGCTCCACGCTCTTCGGCATGCGACTCCACTGTGCACATGTCTGCAGGCATTTCCTACCATTTTTCAGCATCCTTTTCATTTAGACTCCTGTCCTTTGTTTATCTACTGCAGGAATGCTGTCAAATCCTGCGTCACGGCATGTGTGTGAGGAGCTCTTCTAGCATTTCTTGGAATCGAATGGGATGATTGATAATGCTTGCTCGCTTCAAAGAAATATCCCAAACTGCAACACAGTCGCTCCTCAGAATCATCGAGTTACGCTTTCATCTCCCCATTAAACGGCCGGAATGAGCTATAGTTCGTATCGCTGTACCACACAGGCTTTATCTTTTCATTGATTCTTACCATGCTGTTCTCTTTGTCCATATCGTGCTTCAAATACTTGTTCGTCACTCTGCTTCATAGGACTTCACAGCGATCTGTCGCCCCTGAATTCTCATCGTTTTTACCTTGACGTAGTATTTATTCAATTTGAGACACACAGTAACTGTTATAGTAGATTGTGTATCTTTTCTGTAGTGAATGTCCCTTCTGAAGTTCCGATCAGTGGCAAATGCTAACTTGGCAATGTGTGGACGAATCTTCCAGTCTATTTTGCTCATTCTGATAGCAGAAGCCATATACATATCTGGTTTGCTCGCTGATCCGTACCCTGACAGCAAGTACAGTAAAACCAAGAGTACGTGACCCCCAGAGTGTGCAACGCGTGATCCAGCTCTGCATAAGGTATTGGTTGAGCGTAGTCGGATCTTCTGAATTCATGCGTACACTCTACACCACCGCAAGGCCGGTCTCAAGGCAGGACACAGTTGTTATTGATTCGAGAGCCCCCAGGTTCCCCTCAGATGTGTATGGTATTATGATGCAAAGATCCGCATTATGCTCAACCAAGACCCTACATGTATGCAGAGGTGGATCAGGCGTTGCACACTGTGGGGGGTATGTACTCTTGGTAAAACCTGTCCGGGAGACCACATTTGGAAGGTCCGTTGAGCGGTCGCCTTAGACAGGTTTCACTGTACTTGTATGTGTGGCCGTGTCAAAGGAATCCGACTCGTGAGTTACATCATGCATGATGCAAAAAGTTGAAACCCATCCGAGGGCCTTGGCACTTCTTTCTACTGGTCATTTTTGGCCACAATTGTACGGGCATGTACAGTAGTTACTGTAGAGTCGCGCGCCCAAGAACGTTGTTTCCAAGGTTAGCCTGGGACGTTCTTATTTTTCAGCAATCTGGTTGCGTTCTTAGAAACAATACGTACTGGATAACCCACCAGGATTATGTATTGAATTGTATTCCACAAGCTGCCAGAAAACCAACACCGCCGTTCTTAGAATTTCAGGCTGGACGTTCTTCAGGGCACGATTCTACTGTGTGTACTATGCATGAAGAAGGAAATGCTAAATTACACATCCAGGAGAAGTCAATTGCCATAATTATCTGATACAAACTCATCAGTGGTCAAGCAGGCATTTTAGTTTTAGATCATGCTTAGAAAAGGAGTAGTAACACAATAGTCCCCGGTTCCAATGGCGTTTTGACAACCCATGTTCTACGTTTAGGTGTACATGCACCAACACAGATGCACAGCCACGCACACACATACCAGGAGCTACCAGTGTCAGTCTCAGCTAAAAGATTTCAATGTCGAACAATGAAAATTGGCCGACAACAACAGATCGTTAAATCACGACATCGTAAGACATTGGTCGAAACAATCACCACCTATTTTCATTTGGAAAGTAGGAAAAACAACTAAGTTCTTTAGTGTCAGATAAGCAAGGCTGCTAATCTTGTACCTAGAAAGAAAATGTGAATAGATATCATAAATGCGCAATGAGGTTGCCTAGAGGAAAGATAATGACGGTCGCGGCCAAAACCAGGCGACAATAATCATATTAGTAATTATTAGACTGGCCAAGATGGTGGGAATGGTGGTGGCTCTCATGCGCATAGATCTACTACACACATGTACAACAATTGGTGCCGAGCGGCGGATGGTTTAGCGTGCTGAGCCATAGTTGGCACCACCGGCCTTGCGGACCTCGGACTGTACGAAGGAATAGTTAATCTCGCTCTTCTCGGAGGCAAGCATCTCCTTGGCGAAGTTCTGCCCAATAACAAAGCAGAGGGAAAGTATTTGTTTGTAAAAGCAACACGCACCTGGTAACCATGCAGAATTGAACCCCCAACAAAAAATCCCCGACACCATCTCGTGTGTTTGTAATTGAAACTGCCCATGCGAGTGTAGACAAGGTGTGAACACTGAGACACGACACAGGACATCGAAGAATAGCACAGTTCGAAGTAAATGAGTGTACAACTAGACATTGTGGTAAGCTCAGCTGGTTGGTCACACGAACAGGCAACTGGATCGTGCAGGACCCAAACTCAGGAACGAGCATCAAGCACTGAACAGACAAAACTCAAGAGATATCTGAAGATTTCGTTGCTCCGGATATGCTCCTTGCGACACAAAAAGTAAGGTCTTGGCTGCGGAGCAGTAAGGTGAGTCTTCTCAATTCGTCGTACAATCAGCAAATTCGAACAGATTAGGCCAAACAAGTGGCCTTACTCGAAGTCATTGCAAGTGGCATGAAAATATCCTAGTCGAGCCGGATGTCGAATAGAAACAAACAGCCTTCATCAAGGTTCCTTCCCTTAGCTTTCCGGTATGTTGATGTACTTAGATCACGATTTACACGCTACTTGCATTCAGTATAATTTCACTGAGAATCCAGAAAGGACAGTAGATGTACCACAATACATCTGATCCAGGCACGAAATACGGCTAGGCATAGTAACAACCCGACAAAACTCAAAGCCGCCAAAAGACGTCCGTGCACCGCCTACCTGGATGACTTTCTTGACCTCAGCCTTGTCGGTGCTCATTTTGGCCTTCTTCAGGGGGCTGACACGCTCACCGATCCAGCAAATGAAGACGAACTTGGAGCGGACGCTCAAGTCATCACCAGTCTGAACGCGAGCGAAGATGTAAAGACGAACTGACTCTACAAACAAAAAGGTAACAAACAATTGACAGAGAGAGTAGGTTGAACTGTTTGGCCACAAGCCATCATGTTGCACGCGCCATGTCAACATCCGGGGCAGTGAAATATACAGAATGTACAAGACCACTGCGGCCTGTTACGAAAAAAAGCACACAGCCACAGCTCACCATCGCAGAATTTAAGAAGATCATCATAATTCGTTCCAGTCTCTTTTACAACAATGGTATTGCTGCTGTTATACTCGAACGCAGCCCTGTCCAAAGCCAAAGGAGAGGGAGGCAGATTTCGTAAGACGAGGCCGCAACAAACAGCCGATCTCCAGCTAGGCGTCTTACCATGAGGTTTGGGAATCGTCATTTCTGACATCCTGGTAAGCAGCGGACAGACCTTCAACGTCTACTCCACCCATGATTGCGAGAAATGGAAATAGGTGAAAGAGAACTAACAAACAACAACAAACTAAACGGGAAAGAAAAGTAGTTCCACAAGATCTCCGATAACAGTGCGGTGCGCACTTGTATGGCAGTCCAAAGTTTCCGTACGGTGCGTAGAGTATGGCACCGTACGCATGCGCAAATACGAGAAGATGGGATTTCCCCGACGCGATTCTGGGCGCGCCATGCGCCAGTACTGCAGTCCCAAATCGGATTGACATTTTTTCAAAGTGCTTTTGAATGCCGACTAAAAATTCTTGTTCACAGCTTCCAGAAGCTACAAGGCCAAAGCTGCGATGAGCTAAGTAAGTTTAGCATTGCGAATGGTACTTGTTGGAAAGAAAGTCTTGTAGCTAGAAGTTATGTCGTCGTTTGGCCCTGCGTTGCCAGCTAGTATGGACGAAAAGGAGGAAAAATTCGAAAACGTTTCTGCTGTGAAAACTGTTGGGGCGAGCACACGTCAGGAGTATGTCTCAGATGAAGAAAGTGAAGACGACAGCTATGGCCCAGCTCTACCACCAGGATTGGCTGGAAACAGCGGCTCATCTCCCAATGTTGTTGGACCTATGCTACCACCTCATCTGATGCAGAGCAACGCAAATGCCGAATCCGGTATGTGTACTACCACTATTTTTATAGTGTTGAACACACGTGTGGTTCGAATGCTTTACTAATAATTCATAACAGCATCATGGAAAACAGCAACGGAGATATATAACCGATAGATGAGGAACACGAACTCAAAACTCTTGAAATTTTCTCAAACTTACTCAAGCTTACTCTAAGAAAAGGAGAAGCGAACTCCATGGCTATACTGAAGGGAAACGGCGGGTAAGGGGTCGTCGCAAAAGTTTTTTTTTGTCGTCCCTGAAACGTACATCGTTCATTTCGTACTCGACCCCCCCCCCCCCCCCGGCCCCCCTCCCTCTGGAACGAACACAGCTTGCTATGCTGGACGACGAAAATCGTATGCATGTACATGTCATAGGTACAGTGTCGGTCGACTTGCGATTCTGGAACTATTTGCTAACTGCTCAGATCCAGCTGCGTTACGCTCAGACCCAGCTACATTACGCTTTTAAATGTCCGGATGCAGCAGCCGATGGCGTATCACCACAGCCGTCAATGCCGCACGCCCAGCCGCGCCTGCACTCCACGCCGAGGTTTTCCCCAGCAAGACACCGGAAGCACAAACCAGCTGTCTTTACCAAAGCCCATCGCTTCGGTTGCGGTGTTGCTTTGAAGTCCGCGCAACTCCATAGTGAGTGACTTCTGGAACACAATGGACATCGATCAGCAGTGCCTTGGTTCTCCACCCAGAACGAGCGATGCGGCCGTCCGCTGGCTTGTTGGCTGACGTGGCTGTCAACTTTCCAGCCGTGGGTTTGCCTGCCGCTGTTGTTCTCTGTGATGCCGTGCACCATCTCTAAAGCCGCCACTTGGTACTCGGCCTCCTGCCTCAGCCACTCCAGGAGCGATAGCACGAATTCTTGCCACCGGTGGTCACACAAATCTGGACTCATGGAAAACTATTGGTCTTTTCCTATGAACATGAACACTCAATCTGCGTATGTACATGAACATGTAGCTTTATCGGTTGTCTTATTGTTCACATTGTTTCTCTTTGTCAACAGAAGAAAGTGACGCAGATGCCGAAGATGCAACTGCTGACGACGCCGGTGACAACACTGCTGGCGAAGATATCAATGGCGAGGACGATGCAGACATTGCCATTGGTCCATTGCCGCCATCCATCGCCGTGAGTGTGTGTGTGTTGCATTGTGCTTGCTTTCCGCTCTCATGTACCCGTACCCAGTGTGTATACGTTGTGGCCCATGACCAGTTTCGGGTTCAAAAGATCGTCATGTTTAGACCTGCGATTGCACCGAATATGGCTGTGGTGAAATAGAATTAAACGTGGAATCAAGTTGAACAGGGCCCCCGCTATGCTTGGTCATTACCTAGGCCATCCCACGTGTTATTTGAATGGATAGAAATGTCTGCGATATGGATACGAAACTAGGTCATCATACCAACAACTCAATTTGCGCGGCTAGTTGAGCACCACCTGGCTCACGGGGGTGAGTCCAATCCCAGGCAGGCGCTCACTGGGATTCAAACCTGCACTGATGCATTTAATATAGTCCTTCGATACATATCACTTTCTTCCAAGTCGTTTCACACGATGATCCTGTTGTCACAATCCCTATTTTAGTATGTGGGTGAATGCCGGCCCTCCGCTTACCCCTGGTACGGTGCGGCACATGTACAAGATATTGTATGTTTTCACCGCTGCTCGTACCACAAATTGTGGTCATTTGCGTGATCAGTCTCGTGAATACGGTCGTCCTACAAAGCGTTTAGGACCCACGGTGCTACGTAACATCTTTTGCATAGCTTCAGGAATAAAACACGGTTTGAAGTATCACATGTTTGCATGAACCCTACACTACACACACATCTGTGACTCTCTCCTCCAAACAAACATGTCCCTTGTCCGAACTCCTTCTGATAATCAATACTCTCCTGTAATGCTATGGGCAGTGGACGTTCACCATGAGTTAACAAACTATTTGTTGATATCACCTTTTCTCCTCTTCCCTGTGTGCTGCAGGGCGGTGCAACTGCAGACTACAGCTTGGAGCGGCGGGTTGAAGCGCGCGCGGAAAAGATGCGCCAGAAGCTCGCTCCAAAGGTACACGTTTAGTCGTGCACAATCAAGCACAACGCTCTCGACTATCATTGCACTTGAATAGCTATTAAGTATCAAGTTGCTGTTATTAGTTTTCTCTAGATTTTTTTGTCACGAAATACAGACATATATCCCATTTACCACCGTAAATCTGGCCATCGTAGTATAAGCTGCAACGACTTTTTTGGGCGAATTGCTGGTGTTTAAAGGGGAAGTATACCCTAAAATCAAATTTTCACCAGTTGTAGTCTTCGGGGTGCTGAGTCGAATGGTCTTGGTCCGAGGAAGCTGAGACGCTCCCTTCCTACTTGAATCCCAATCGAACTCGCGCACTTCCACCGAAACTGGGTGACTGCGCCCTACTAGATGGGGATTTGTATGCAAAATGTCACTAAAAGCGCCATTTCGTTCTTATAAAAGCACGGATGACCGCGATTGTCCCATATGTTGTAGTCTTTTGGACGCTGAGTCGACTGGTTTTGGTCCGAAAAGGCTGCGATGCAGCGTTCCTCCTTTATTCCCAATCGAACATGGTTGAACAAGCGGTCACGTGCTCCTGGGTGCCCAAATCACCTGGTCACCGCGCCAGCAGGCGACAACTTTCACACCAAGGTTCAACTCGAGTTCAACTCGAGTGACAGGACTGCATCCAAAAAAGGTCAAACAGGCTAGTAAGTTGTACCCTGCAGGCACGGTGACCAGGTGACTGGTGTACGCAGGAGCACGTAACCGCTTGTTCAACCATGTTCGATTGGGAATAAAGGAGGAACGCTGCATCGCAGCCTTTTCGGACCAAAACCAGTCGACTCAGCGTCCAAAAGACTACAACATATGGGCCAATCGCGGTCATCCGTGCTTTTATAAGAACGAAATGGCGCTTTTAGTGACATTTTGCATACAAATCCCCATCTAGTAGGGCGCAGTCACCCAGTTTCGGTGGAAGTGCGCGAGTTCGATTGGGATTCAAGTAGGAAGGGAGCGTCTCAGCTTCCTCGGACCAAGACCATTCGACTCAGCACCCCGAAGACTACAACTGGTGAAAATTTGATTTTAGGGTATACTTCCCCTTTAAAGTGCGGCTTATACTCCGGAAAGTACGGTATGCCTTACTCAACCGTACGCAAGGTTCCAGACTTTTGTGTCCCATAAGGTCTGGGCTCCCGATGGTGACATGTATGGCATGCCTGTTCCACAAAAGTCATGAAATGGGTATGACGTAGCACTTCGAAGTACCTTCACCTGTAGTTCCTGTACAGCCTGGAAGACTCATTCGGTGCATGTTGTGTTAAACGGTCTGTTTTCTGCTCGTAGAAAGAGGAATTGCAACGAGAAGAATGGATGACGGCGCTTCCGTCGAACAAAAAGTCGCTAGGTCTAGGTAAGTCCTCGACTCGGTTGTTGTGTATCCTCCTATGAATCCCACCAGTGTGTAGACGCAGTGACTAATACTGACTATCCAGGTGACGTCAACGGTCATCAATCAATCTACTCCATGTTGTGCACATTTCATCCACACATGGACAACATGTACTAAGATGGAGATTGAATATAGCAACCTTGTATAACAAGAGATTGAGGTTTACCACTTATTTCTGTTGCCCAAGTCCTGTAGAAGTCTTTTCTGAAAGTCGAGTATTTAGCGACAGACTGAATAATTATAGTGACTGTTTTGCATCTCCTGAAAGAGTGGAATTGCATGCTCGCTGTGTGGCCTCCAGTCAATCCGCCGACATGTTGTGTTGATGCTGTACAAACCTCTCTAGCATTCTGAGCCACTACTGAATATGGACTCAAACCTGTGATATGTTGTGTCGGACGTGCTATGAAACCGCTGTAACCTTGCGAGCCACTAACATTGCGGAACGTGAACTAGCATATGGGAGTCACCCGTCTCTTTGCTATCAGTGACCAATACATCTCAATTATCTTCCGCTTGTATTAGGTTTGACCAACCGGCAGTTCAAAGGCTCGTCATCGTACGTCAAAAACGAAGATAGGTCCGTTTGGACGGATACACCGGCTGATCGTGAGCGCAAGGCGCAGGAGGTGAGGCTGAGTGAATGCCTGTGATAGGCTGTAATCCGGATAGCTCTTCCTCTGTCCTTTGCCCTGTTGTCACAACCTGTTTCTGGGAGTTAGTTGTAGTGGTCACTGGTCAGCTCTCCCGAGGTGTCAATTTCTTGCGTATGCATATGTTTGTCGTTCACGTGTTCTAGGGACAAAGTGAGAAGGAGAAAAAGAAGAAGAAGTCAAATCCAGACGCCATTCCGGAGTCAGTTCGTCAGCGGAATGAGGAGCTGCGTAAGCAGACGGAAGAGTATAATGTAAGTCCATGTACTTATGTGTACAGCAACGCTGCTTCCACGTTCACTCTGGTCTGGTTTTTAACTAGTAATTGCCCTTTGTTTACACACACACACACACACACACACACACACACACACACACACACACACACACACACAGATACTCCATCGATTTAGGCGATGGCCTGTGGAGAATCCATAACTACAAATACACACACACACGCGCTCAGGTGCATGCCTTGTGCAATGGTATGACCATCTATCTATGTACCGGTATTCACGCTGCAACTCGTCTTGCGGAAACCGTCACAGCACTCTCCATCGATGCTTGTGTTCATTTACCTGTATCCTATGCTTCTGCAGAGCATTCATCGCGGTCAAAGCCTAGTCACGATGCACCAGAAGAAGCGCAAGGCCGTAAGTGTGGGACCGTCTAGCTTGTCATGCCGTTGGGTTTTGCTATGTGCTGTGCATGGTGAAGTGTGTACACACGCCAGCAAGCGTCCTTAACTCCAAGAGTGTGCAACTCTGATCCCCGAGGTATGGATGCTCTGCGCGGCACGCTGCCTTTATTACGTAATGAACTGACGAACAACCAGCCTGGATTTGAGTTTTCCTGCGGTTTAGCCGCACCGATTTCAGGCGCTATATGGTAAGATCAGAGGAAGTGCCTGTGCATGACGCATCACATACAAACCCATCCGAAGTCTCCAAGGAAAGCTGGCTTGGGACTACTTCAAGTAGGTGGAAGCAGGAGACCGTAGCAGATCAATGACGCAATGGCCCACAGTTCAATGCTATGTAATGTTGGAAGTGCGCCGTGCCAGACCCCATATGCAGAGTTGCACGCTCTTGGGACTATGTACTTTCGACGCTAGTGTGACATGACCTCTTCAGCTCATTCCTGTTTGGCGACAGACGTGTGCTTGTACCAGAAGCGAGAAAACAGTGTGCCAAGCACACAGACCCTTGTTTTCATGTACTGACTGCATGTGTAACCAAATGCTGAGGATCATGGCAGATCCCTGGAACTTCTGTGATAACGTGCAGACTTGATGGATCAGCTTCTTATGTGTTGTTGCCATTGACTACCATCTGTGTGTGCCTGTGTCGGTTATTTTGCTTTTGCCAGGATCTTGAAATGGGCATTGGTCCGGGGAAAACTGTCCTCCAACCGTTTGACCCAGAGCGAGATATGAAGCCAGAAATTACGCTGAGCGCATCCGCCAGACAGAAGGTGATTGCCAGCTCGAAAAAGCTCGACACCCGATTTGAACGCAGCACCCAAGGCCACTACTTATGAACTCTTGTTCTGCTCCAGTTAAATGTGCTCGTATAACGTGTTGGATGGTGTGTGTTTCATTTCAGAATTTCAGCATACTCTGCTACCTCCCTCAGACTTGGTTGTTACCCATTATTTTTATTTGTAAGTAATTCTATACCTGATTTCCTCTACAAGACAAGTAGAACAGAATAAATAATTCGTTGTGACTCAGAGTTTCACGCAGAGTTTCACGCACGAGGCGATCATCAGACAGAGGCAGACAGCGTTTTTGATTTCCTCTACACATTGTGTGCAGTGATCCACAGAGGGTGGTGGCGTCTCCCTACGGATGCGGAAAACTAGCACGAACCGTGATTTTTTTGTCCGCAGTGTCATTCTGGATGTGATGCTGTTCTGCAGTGGGTTCACTGTCCTATGACTACTATCACATGCACGTCGGGACGCACGCAAGCACAACACACACCCCAGACGTACTGTGAAATTGCATGATTGTTCGTTCCATATAACTTTCATTCCTTTTTTTTTTTTTTAATTTGGAAGCTTTCATGAGACCAAAATTTAATGTTTTCTATTCCAGTGCCAGCATGGTGTTAAAAAAGAGAGTTACTGGTGCTAAACACTGATTGTTTTGAAGACGTTGAAACCACTGAGTGCTGTTGAGACCATCAGGCCTGGGATCTGGGGATGCCAATGTAATTCCTTTATGTCCTTTTGGCCTTGATGAATGAAGAGCAATGCAGGGGGAACCTCATCACCACCAGCCATGGGCTTGCCTGCTTCCTTATCGGTCTCCAGGGACAAGTCCCACTGGACTAGCTGATCGTCCGCACCACTGGACGCAAACACACTGCTCTCGGATGGCAGCCATTCCACAGATGTGATGGCAGCCGTGTGATGCTTGAATTCTGCTATCGGCTGCCCGTCGCTTAGCTGCCGGAGATCCCAGGTACGTAGCACCCCGTCGTCACCACCCGTCACAAAGAACGGCGCCTTGCGGTTCCAAGACAGCACGTTAACGTCCGCCGAGTGTGCGTTCTCCACTGTGATCATGCATGCTTTGCTTGGTTTGGCTCGCACATCCCATACACGAACGCTCTGATCGGAACTGCACGATGCCAGGACATGTGCCTGGTCAGGACTCCACTGCAAGTCTTCGACGGATGACTTGTGGCTGGCGAGAGCATGCTGATTTACATTCCATTTGCCAGCCTCATCGGGTTCCCAGATGTGAATGTGATGGTGGCAATCTCCGGATGCAAGTCGTCCGCCGACAACAGGAGACCAATCGAGCGCAAAACCTTCACGTTGATGACGGAAGGTGAACAATGGAGTGCCAGGCAGGTCGTGGACATTGGCTTTCTTCTTCTTGGAGCCACCGGATGCGATTGGATTGTCCACACGCTGTAGCATGGATGTCGTGTCCCACAGGTGAACGTGGCCGGTTTCGGCAAACGTCGCCACAACTTGTCGGTTCTCCACGCACGCACAGCGCACACGGTTCACAGGTCCGGTGTGTTTTACACGCGCCATGCACATCTCTGCTGTACTCTCATCATCGCTGTCCTCATCATCATCCTCATCGTCGTCATCTTCACTAGCCTGCTTGGTTCGTTCCATGCCATGCAGTTTCATCAGCATCAAATGGTTCTGTTTGGATGCTTCTGCTTGAGTACCGGCCACGACGAACGCAGTCATGGGATATTCGGAACGAGCGTCCCCAAGAGCATCCTTGACAAAATCAAAACTCAGGCACGGTGCCTCCGTCTGAGCAGCGTGGTATAGGTGATAAGCAGTACTGTCATAAACCAGTTCCTCGTTCTCCTCAATTGGTTTTCCTGGCAAATAGACATCACCAGCATCCATGGCTTCATCCTCAGATTCCGATCCAGAGGAAGACATTGCTTCATCCTCAGATGCAGATGGAGAGGAAGACATTGTTACCTACTGCATGCTACAAAAGAATAGAAATATTATTATGATTCTATCTTTTTGGCCACAAAATATTTTACAAGTGAAAAAAAACAAAATGAGCGCGCATGCACGTGCTCGCGGTGCGGCCGAACGCGCGGCCGCGGAAGTCGTAAAGCATGGCATAGCGCTAGCGGTCATTTGGATCACGGGAGCGGATCTGATTTGTATGTACATGTATGTATGTATATTTTTATTTGAATTCGCAAGTACACACGGGCTACAAGCCCAATTACAATTTATTCCGAGGCTTCGAAGCTTCCTCGATCGAGGCAGCTACAGTATACTGTACTGGCTGTAGCTTGGATCAGGGAGGTGGCTTGGATCCGATGGCCCTTGCGGCCTTGGCCTTGGGGTAGTTATCATTATCGTTGGGACTTAATCTTTATATTCGTCTTCTGAAGCAAGTATTAGTTCTGGCACCAGATACTGATGGAGTGTCACACTGACAGTCTGTATCGATTCGAGACAGAACCAGTCTGTGCTACCGGTTGACGATTCAGTCAAGTACTACACTCCTACAGTCATGTAGAGAGAAATAAATAAAAGAAGCTACCACATACATGTATTATACACGATCATCAGGCAACAATGCATGCCATGATGACTGACATCAATACAAGTCTTGTACTTTGTAGGGAGAATGAGTACAAGTTGTACTCATTCTCCCTCTGCATGACCAGATGACACCAACCAGTTACCTAGGCAGGCTACAAATGTAGTGCAAGGCAAGAGCTCCCATCTTTTACTTTAGTAGACTTTACTCGTGATAAAAGACTGCCAGGAAGATGCACGTGATTGTCCGTGAGAGTGGATGAGTCGTCAACATGTTGTTGTGGACCACATGACCCAGAGACATAGCGGAGAACCATCAACAATGTTACGTCATGATCAACCCGTTGATTTACATGAACCATGTGCTTGGTTGGGGTCGCTCTAGCCTAGTCTAGCTAGCTAGCTCTGGCACGTCAACCTGAAAATAAGGATTTTTCTACTTTTGTTATCAGCTGCTAACGCCTAGCGCCTGTGACATGACAGGCGTGTTCTTTCTGCAGCAACGTATGACAGGAGCGAGAGCTAGAGTCGTAGAGAGCCGGGTCCGAAGCGCGAGCGCTCGAGCGGTGTCTTGACTGGACCACAGTCAAGTGATTCTTCTAGAATCTAGTACTTCTTCTACAATTTTAGTACGTCATGTATCACCTTCACTCGGAAAGCTTGAATGGATCTTGTCGTTATAGTCTCGTTACCCACTCCCAGATCGCGCAGCTAGCTCACCGAAAAATGAGTCTTATTTTGAGAAAAAAATGAGTCAGGGGTGAAATCAGCTGAGTAAAGCGGAATCAAACGATAATATTATTGTTATCGCGTTGCAGCAAGCTCGTGACAGACTGATTAGCGATAGAAATTCGTGTCCGGATAATCCAGTATCAATTACTACCATTGCTCTCTATCCGTTGTGGTCGCTTCGGCAGGCTACGAGTTTGGTGGGTAGAGTGGAGGTGGTAAGTGCTTCGGGGAAGGCCATTCTAGTGCTGCCAGCGGGTGGCGGAGGAGTGCCCTCACTCACATAATCATTGACTTCACCGGCAGGCGCTCCATAGTTGATCTCTGGGACAGTATGAAGACTGTACATGTGCTACGAGCAGCTGTACTGGCAGCAATAGCAGTGTTGCTCCTGAATCAGGTCAATACAAGCAGCAGTAGCGACTATGGCCAGTATGGCCAGTATGGAGCAGACCTCACGCAGCAGCCAGCGACCAGGTTCAACTACTTGTCAGGGATCAATCCCACTCAGCCGTTTCAGCCCGTTGTTCGCAGTCTGGGATGTGCGTCAGCTCACTTCACCTCCAACAAAGGCCAGAATGCGTTTTTCGTGCTCCACGGCTCCTGCTTTGCCGGCGACGAGCCTCAAGCCACGTGGCTGTACTCGGTAGGACCCAACACCTGGTTTCGCAGCGAGCCCATATTTGACAACGGCACGGACCCGAGCCGGCGTCAGGATCACGGAATAGCAAGCCTTCCGGATGAGACAGGCATAGCAATGTTCGGTGGTCGTACTAGCAGCAGCAGCGATGCATCACTATACAGTGACACTTGGCTGTACAATGGAGATGATCTCTGCTGGCAGGCGCTGGAGAACAGTGCGAAGAGTCCATCGGAGCGTTACGCCAGCGGCCTCGTCGGCTGCACTATGTCGCATGGATGTGCGGCCAACAGCGGCGTGTATCTGTTTGGTGGCCTGAGCACGCCAACGGAGGCCGGTAACATTGCTGCTGCCACATCATCATCACCGCCGACCATGCTGAATGATTTGTGGAGGCTGGACGCGGATAGAGCTGCCGGCTTGGCACATTGGTCGCAGCTCACTCCCGTCGCCGACCCAGTGCACGGGTTTCCTGCTGCACGCGGATACCCGCGAACAGCGGTGGGCCAGGCGGCAATGTTCGTGTGCGGAGGTCTGCAGTACGACAACGGCAGCCGTATCATGTACCTGCTGGACCTGTGGCAGTTGACAATGTCAAACAACACCTGGAGGCGGCTGAGCGACATCGACGTCAGCATGGACCCGTACGACTTGTGTTCCGTCGCCGGTCTCAGCTACGTGCCGTCCGATCAGGGAGTAACGCCGACGCTGATCGCCTTGCTGTCGTGTACAGGTGACTTGGAGATGAGAGTATGGTCTTACACTATAGGCACTGACAAGTGGGATGGCGTGTGGTATGTGAAAGGCGATTCGCTGCCACCGCCGTTCGTGCAGCCCATCGCCCAGGAGCACAGCGAGCAGGTTTACATCTACGGTGGAATAGACAGTCAGTCACGCGTGTATACTGGCTTGTGGGTGCTGCGCTACAACACAAAAGACAGTACATGCGTCCAGGCCGCCGCTCCGGACATCCTGCCGCCCATCGTGTCGCAGCACTCGGCCTCGTACCTGGAGAAGACGCGAGCGCTGTACGTGTATGGTGGTGTGTACCCGACCGCCCCGGCCTTGCCCGGTCTGGCGCCGAGTAGCATCAACATTGCCGACGAGCGTCTGCATGTCTACAGCGTGCAGGAATCTATGTGGACAAGTGTTCTGCGGCCTGGCATAGCACGCTTGGCCGCGCACACCATGATCTCCTGGGGGAACTCCCTATACTTGTTCGGTGGCTTTGACACTGATGGAGTGTCTCAGTCCGGCCTGTGGAAGTTCAACATTGCCAGCCTGACGTGGAGCAATGCCTCATCGCCAACGTACACATTCCCACCTCGGCAAGCCCATGCCGCGGCTCTAGACCCAGAGCGGGGCTTGATGTACGTGTATGGCGGTCTGTACTCGGATGCCTTGCACAAGGTCATGGTTCTTGGTGACCTGCTGGTGTACGACCTAGCCGAGAGCACGTGGAGTGAGATCAAAGCTGTCGGCGCACCTCCACCAGGTGTGTTTGGCCATTCAATGGTCTTTATTGATGGCAGCCTGTATGTTTTGGGCGGTGCAAGCATCGACGTCACGGCTGACGGTTATAATGTCTCGGTCGTGGAAGATATGTTCTGGCGTTTCAACCTGAAGACACGGCAATGGGAGAACCTGTGCTACTGGGTCGACCCGTCACTGTTTCATCCGCTTCTTGCGGGACGCTTCTTCACAACGGCTTCTGCCAAGGACAGTTCTATTCTAATGTTTGTTGGTGATTGCTGTGATCCTATCTGCATGCTCACGAAAAGCGACGTACCAACAACAGTGGAGCTGAATTCGCATACAATTGCACAGCGCTGCTGTTCGAAAAAGACCGGAGAAATTCATCCTCGCGTATGGCTGCTGTCAACAACTGACCATCTGTGGATGGAGCTAAAGATGTCCTATTCATCCTCGGCGCATCACTCGCCCATACGGCATGCTGGCCATTCGTTGACGAACGTGGAGGATAAGTTCTTTGTGCACGGCGGCCTGTGTCGTGGTGAAGATGACAACACGCTGTGCAGCCTTGCCCTGCCGACCTATGTTATACAGCCTGGCTGCAATGCTGGATGGTACTCGCAGCATGTGTACAGTCAAGCATGCCAGCCATGCCCTGCCGAGAACTATTCAATGACGGCCGGTAGCATTGGCTGTGAGTCGTGCCCACTCGGCTCCTTCTCGCAGCAGAACGGCTCAACCAGCTCCCTGCAGTGCTCTAAGTGCCCCCGTGATATCTGCAACGACGCCGGCGATTGCTCTGTCAACAGTGCTACCCACGAGATGGAATGCAACTGTGACTTTGGCTACGATGGTATGAACCGCTGCCGTGTTCCGGCTGTGTACCTGGGCATTGGCGGTGCGGCTGTCTTCATTCTTCTCCTGCTCGTCTTGACCTGCTTTCTGGTACAGAAGTACCGCAGCAAGCGCAGACAGGATGAGGAGAAAGAGCGGCAGCTACGTACGTGCAAGCGTGAAATCGCCAGTCTCAACTCTGTGTGGCGCATCGAGGCTGATGAGCTAAAGCTGTCGAGAAGAATCGATGAAGAGACACCCGGCAGTTTTGGTGAAGTGTGGATGGCAGTCTATCGTGATATGCAGGTAAGACGTGTTACTTGCGGTAAATACTAAAAACTAATGCAATAAAACTCGGATGGAGAGCCAAGGACTAAAATTAAAAAAAGAGGACCATAAAAATGTCATGTATGTCACTATGAATGTCAGTGTCAGTTTTGTGCTGATTGTTGCATTATGTCACCATTATCCTGCTTATAATCGTTTGTGTTGAAAAAATGGATAACTTGTAAACTTATGGTCCTCTTTTTTTTTAGTACTAATGCAATCCTTTCGATATGCTATGCATTTATGTTTGTGGTCTTGAATTGCTCTCAATACTGTAAATATACAAAATTTCGGCGCTGCAAAATTTCGGCACTTCACGATTTTTGACATTTCGGCGGCGATTTATTTTCGGCGTGGGGTAGAGGGCATGGTATAGTGCGACAGATGCTGTGAAAAATTTCATCGGCGTTTTAATTTAGGCGTTTTGGGTCGGTGCCGAATATAGCCGAAATTAAATAGCTGCCGAAAATTTGTATATTTACAGTAACTGGGCCTTATGCAGCAAAGAACATTTGTAAATGAGCAGTTGAAGAACATACTATTAAAAAAATAACACGTGCACACTCCAACACAACACCACGGGCTATCACCACCACCACCACCACCACCACCACCACTGATGCACTACCACCAACAACAACACTGTCGTGGCCTAAGGCTGAGTGTCGTCTCTACGTAACTCCGTAACCCAAAGTCCGTTGGCACAAAATATATGTGCACTTCTTAGTCCCAAACCCAAGCGTAGAGGACAACACAAAGCACAAGCAGTTAGTTGTAGATTCAGTCCAGGTTCAATAGTGAGGAAGGATGTTGCGCTCACTCAGTTGGGTCAAACTCTCTCTAAAGGACTAAAAGGGAAAGCAAGCTCTAATAATTATAGTAAAAGGGAGTAAAGGAAAGAATAGAGATCGGGGAATTGGGAGGTAGGGTAGTGATAGCAGCGAACGAGCTGTGAGCTGTGCTAAACTAACTATTGCTAATGATGAATTGGAGTAACAAAGCGGAACAGCAGACCAGCGGACCGGCAACAGAGACAATAGATGACAGTTCCATGGTAATGGGTAGTCTAGGTCCGGCGACAGGAGAGGTTGGCTTATCGCAACCAAAAGAAAGAGCAATACACTAATGGGCATTGATGAGGGCCTGCGGTAGAGGTAGGTGACAAGCTGCTGATAGTGAATGTGTGCAGCACTACTATACGGTTGTATTGATGAGTAGTACTATATATCCAGGGCCATGACACAACCACCACAACCACCATCACTTGCATACTAGAGTAGTTGGGTATCCACAATGACAGGGACAAGGACAAATACATGACTGTAGTACAATAACTATGGTAACAGCATCCTGATGTGTGTTTCAAATGGTTCCTAGTACATCCTAGATAACTGTGTACCGGGGAGTATTAAAAATACCAATTTTACAACTCCCTGCTGTGTACTTTTCAAGTGCAGCAATGTGGCACTGTTGTTGGTATGTGATATACTGCTAATATACAGGTCGCCTACAAGCAGCTTCGGACGCAGGTGTTGGTGGCCGATGCACAGGCCCTGATGGAGTTCCAGCGCGAGGCCGAGTTCATGCGCACAATCCGTCATCCGAACATCGTGCTCTTCATCGGCGCTGGTGTCATGCCGCCGAGCAGCATCGGAGCTGCCAGCATTCCGTTCCTGGTGGTGGAGTACATGCCACGCGGCACACTGCTCTCCGTGCTCAACGACAAGACAGTGCACATCGATCACCAGCAGCGTCTGCGCATGGCACTGGACATTGCCAAGGGCATGCGCTTTCTGCACGGCCTGACACCACCGCGCGTGCATCGCGACCTGAAGAGCGCCAACCTACTGGTCAGCGATCACTTTGTAGTCAAGGTGAGCAGAGAGCACTTCTAAACGATTACACTGCACTGATGAGACTTCAGGTTAAGCTGCCACGTGATAAAGGAATGCAGTTGAGTGGCACTCTGGGGGAAATGTGTACAGATACTGCGGCCCTGGAAACCAGCTGAGTGGCAAAAGTGATAATTATTTTATTGACATCTGAGTGGCAAAAGTGATATTTTACTGACTTCTGAGTGGCAAATCATGTACTACGGTGAGTCATTCGCATAACCTCTATACACATACTTGCAAGGCAAAGTCTTGCACAGTTGGGTGGGTGCGTCATCACCATTTCAGTCCTCACTAGCCGTGAGTGCGTTTGCATTGAACGCTACACCGCAATTATGCAATATTTCACAATCTGTAGAAGGTGGATTGTGTGATGTGAACCGCTAATCATCACAAAGGACGGTGTGTGTGACATGTGCATATCTGCAACAAGGAGCAAACTGCAAGAAGCTGACAGGCGTAAGAACACCATGTCCGAACGTGATTACTTCATACTGTCCATGTACCACATCGATGCAGTAAAGAGACAGTGTGAAGTGAAGAGACAACTCCCTTCACACAGTGCCCCAGGTGTTTGCTATGTGACGCTTGTCTGCTGAGTTTATGGGACAGGGCACCAATCAGTTCCATTGCCATGGTTCACTGTCGACTCAATGCCTTGGAGTCGTGCTATTCGATACACTTAAACCCGTCATATTTTAGTATTTACATTAATTTTGTTCGCGCCACAGTGCATTCTCACTTGCAGTGCAATCATGTACCCTGCATGAAGTGCTGTGCTCAGTGCATTTTCCTGGCCAAAGGAGTGGAGATTTTCGCGTCTGTCTGAGTCGTCAAAAGGTCCACACAGTTGTTGTCTTAACAAAAGTCCTATAAAAAGCCCCTACGTTTCTCCTTGTCTTCTAGTACACCTCGGTAACAACTGAATTCAAGAAGAGTACTCAGCTTTGTTTCTCCAGCCAAGCAGTATAGCTTGCGAGCCCTCTAATAAAGTCTGACTCTCTGTAATGTGCATGGTTACCACTCCTGCTCAGGTGTCTGATTTCGGTTCGGCTCGTTGGATACAGAGCATAGAGGAGTGTCAGCAGGTTTCCTCGACGGGCTCCATGACGCGCAGCATGGCAAACTCGACGACATCAACACCGATCAATGCACGCTTCCTGACCAAGTCTCGGTCAAACAGCAGCCGCGAGTATGACACCGAGCGAGCGCCACTTCTGCAGCCGGATGCACTGATGTCAAGCGATGTCGGGACCCTCCTTTGGTCTGCACCGGAGGTTCTGTCGCAGAGTGCGTACGGCGCAGCGGCTGACGTTTTCAGGTAGGTACCGTGGATCCGTACTTCTGCACGCACCTGAAGTGAGCGAGCATGTGGTTGGTCTTGGAGGCTAACACTACAACACAGACACACATGGTTCATGTGAATATGGCAGTGTCTGTCAATGGGGAACATTCTGATATCGGGGCCACTGCCTATCCCAGAGAACCATTCAGACCATGCAGGGCCAGGCAAAGATCCACTGACATAACCCTGGGTAGTGGGGTAACCTCAGTGTCACATGTACCATGTGTGCTGGAACTTAGCCAGACGTTTGTGTAATCGTATAGTGTCGGTCTGTTGACGTTATCTGAGAACAACACCGACATCATGTGCGCTTTGTTGTTCTTTCTAACAGACGTTCAGTGTCACAACTATCCACTTTGAAACTTTTGTCCGCAGCCGGGTGTATTGGTCTCTTTCTGTCTGTCTGTCAGTCTTTCTGTCTGTCTGTCTGTCTGTCACTCTTCTACAGTGTGTAGTTCTGGCAATGAATCTGAGACGATTTATCGCCTGAACTTATTAATCTGCCCCACTGCTACAGCTGCGGCCTTAGGCTTACGTGGCCCCTGCAATACAAGTACAGTAAACACCTGGTTTAAGCGACCATCCCACGGTGCAAGCAAAAGCGGTTGTTAGAGCCAGGTGGGCTTTAGAACCAGGCCCCACAGTATCTGCGTAGAACTGTCGGTGCATGGAAAGACGGTCGTTACGAGCAGGTGGTCACTAAACCCAGAGGTCGCTTACACCAGGTTTTACTGTAGTTGTCACTGCCGTCTCCGGCTACTTTCCCTTCATAATTCAGTGGTAGGGTGGTGTTTGACCGAAAAACAAAACGATTTTTTTGTGTGCATACCTGTATGCCTCGGATGTATATGTGTGTACATGTATGTGTGCATGCATGTGCATGTGTGTGTGTGTGTGTGTGTGCATGTGCGCACGCACAATGCTCTCCGTGTGCAGCTATAGCATAGTGCTGTGGGAACTGTACACCAGGAAGGAGCCTTACAGTCACACCGGCTACAGATTCAGTTTTGACTTCTCGCGCTACATCCTTGAAGGAGGACGTCCAGAGATGGAGTCCAACGGCTGGCCAAAGGACTACCGTGCACTGGTCGAGGAATGCTGGATGGAGGGGGCGGAGAGGAGGCCAAAGTTTGTGGATATTGTTCCCAACCTTGACAACCAACTGGAGAGATGCTTCTCACAAATGTAGGAAGGAATTCCGTCTAAAATTTAATATTTTATTCACCCCCAGCTTCCTTTGAATGGGGCCTATGTCAGTGACCATGTTTTTCATTTCAGGTTGACTTGTATTCATCTCTTTGTTGAGTCACGACAAACGTTTTAGCACAATTTAGGGTGTAAAAGCATTAGGAAAATGTCCCATTGAGAACTTTGGACAAGTTTAAAACTTGAGGTTTCAAGCATAGGTATTATCACATTTCTGCGAACTTTTACCCAATCGGTAGCATACTATACTATTCAATTTGCAAATCTATAGGCAAGGTACAATCAATTGTTTTCCCCTCACAGAATTTCGTTATGCATGCTAGAAATTTACAGCCATCTCATCCACACTTTCTCCCACCATGTTAGCCTTGAGGTACATATATTTACTACTTAGCCGTGTGTACAATGTATATCGGACACCAGGGATTTTTAGGGCTTTATGATCAATATTGTTTTGGTAAACTTCTACAATATAGTATACCTATTTTAGTTTCACAGCACCATAATTTGTTTGTTGTCTCGAGGCTAGCAGGCCAGCCAGTCTTATAACAGTGGCAAACAAATTGGATGGCCCTCATGAATAAAACAACCGTCCAGGGGCCCAGCCCTTTCTGTGTATTCAAAAATTAATAATCTACCGTGAGCGCTAATGGACGTAGTCTTGCACTAGCCAGCTAGTACAACAGCTAGATGAACGAGAGCATGATAATTGATAAGCATTCAGCAGGTCTGAAAGAAGGGATGTCATAATGCAGAAAGAACAAGAGCAAACATAACTGACCAGAAAAGCCAAAACAGATCTGTGAACATGCAAAAACAACAACAGCTTCTGAAAATATCGTGGCCTGTGTACTAAGTACTGGTATTGGAAAAGAAAGAAAGAAAAAAAAAGAACGAGCGTCCCCGGGTGGGCTTGAACCACCAACCTTTCGGTTAACAGCCGAACGCGCTAACCGATTGCGCCACGGAGACATCACACTTCCCTTGCTGCTGGAGCGGTCCCTACAACACGGAGAGCCAGCTGGAGCGGGCCCCACACAGTACTATCAGTATACCGTACTGGCAATATATGTTGCCGCGTAACGCGTAACGCAGGGGGGTGCGGCGTAACGCGCGACCAGGCTAGTGCGACAAATTTTCGTTGAGTTCGTAACGCGCGTCCGGCGGGGTGCGGCGATCTTTTCACTCAAAATGATGCGGCAAAAGCAAAAAAATGATGCAGCAATAGCAAAAAAGTGATGCGGCAATAGCAAAAAAAGGACTGCGGCAATATAGAAACCTGTGTAACGGCTCCTGTGCGACTTTGCATGTAACGCCCTGCGTGCGGCAAACATGTGCCAATGTAACGCTTCATGGCCTCACTGCGGCAACATATATTGCCAGTACGGTAGTCAAGAGTACATGAAAACACGGTTTTCATGTACTCTTGTAGTACACTGACACGGAGAGATGGACCGGACTGGAGTCCACTGTACAGAGAGTGCAGCACCTTGCTTCACCTGTAGATCTACACATGAGCAGAACTGATGCAGAACTGATGGGTTTGGCCACAACCACAATCATGTATTTCAAGCGATCCTGTCAGTCTGCTGTGTGTGACTGTCAATGTCACTGTCTGTCAGCTGTTTTTTTTTTATCACAGGGATCAGTCAGTATCACGGCGGCGATGGTTGATGATCTGATGCTGGTGCACCGGTGACCGTTTGTGTGAACGTTCTGTGCGCGGGGTTACCACAAAGTCCACAACGTGCAGAAATCGTTTCGACCCGGCACGGGTAGAAACCGAGTCCCGCAAGATTGTGCTGAGTCGCCTCACTGTCCAGGGTCAACGATAAATCGTCAAAGAGCAACGTGATTGCACTGAGAGAGGGAGCAGAGACAACACGTGAACCCGACCATGTTTCCCCAGCGCTAGGCTACGGTTGCGAAAACACAATGGTTTCAAGGATCAAGTAAGTTCTAAAGAGCCTGGTGGACCCTAGATGAGTCCAGGCCTCTATAACCATGATAGCTATACGTTGAAGTAGCGCTCAGCACCGTCGGATACTCCGCTGCCGTCTCGAATACGCAGTCTCAGCTGTTTACCGCGGAACGAACTCTCGGGCTCCTGCTTTGGTGACGACGATGGCGGGGACGGAGAGCCCATGATGGAAAACCTGGGGAGAAGGGATGTCTGTTGGTCAGAAGGACGGTGGTCCTGCACCTCAACATGCACTGAACAACCTTCCTTCAACATGTTGAGTTCGTCGGCGGCAGCAAGTAAGTTGACCACACGCCTCTCCACCTGCACGGAGGGAGAAGCATTACAATGAGTCGAGACACATGCCATTGTAAAAACACGTCTTTCAAGTTTCAACCTGCATGGAGGGAGAACCATCACAAGGAGTTGAGCTCTTGAGACACATGCCATTGTAAGATAGAACATGAAGAACAATTGTCACATGAAGGTATGGTTTCTAGCCATTGGGCTAGTTCCGTCAGCAACACACAGGGCTGTGTGGCAATCTGGCATTGTATTGCGAAAATTAGCAATTCAAACCAAGAGACAATTTACCAGCTAGAGTAGCATCATGAGCATCACCAGCACATGCCGATAACTAATGCGAACAACAATAGGTCAGCACATTGAAGGCTTGAAAAACACAAGGGTTTTACTGGAAGACCAGTGAAAGTGCTGCACACACACACACACACACACACACACACACACACACACACACACACACACACACACACACACACACACACACGGCACATGCAGAGCCTGCCAGCAGCCATGGTAGCAACGTTACGTACCTCGTACTTGAGAGACCTAGCCCCATAGTGAGAATCATAGCCGTCTGCAAGCACAGCAGGCAAGCTCTCGTCCCACGACAAGCTGATCTTGTGCCTTTCGTTAGCCTGAAAAACACACAAGGATACAGTGAACACACGCAACACATTCTTCCACCTATGCAACCAACACGTGGACAACTACAAGTAAACAGCAGCTGAAAGAAGAGACAAAGGCTGTTCTTTGCTATGCGTGTGAAGTTCGACCTTCGCTGCAGTGCACACATGTCAGGCCTCAGTGTTGGCAGTGTTGTGACAACACAGCACTTGGTCTGAACTTCTTCATGAGAACGACTTGCACAAGGCACAGCTGTCATAGATGGAGGACCCACTGAAGTATGTTTTAAAGTGCTGACCCAGGCTTAGTGCTGCATGTCACTATGTGCCATTGTCACTGGGCGGCGGTTTCATGACCGTCCACCACACCAGCATTCTGCAAATCAACCAGGTCAGGTCAGACTATGATCTGGGTACTGACACAGTTATGCTATGATGTGCTAGAGGCAGCACAACGACGTACACGCTTGGCCCATGTCTTCAACTCCTTCTCTGTCAGGTGCAGTAGCTCAGAGTTGCTGAACGGTAGAAAGTAGACGGTCTCGTTGATACGTCCCAAGAACTCGTCACGGCCAAAGAAGCGCTGTGTAAACACATACACAAAGAGAGAGAGAGAGAGAGAGAGAGAGAGAGAGAGAACACACACACACACACACACAATCATACGGTCGTCAAACACAAGCAGGACACAAGCCACCGTTATCAGCACTCACATGAGTCACAGTAACACTACGCCTGGCAGCAGTATCATGGGACAACCCTCTATCCGTGCATTGCACACCAGACAGAAACACTACGCCTGACAGCAGTATCATGGGACAACCCTCTATCCGTGCATTGCACACCAGACAGAAACACTACGCCTGACAGCAATATCATGGGACAATCCTCTATCCGTGCATTGCACACCAGACAGAAACACTACGCCTGACAGCAGTATCATGGGACAACCCTCTATCCGTGCATTGCACACCAGACAGAAACATGGCGTGAGCGCAACTATAGCCAGTTTCTGCAATGCTGTGAACATAGGGACACTTTGGCCACACTAGGTTACCGATTGTTTCAGTGAAATGCAACAAATTTTACTGATATTGACAATGGCAACTGGGCTGATCATCAAGCAAGAGGATACACGGAGAAAACAGGAGCTGGCAAACTATCAATGGCCAGACAAAGATGGCTGTGAAGCACACTTACCTTGAGAATCGGACGAACGACCTTGTCCTGAAATTCGCGAGACACCGATACGCTTTCTTTTACTTCTCTCGCTGAGCATGAACAAAAGGGCAAGCGCACAGAACGGCACTCAATCGATGAGCGATCCAGATTGTACAGCCTTGTTTAATTAATAGCCACACGGTCTATTGCACTGGTACTGGTACCAGTAGTTCTCTTGCTATGCAATCATATCCTGTAAACCGGGAAACATCTGTGTAGATCTTATTTCGTTATTCGCAAGCACAGACCAATTAGCTGCTGGAAATGTTTGCTATTGCCACACGGTTTACAGTAGCATACTGTACCTGATGCTTGCTTGTTTGTTTCTTTTATTCAAATTCGTCCAAAATAGTCCTGTTGGCTGCGAAAAATTGAGCATTAGGCCATGGTAAAAAATAAAGTTGATTCTCAGGTCATGAGCCTGTGAAAATCGGTGCGAGCGAGCGATTTTTTATTTTAATTCCCACAATTTTTTTATTTCCAAAGATAGGGTCACACATGTGTACGTCACAGGTTCATAATTAATTTATAATTATTTTATTATTCAGGCCAGGGAGTAGAAAAATACCGGTATTTTACTACTCCCGGATTCATGCCTTTCGCATTGACCGTTTTCATGCACGCATAGAAATAAAAAAAATCGTTGGTGCGCCGCCAAAAATCGATGCGCGCGTACTTGAGAATCAAAGGTATTTTTTACCATGGCCTTACGAATGATTTCGGGTTTGGACCTGTTACTTCACACATTTCGCCAAGGCATATATACCTGATGTACTTCAAGGTGATCTAGCAACACCTGGTTGAATAAAAAAATTCACGACATCATTTCAGTGTGTAATGAAGGCAGCGTGTCGCGAACGAACACCCATGGCTTACAGATCAGATCTGTATATTCCTGCTAGTACAGTCAGACCTCGCATAACTGCACATATCCATTTTCCAAAAAAATATCCGGATAGGCGAGGGAGCCGGATAACCGAACACACATCCCGAGTCAGTCTTCATACGCATGTGGCATATCCAAAGGTGTAAACAGCGATTTTCTTCCAGATGGCGAGGGATCCGGACAAAAGAGGACCGGATAAGCAAGGTCTGACTGTACATGTAACCTTACCTTTCTGCCGGGTTTGTTGTAACTGCTCCTGGCCAGCAGCTTCCTTGCGCAGCTCAACACCATGAGAGCGAATCTCGTCCGCTGCCAAATTCGAGGTCATGATGAAAATGGCATTCTTGCAGTCAATCGTCTTGCCCTGCCCGTCCGTCAAGCGCCCCTGGGAATGAAAAGAAGGGACAGGTAGCCGGAGAGATTGTTCGTACTGGTACAATGAGAAATCCATGAGAAACGGGGCTCGCACACATACTGCACAAGCAAAACATTTATTTCAGCGAATAATTTCGTCCAACACCAAGGAAGGGCAGTTCGTTCAATTGAAAATTTCGTCCCAGATCATGACACAAATCGAATGGTTGGACGAATCACCATCAGTCTGGCACGTAACTTAGTTCAAAACTCCTCGGACGAAAAAGACGAAAACTAAATCCAGACGAACATTTCTACTTATACAGTAGACCTATTGCAGCATTGGCATCACCGAACTTCACATGCATGTAAGTTACCTCATCAAACAGCTGAAGAAGTGCTGTCAATACATCGGGATGGGCTTTCTCAACCTGAAGCAGTGCACAGGCAGACATTGACATACAGATGGGGAAGCCCAGTTTGAGATCCGACCAAAGTTGACAGTGGAAAACAAGAGTCAACAAATGCAAACATACATTCATACATGAGCGCAATTCGTGAGCATGTGTGGCTTCGCGAATTCTTTGCAAGAAAGCGATTTGGGGCACTTCGTTTGGGATTTTTAGATAGGCAGGGAAACAACCTTTGCGCCCACCACAAAACTGTATGCAAGCGCACTCATCACACAATAACAATATTGATTTGATCGATTCACTTCATTTGGAGTGGTGAAAATCCTGTATCATCCCTTAACCACAATACATGTACCAGGTCCAGCACCCGCACTGCCACCACCAGCAGCAGTAGCACCCACAACACCACCCATTAGCTGGCTCAGTAGTAGCGTGATTACATCAGAACGACAGTGATAGTTCAGTCCAAACTCCCACCATCACACATGCGCACATACTATTGATGAACGAACCGAAGGCTGTTGCTTACTCTCCAGAACAAAAGCGAAGCACGAAAAAATAGACTTACCTCATCAAACAGAACAACAGCTTCCGGGAACTTTTGCAGACGCGATGTCAGCTGCCCGCCTTGATCGTAACCAACATAGCCTGGAGGAGATCCAATGAACTTCGCAACCTTGCAAACAAAACAAAGGAGATATCCAATTGAAAAAAAAAGAAAAAGAAAGAAAAGATGCAAGTGTACACGTGGACACAACACAATGAGCCTGGGGAAGTGCAACACAACAGAAAGTAACAAGAAGGGAAAAGAAAAAAGAAAAACATGTAGCAGAGGATGGTTTCGATCCATCGACCTCTGGGTTATGGGCCCAGCACGCTTCCGCTGCGCCACTCTGCTCCCACAATTCTTCAGCAGTGTACAACTGACCATGTACGCGCAAAGTACATGAAGCGGAGATTTGATACTGCACTACATGATCACTACACGATCACTACATGATTACATGATATATGAGTGCGATCTGTGCAATCAGCAGTGACAGTGCCATGACGTCAATATGCTGTAAACGATGAATTACACTTTCCTAGGCCAATACAAGGAGCACATGTACACTGGTGCGCTGGCTGGTATACGCATAAGTATGGGACTGCGTTCAATCGGGAATAAGGGTCAAACTCTAAAGCACAGCCTCCTTGGATTCAAGACCATTCGATCCAGAGGACTACATGTTCTGAACGTTTCATCTTCGTCCGTGCTTCAATAAGAACGCAGTGATGTTTCCAGTAACAGCTGCAGCACAAATCTATCTACATGAGTAAAGCGGGATTCACAGAAGCTTTTTGGCGATGCGACACGCGATGCGACGCGATCTGCGACGGACGCGTGCGATGCGAACTCGCGAAATACCATTCACAGAAGAAGTCAGTGATGCGACAACATCTTGCTGATTTGGCTACGTCACCATGATATTCGCGCGGTTTGATACAACTTGTACAAATTTATAGGCAACTCTTGAACCTTTGTACAACTTTGCTGTAGAAAAGGTCAAAATCGTACGCCAAATCGCTTGTCGCATCGCATCGCAAAAGTTGAGCCAAGCTCAACTTCTGCGATGGCCTGCGATGGCCCTGTTGCGGCAGTTGCGTGGGGTCCGCGATGGTTGCGATTTGGGGATTTCCCGGTTTCGCGGCTGTCGCATCGCGTGTCGCATCCCAAAAAAGCTTCTGTGAATCCCGCTTAAGGTGCATTTTTTTACGATTTTGGTGGAAGTGCATGCACGTAAATTAAAAACGAGAGGCACAGTAACCGATACACTGTGATTCACTGTGCGTGTGTGTGTGTGCATGCATGTGTGTGTGTGTACGCGTGTATGCGTGCACGTGTGTGTGTGTGTGCGTGTGTGTGTGTGTGTGTGTGTGTGTGTGTGTGTGTGTGTGTGTGTGTGTGTGTGTGTGTGTGTGTGTGTGTGTGTGTGTGTGTTGCCCTAATGATGCTCTAAAATGGTGGCCACAATGACAATCAAAATAGGTTGCCAAACGATGTTGTCAAAATAACCGCCCAAGACAGGTTTACATATGCCAGCATTTTTAAACTTCCCCCTGCAGGTAGTTCTCGGCACAAATCAGCAGATTCCGAGAGAACGGGGGCAGCAGAACATGTTTATTGACGACTGGCAAACACTTACTTCATGTTTCTGCTGGTACTCGGACATGTCAAAGCGGATGAAAGCCTGCGCACACAGAGGCAAAGACAATCTGAACAGAGAGCACAGCAAGTGTCCAAGCTTGACCAATCAAACAAACTACATACATGTACGTCATGTACCGCTGGCTTGAGAACTTGAAGATGAAACAAGCATACACGGGTGAATGATGCAATTGTCAGAGTGAACGTATTCAGTCAGGAGAAACAACACTGTCGCCCCATAACCTCCAGGACTACGGAGTATGGTAGCTGATGATGCTGAGCAAATACAGAGCAGGGCTGCCCCAATCATATACAGAGCAGGGCTGCCCCAAGCATATACAGAGCAGGGTTGCCCCAAGCAAATACAGAGCAGGGCTGCTCCAAGCAAATACAGAGCAGGGCTGCCCCAAGCAAATACAGAGCAGGGCTGAACCAAGCAAATACAGAGCAGTGCTGCTCAACGTTGAACTAGAAAGACCGACAAGACTATTGAGTGAGTGAGCAAAGTAAAGCCTAGGGTGGACCCGCTGTTCTTACATCCTTCTTGTCCTTGTGTAGGTATTGTGATACTTGCTTTGCCAGCTCTGTCTTTCCTGCACATGTTGACACACACACGCACGCACGCATACACAGACACACATAGTAATATTATAGATACACACAGAACATACACACAGGTACGTACACATACGCAAACAGATATGGACAGACAACACATACACAGCCCGCTAATGATATCTACTAACTGGTTACTAGAACAGTAGAAGTCCATCAGGCGCCATTCAACAATGCAAACAAGCGTGTCTGGGCAAGTTGATTGGGGATAAGCTTCAGAACACTAAAGCAACACGCCTACTTGTAAGAAGATCTCCATAAAAGTGCTCAGCTACCTGCTCGCCTAAACTGACTTGAACAATACAGGTGAAACAAAGCAAGTGTGGCAAATAGCACAATTCACAGTGCAAATACAAGGCACTATAATTGCTCCAGATAAGTGCTCATATAGATGCGCTATTAAATTATAATATAAAATAGCGCATCATATGCGCACTAAACTGGAGCAAATATTATTTTCAAGCTCAATGGTGCAGGTGCGCACTATACTCCAATTATGAAAAAGGCACACACTACAAAAAGCAGTGTGATGTATCAAACTGGTGCGAGATTTGCCCTCTCTGACCTGCCATATAAGCCACTGCACGTACCCTACATGTACACATTCGCTGGTTGCCTGCGAGTCTGCACCTGCACTGTAAAGTTTCGCGAGTACAATGACGATTGTATCACTTTTAGAAGTCCACAGCTACATGTAGCTGAAACATTGTCCAGACTATGCACCATAGAGTATCCTTATCAGAGCAGTGTACATCGTTGTGCCTTGATCATTAGATCATCACACCAAATACTGCAAACAGTACTACTGCAGACAGCAAGTTACTCGTACAGTGCACAGTGGAACCTTTTCACTATCAAACACCCTGGCAGACCCACCGGACACATCTGGCCTGCGTAAGGAGGCAGGAGGCGTCCTTATAACACAGTGCACCAGAGTTCGAGCAGGTACAGCTGGAACAAGTGAACTAATGTGTCCTGAATGTAGAGGAGAGCTTTGTTGAGAGGTGTCCATTACGGGAGCCTCCACTGGACAATGAAGCCTGCGTTTAGCGACTAACCCATGCCATGGTGCACAGACACCGGCCACTACAGGCAGGTGGCCTTTCTTGACAGGTCAGAATGTATGTCAAGGGGCAAGGCTAGAGGCCTAACTCTAACTCTATTGTCGCTATGGCTGGCTATCGCCAACATCACCTTTTCATTGGCTAGTGCCACGTGATTGTGGATAAATAAATAAATAAATTTTAGAAAACAGATCAGTGCCAACAACATTGCACTTGGCAACTGCAACCACCCATGACTGGCCTGCAAACGCTGAGTTCTTGTGTGACGTCATTACCTTGACTTCAGTAACCAGGATAATTGCTACTTCTGAAGTACTAGTACTACAGTCATTGTAATACTCATTAGTTTGATGGAGTTGAAAAACGGGAAAAGTCTGAAGAAAAGTTTGACCGTCGCCACCAGGACTCGAGCCAGGGGCTCTCTAGCTTATGGCCAGCGATGCTCTACCACTAGCTATGGTGCAGTCGTCATCCAAGCGGCAACCGTTCAACATTTTCTTCAGACTTTGAAACAACATTGTGACTTAAAACTTACCGATGCCGGATGAGCCAAGGAACAAAAAGACCAGAGGATGATCAAGATCGTGCCAGCCACTTTGCTTTCGCCGCACCGCTGTAAGAAATGGAAACACGACGGGTGTGCAAACAACTACTGAAGTAATAGTACAGCAGGATGAGCCACTACTAAAGTTGAGGGCATGGAGTGATCTGGGCCAGCGCCCTAAATGCATGCATATCACCGTGTATCACTGTGTAGAGAGTTTGTGGTGACTTCAGCAACTCCCCTACCTGTAACTTTCTCGTTGTCACTCCTGGGTTTTCCATAAACGGTGACGTTGATTTTTGTGGCCATTTCCCGGAATTACAGGGGTGTCACAGGGCGGTTGGGAGTGGTACAACCGGGAGTCCGGGGTATCCCCCGGAGAAAAAATTCGGATTTTTCGGTCAACAGGGCACGTTTTAGCACTCTACAGCCGCAAGGAGGGTTCCCCAGCCCTTATTAGACAACCCCACTCCAGCTAAAAAAAAACGCTTCTCATGGATTTTTTGGGCATTTTCTGTACATCATAGCTAGGTGGCCAAGGCAAAAAGGAAGCCATTGCCCTCGAAAAACTGGCAAAATCCGAAGTACAGTTCTAGCGCCAGCCGCTGTGCAAAAACGTAAGTCATGTCCTGCGAAAGTGCGCCACGCCGCATGCACTAGTCAATAGAGAGGTTCTGCTATACGTGAAACGCAGAGAAATCACGTAGGCCCGGCGCCCGGGAACTCTCTTCGCGTTCCCGTAACGTAAAGAAAAGCTGTTAACGTTCTGCTCTACGTTCACGTAGAGAAATCACGTGAAATGTGTACTGGGACTTTCCCCTTCCATATTTGGTAGTTTTCTGCCTGCAGTTGATCGATACCGTACCCGCGTACCCGGCAGATCTGTACGCATTTTCTCTGCGTGTGCCACTACGTAGAGAACCTCATCTCCGCGTAGAAATCTGGAGCCAAAACATGCGAAACCGTAGACTCTACCCCAGACACCTGCTCTCTACGTGATTTCTCTACGTTTCACGTATAGCAGAACCTCCCTTATCGTACAGTCGCGAAGATGTTACAGACCAGTCATGTACCGTAAAGTACCGTTGATCCGCCCCCCACGCCATGTCGCTTCCCAGCTGGGTTTTCGGCAGGGGGCGGGAATTAGATCAAGGCTGTCAAGTGCAGTACGATGTACAACAACGTAGAGGATCAGTCTCAATGTGCTGGATTGTGCACATTTTGATCCTGGATTGGCAAGTATTGTGTACAGCAGTGTATGCGTCGGTTCAACATCGTATTTCGTTGTATACGCCGAAGTCGCTTCACAAGGAGAAAATCGACAGGGGGCGGGAATTAGAGAGGGGGCGGATCAACGGTACTTTACGGTAGTTGTTTTTAGAGAGAGAAGATCCTTTTTTTTGTTCGGTGGGATTGAAAGATCTGCCAGTGGACCGGAGAGCTACAACACTGGAAGCAGAAGAAAGGGCTTGCGGAATATTCTCTGTCTTCGTGGCAACAGGACTTTAGTTTACGAGAGCTAGAGACTTTCGTCGCGGACGCAATTCTTGTTGTTGCTACCAGAAAATTCGGAGAACGAAACGATCGTAAGTCGTTTGGTGAAGCGGGTCGTGTCGGTGAACAGATGCAGAATGTTCTGCCGCCGTGGAACAGCAGTCCAAACACTTTTCAACTTCGGAGAATGAAGCGCTTCCCTATTCCGTCGACAAGCGCGGCGTTCGCGGGTGTAGATGTAATGCATTTTCGCATCAGCTTGCAGTAGATCGTCAGGAGACAGAGGTGTACTAGGTAGGTGTCGTTGTAATTGTGGAAAGAATATAATTATTATGTTGTAGCTGACAAGTGACATGCTTGTAGTGTCTCTTGACCGTGCTGATCGCCATTGTAACATGATAGATCTTGGAAAATTTTAGTTCCGGACCCAGTGATCGCCGGCGCCGCCAGCACTGTTTCCGTCAAGTTTGCAGTGAATGCGTCCGTGAAGAATCCATCATCTGGTTGTCTCTACCCGTGACTCCAACCGCCTATCGCAATGGATAGCCGCCTGAAGTCTTGGGGTGCTAGCTGCTAGGCATCAAGTCGGAACCAAAAGTATGCTCCTTGGAATGAAAGTACATGTAACCAAGAGTACATGAAAACCGTTTTCATGTACTCTTGATGTAACACGTAACGTCGTTAGTTGTGATGTTTTGTACAAGTCCGAAGATCCTTGACTTGATGATTTTTGTATTGCTTTTTTGGATGGGTGGACCATCCTGGACGAAAAGTGGTACGACTATGGTCGTAGTACTTGTGGTCGTACCGTGTGTGACGCTCCTGCGTAGATCTACGCTACTTATCATTATGGTTCCGATTCCAGATGGTACACATATATCCCACCATGCATCCTCGTATTTCGCCGTAGCGTATCTGTATATGGCATTTACACACTGTCACTGTACTATGTCATTACTACACATGTACACCCTTTTCCTTACTGGCCAACACATACTCCTTCTCCACCTTAGCTTTAGGCTAGTCCTAGTTTGGTTTTCATCTAAGGTAGTTTGCCTTTCTATCCCTCTTTCATTGCTGTGTCAATATTACAATAAAAAATTACAACTCTACTGATTTACGCCATCTGTGTGCGTTTTAGAGTTGTGCTAGGGCTAGCAGTGTAGGACCCTACAAGTTCATACAAACACACACTCAGCTGGTGAATGTGTACTAGATATACACACACGCTGTGCCGAGATATTCAAGCTTTGGCTGAAGAGATAAGTACTACCAAGAGTACATAACCCCCCAGAGAGTGCAACGCCGATCCAGCTCTGCATAGGGTCTTGGTCGAGCGGAATCGGATCTTCTGATGTCATGCGTACACTCCACACCAGCGCAAGGCCGGCCGGTCTCGAGGCAGGGCACCATTGTTTTTGATCCGAGAGTACCCGCGACTCACCGGGTTCCCCTTAGATGTGTACGGTATTATGACGCAAAGATCCAATTCCGCTCGACCAAGACCCTATGCAGAGCTGGATCAGGCGTTGCACACTCTGGGGGGGGGGGGGGGTTATGTACTCTTGGTACTACCAAGAGTATATAATGACCACCCAAGAGTGTGCAACTCTGAATATGGGATCTCGGAAGGCGAAAACTCACACCACGTGTCTCAGGTACGCTTTGTACTACGTACAACTAAGGATAGCGTGCACGCAATCCCAAAAATCTGCCACGATTATGTTGGCGAGTTGCATACGCGCAGTGAGTTTCTGCCAGGGAGTGCTTCTCTGATTACTTCGCTGCTCGCTAAAAAAGGGCTGGAAACGTACAACTGCGACACAACACCACGTGATGTGAGTTTTCGCCGTCGGCGTCTCGGCGAACCCCATAGAAAGGGTATCAGGAGTTGCACACTCTTGGGGGGGGGGGGGGGGTTATACTCTTGGTACTACACACTGGGGAAATGGGAGTACATTTCCTAGACCCTGACTAGAACTTGTAAGTTGTAACGTTTGTATATGGTGCCACATGCATGCGAGTACGCTCAGCTGCAAGACCAGCGCCTCCGGCTGCATACACATCGGATTTCAACGCCCACAACTCACTTTTACCGTGATACGTCTGACATTGTACATGTGTGGGCTGAGAGATTGAGAGGTCATTGCAGGTTGACATGTTCATTTTTAAATAAACAAAAACACCATATCCGAGGTTCAAAATTGGTACTTTGAAGTTAGCACAGAAGTTCAAAGAATCCAGTGAACGTCAGTCTATGCCACACCAAGTGTGTCCAATTCCCACATATCCAACAGATAAGTTATAACAGCACTCTTACCGGCACTAACGACATTGATGGCATTATCTTGGCCGACAAGACGCTCATGAAGAAATTCCTCCAGCGGATGAAGCCGCCGGCGCTCTTTCTCCCTGGCTTGTCGGCGCTTTCCATACTAATAGAACACATGCGGGGAAAGAGACAGGTACAAAGCCAACAGTGTGAGCGCATATTCCAGCAAAGGAACTATAGCACAGTCCACGAACTGCTTATTGTGACGTGACGTGAAAAGTTACATGTATTTGTCAGTAGAACTGTAAATTGCATCGCCAAAAACCTGCTGTTGCTAAAAGTTCTGGTTCGTTAGATACACCTATGAAGGAATATTTACAGCAATGGATCGACCTTGGAAGGATCCAGGATAGAGCAAAGAGATAATCATGATATTGTAAAGTCAACAAATATTTGGCGTGTATTTATTTTTGACTATTTCAGCCCTGCCATGTTTGGCCGAAAATTTGTTGCGGCCGAAATTTTGTTTTGCAAGGTTCATGTTGACAGTGTACACAGGCGGCAGCAGTTACAGGCCGAAAGTTTGATGCGGCCGAAATGGGTTTTAGCCCGGAGAGGCCGAAATTTGAATGGACCGAAAATTTGTCGACTTAAAGTACATGTACTTCAGTACTATCCAGTGCCGTAGCACTGGAGAACTAACCATGCCTTGTGCTTCTATAATAGCTGACTGCACGCCTTTGCTCTCGGCCAAGTGTATTGGCTGATGACCTTGTCGCGAGGCGGAGTTCGGGTCAGCACCAGCATCCAGCAGTAGTCTGACCACTCGCTCGCTGTCCATGATCACGGCATAGTGCAGCGCAGTCAGTCCGCGTGCATCCACCCGCGGCGCGATACGCCGACAGAAGTGCTCTGCACGCTCCTTGGCCGCTGCACGAAGAGGAAAAGCATCGTTTAAATAGCTGACTTCAACACCTCAAACCAAAAGGTACACTATTCTCCACCTCAAACCACAGAGTCCACAGGAGTATACACGTAGTACAAAAAGAGGCAAGTGAATATGGATAGGACATGTCCAGGTGGAGCCCGGAAAAAATTCCTGACAAATGGTGACAACACAAACTACTGGATGATACAACAATTCTTCTCCACTCGCTATCACATGCGATGGTGTCCACTGCGCAGTGGTAGGATAGCAGCACAGCAGCAGATGGACTATAGGCACACGCCATACCGTGCTGGTCTTCACGCAGGACACCATACTTGGCGTACGCCGACATGTCGATGGAACCGGAGTACTCGTCCACTGCGTCCACATCAGCTCCAGCATCGATTAGCACTTGAACACAACTGTGCGGCAACAACATGTCAACAGACAATGTAGAAGAACAGTACACAAATGTGTGAGTTCACACTGGAAACATAGTCATCTACAATTCAACTTTGGCAAGTACTACATGTAGTGGTCGCTGGCGACAATAGACACCCTTAGCAAAACAACGATAACGCTATTTTTTTTTACGGTACTCGTACCTTGATCACCCAAATAGCGTTGAAGCTGCAGCGTATAAACGTTATGGGGGCTGATTTATCGTTGTGACCAACGGCACGTATTTTGGCCAAATATCGCATAGTCCGTACGCATTTTACCTTGTATCGTCAAGAGTACATAACCCCCCAGAGTGTGCAACGCCGATCCAGCTCTGTGTAGGGTCTTGGTCGAGCGGAATCGGATCTACTGATGTCATGCGTACACTTCACACCAGCGCAAGGCCGGTCTCGAGGCAGGGCACCATTGTTTTTGATCCAAGAGTACCCGCGACTCCCCGGGTTCCCCTCAGATGTGTACGGTATTAGGGGTCGTCCGTAATTATCGAAAAATATAAAAAATCCGTCCTCGTGCAAAATTGTCTCTGACCCACCCACCCACCCCCCATCTTTTCCCATTCATTTTTGATTTTTACCAGCTCGAAAATAAGAACTCCTGACCCCATGTTCACTGATTGCACCTACATGTACATGACGTACATGTATATATTATGTCAAGTACTAGTAGCTAAGTAAAGTGAGTAGGAGGTCTACCGACGGCCATGCACGTCCTACAACTAAATGAAGAGTCATGTACCGGTATATCATACTGGTGTTTGCGATCCTACACTACGTCTACAGTGCAACAAGTGTATGAAAGTGACTGAAGAAAAAAAAAAAAAAAAAAAAAATACGAAAAATCAAAAAATTAAATTCCGCCAGCGCTCTTGACCACCCACCCCCTTTCTGCCTGAGGACGGATTTTTTAATTTTTCGAAAAATACGGACGACCCCTTATGACGCAAAGATCCGATTCCGCTCGACCAAGACCCTATGCAGAGCTGGATCAGGCGTTGCACACTCTGGGGGGTTATGTACTCTTGGTATCGTGTATATGGTGACAAAAATGGTTGTACCGCGCGAAATCAAAGCTATTCTCGTGGCAACAGCGTACTAAAAATAGCGTGCATCTTGCTAAAGGTCGAACCCAAATCACGGTATTTTCCCCCTTACGATAATACCGTTACAACATAACGTTTTTTGCTAAGGGTGTCTAATGACAAGCATAGGGTGGTTTTGCCAAGCAGCCTGCGACTTAAGCGTATACAAAAAATACGATGTTGAACCGACGCATGCACTGCTGTACACAATACGTGCCAGTGCAGGACGAAAATGTGCACAATCCAGCACATTGATGAAAATGCCCAACCAAACGCAACCTCAGCATCACCGATTCTACAGCCAAAACTAGCATCACCGATTCTACAGTCAAACCTGTTTGAACTTCCACGTTGTTGTACATAGTACTGCTCTGGACAGCCTCGATCTAATTCTCGCCCCCTGCCCTAAACCCAGCAGGGAAGCATGCAACATGGCGCGTGTGTGTGTGTGTGGGGGGGGGGGGGGGGGGGTCAACGGTACTTTACGGTACCAACAGGAGTACACAACTCCGACGGGATAGAGAAAGTACCGCCAGTTGTACAGTCATCTGCTCTATAGGGTGATGGACTCTTGAGTCTTGACACCAGCTGCAGTGGAACTCACGTAGTACGTATAGTACGTACCCGGGTAAGATGTACACACAGTTAGTACGGTCCTTTTTCGCTGTGCACTTGTACTTGCACGGATTTCCCTACCATAAACGCACATACAAATGTGTATGGGTACGACATACTCAGATAGGACGTACAACTCGTGTATGACAGACTTTTGAGCGTGTCCCAACAGAGCTGGCCATGCGTACTAGGTACAGTTTGGTGGTTGTGTACACCTACAAAAATGACAGCTTCGCTTGGCAGGCACATTAGTATGTTGACAGTGCGGAGGAGACGGTACGCAGCGCAGGCAATCTGGTTTGAGGATATTAGTCACGTATATTTCTGAGCGCAATAAGTGATTTGGAGCATTTCGACATACTACTCATGTATTGGACATTGGTCGGTCCACGGGACTCAACTTTGGATCAGAAGTACCCCGGACAGAAAGGACTTTCTTCCACTACCCAAGAAGGTACACTGTACGTCTTATCAGAATTCTAGTGTACCAGTATAAACATTATATAAATAAAATCTAAAGAAGAACCTCTCTATTGCGCGGCGCCCTTGTACCGGACATATCCAGCCTGTGCGTAGAGGTGTTCTAAGTACAGAAACTGAATGCATTATGAATTATTTATGATTCTGTCCCCCTGGAAAAACGCGATTCCGCGGCCGCGGCAAATTTCGCAGAAGTTGCCATCATCCGCGGAAATCACGGAATCCACACTTTTGCCCGCGGAATCTGAATTTTTTAGGGAAAATTACTAAAATTAATCTGTTTGAGCACATTTCTCTTGCCAGTGCAGGTCTCTCCATGATTCTTCACTCTTATTCAGTTTGTGACCGCAAAGGATAGTATGAAAAGTACTCCTTCATGCGACTAGTTGTCATATCCTCTACGAGGAGGGTGAAAAACGTGCAGAAAATGCCGCAGATTTTTGATTTTACCGCAGAAAATGCCGCAGAAAACCCCCCCTTTTCCCCGCAGAATTTGCCGCGGAATTTTGAATTCTTCGCCGCGTTTTTCCAAAGGGACAGATGATTGGGAACAAGTTGAACAGAACAAAACGTGTCCTGATCGAGGAGGTGTCCGTTGATGAGAGGTGTCTGCTAAGGGAATTTGTAGGGGTAAACGAATTTTAGAACGTTCGACTAGGTTCGCTCCAAATGGGCGTTGAAGAGAATTATATTCGCTACTTTTTAAAAGGTGTTTGGCGGAAATTTTCGGCCGTAGATGTTGAAACGTGGTGAAAGGCTACGCAAATCCACATTTCGTCCGAAAATTCTTTGGACGAAAATGAGAAATGACCAAATAAAATTCCCCACGTATATTTCTGCTTATACAGTAGGTACCTTGTAGATTGCTCTGCTGCAGCAACGTGCAGCAGTGTCCATCCCAGCGGGTGTTGCTCATCGACACCAAGACCGTCTTGCTTCATCTCTGAGAGAATCCTGAACACCGGGCATGCAGAACATCAAAAATGCATCAGACTTTTAGTGGCCGAACAATGTTTGCTACAAACGGACGAGGGCAGCCGATGTTTGCAACTCCATAGTGGATGGTTTATTTTTGTTCAACAGCAACCTAAACCTGTCTTTCAAAACAACCCTGAACCAAAGTCCCACGCGGGACACGTCCTGTTGAGCAAGGCAGAAACTGCACACATGTTGGTTGGTTGTGCGCTAAGGTTTACAATCTTGAGAGCTTGAGAGCCAGATTGATGACATGCCAGAAACAACCAACCAAACAAACAGGTGGTCTTATAGTGAAAAAATAGTCGTTTAGTACAGGTTTTTACTGCACAACAGGGGCTCTTCTTAGCTACATGAGCCAGTTTTGCCCAGGTTGCATGGACTGGGGGTTCATCCACCAAATAAATTCTGCCCGTATTCACTGCACCGCACCACTTACCGGCGCAATAGGCGCGGGTTGTCGTCCCGGATTGCCTGACATGCGGACAGCCATAGTCGCTCGGCTGCACATCACATGGACACATGGTCACAAAAAAAAGAAAAAAAAAGATTATCACGGCAGACCTTCTAAAACACATGCCAGTGGGGCTAGGGCAGGGGCGTCGGAACCGGTCCGGCAGGTGCCGCCAAAGACGCACCAATACACTCAAACGTCTCTTATCCGGACGCCTCAGATACGGGCACATCTCTCTACCGGGCACCTTCAGCTTGAGTTGCTATTGCAAAGGTGCATCGTTTTCAGGGGTTTTTTCAATGGCGTGCGCGCACATCCTCATTTTTTAAACTCTTTTCACTGCCAACCTCTGTAATCTACACATTTTCAAAGGTGGATTGTTTTTGTCTTGTACATGTGCAATACGTGCCAAACCAAATTCATCAAAAAGTGATATGATACATGGCACATGTGATTATCCTGAGCTAGACAAATCTGATATACGGGCAGTGCCTGGTCCCAAGGTGCCCGAATAAGAGACGTTCGAGTGTAATTTCATCTTGAGAGTTTTGAAGCAATAAAATATGGGCTATTTGGGCCCAATTTTCCAATTCTTTCCCACGGGAGGGCTCCCAGATCCCCGCCTCTTCATGGCCGCACCCATGTCGAATACCTTCTGATGCCCCTGGAGGCGGTATGGCCTATGGGCCCAAAGGGCATGGGACTGTGTATCGTGTCGCAAATACGCCTGTTGGGTCGCAACGGGGCAAGAGGTCTGTGAAACATTATCTGGCCGATTATCTGGATTCCAGCTGAAAAAAACGTTCTACAGCCCATTACAAAACTATAGACACGTAGGGTTTTTGAAATATTTCAAATTTGGCTGGACCTTTTTGAGAATAGTTTTCGGAATATTGCTCAGGATCGCTCCACAATTACTCTCATATAGTTTCTAAACGATTGGATAACAGACGCCCAATTTGGAAAAAATTATGCACAAAGTGATCACAGATTTTATGTGGTATAGATGCTGGCATAACGGTTTTTGCCTAGGTACGCGTCTATAGTTTTGAAATGGACTGTAAGTAGCAAGCGGACGCAGATTACTGTATAGCAGGAAATTTTCGGACGGAAATATTTTCGGACAAAGCCGAATTTCGATCTTTCGTACGGATTTTATTTTCGCACAGTGCTGCATGCTAAATGCACATGTTCGCAAGCAGTACGCATGTATACTATTGTACAGTGTACATAATTTCACACGAACAAATTTCAGTACAGAATTTATTTTAGTACAAAAGAGGCCATGTACGAAATTGTACGAAATTAAATTCCGTCCGAAATTTTCCTGCTACACAGTATTACCGGTAGCACTAGAACAACGTTCATATTTCCACAGGCCAGGACTAAAGTCTGATTTGGAACATCAAGAACATACTACAATCATGTACTTTAATAGACTAGCACTTATTAAAATCACTTCTAAGCGGCATCTCTACCTACATGTATGTGGTCACTGGAGAATCGATGCCGCCATTGGCTTCAGACTAAGTGTGTGTGTGTGTGTGTGTGTATGTGTGTGCATGTGCATGGTGTGTGTGTGTGTGTGTGTGTTGTGTGTGTGTGTGTGTGTGTGTGTGTGTGTGTGTGTGTGTGGTGTGTGTGTGTGTGTGTGTGTGTGTGTGTGTGTGTGTGTGTGTGTGTGTGTGTGTGTGTGTTATTGTGGCACCCAACATGTAGTCAGAGATTACTTCTTTCTCTGCTGACCTTTACTATTGTCACCGAAGGCAACTGTGGAGGGAATCAATGCAGCAGCCGATAGGACAGCTGTATACCGTGCACAGTATTGTCCACTGCGTGGTCGGCCTTGCACCAACGAAGCAGTCAAGAAACTCCTGCCAAACCTGAGGTTTCGAGCCGAAAAGGAGAAGTTGACGGCGTACGCATGGATGTTCGAGCACAGTGACCCAACCCTGGCCACAAATCTATACAGGTTGATCATAACGCGGCACGGGCCAGGCCCATCAAGACCCCTGTCAGTTCAACTGCCGCTGTTTCTGCGGTCTTCTAACTCTGAACTAGCTAGCTCCTCTTTCCAACTTCCAAGTACAAAATGTGTAGGTAAAATGAGACATATCATAATAATCATGTCAGAACAAACAGCATTTTTGAATGAAAATAATAATGCACATCGTATAGACGTCATGACACAAGTAAGTACGGTACTCATAATCACAACTAAACATGTGCTGGACATGTACAAAATCACCAACGTGACAACGTCATTATGATACTGAAATCGATGTGACATCATAATGACCGGTCGTGCATGGTACGGATGATGTAACATTTTGTTAGCTATCGATACGTAGATCTACGTACGAAAATTCTGATCAGGTGCGGACTGGGGCCGCGATGGCCGGATGGTGGCGCCGCTAATCCGAGACGGTTTGCACATTTCTCGTACTCTAGCGCCCATTTTCGCATTGAAATCAGTTTGCATTTTTGAAAGCGACTGCTGATTGGCTAGTTCAGCTCCATTTGGCGCGATCATTACGTCAGGGCAACCTGGCACATGGCGCAAGGCTTTCAGTTACTGGCTGCGTTGAACAATCAAGCCTGCTGCACATCGAAGTGTGAGTTTGCGCCAAAAGGGTGCTGTCAGCCAACGTTCAGTGTCAGAAGTCACTTCTTCAACTTTGGGTCAAGGTTTCCTTTTTCCAACCCTGTGTGTCTTTCTTCTTCTTTCACCTGATTGAGACAGTTTTGTTCTTTCCACTTGAGAGCTAACTGTTCAACTGGTATACAGTAGACCAGACAACCCTAGTACATAAAATAATAATATCAAACGAGTTCACCATGGAGGGTCGGCTGTAAGCTATGGCTGACAGTGTGCGAAGAACCGTCTACCCTCTCTTTTCGGCGTTCGTGTTGGGCGAGAGAAGCTGCAGCATTGGAGGCAAGTTCCTTACACACCTCTAAAGATGCAGTAGTGTGTTGATTGTGGAATCTAACTGGAGATAGCCTTCTTGTTGTCGTCCATGCAGATGAAGCTGCGGCAACTACTAGATTCCGCTCGCCTGGAACGCTCGCTGAAAAGAGCAGTGGAGAGGGAGGAGAGATTTATACCTGGAACATTGGAACAGAATACGAGTAGCTCACCAAAACAGGTATGCTTGTTATATGAGCACCAAGTGGCCTGTGCTTTAGGTTTCTGGCCTGCCGTCTTGTTTGTGAATGTAGGCGATTAGGGGAATGTGCTGTCTGTTGTAGGTGTGTGCTGAATCTGTTCTCGGTGTGAGTTTGGTCAGCAGCTGTCATTCCATTGTACTCTTTTTGCGTAGGGGTTCCCGTCTTTCTACCCAGTGGAATCTCGCGCAGAGACTCTACAATGGCTCCGCCGTCTGACCTACGCAGGCTTTGGGTTTAGCCCAGACACATTCTCGCTGGCAGTGAATGTATTCGACCGATTTCTATCCATCGTGAAGGTGAGTGAGCCAGAGTCCAGTTGCTCTTGTCTTGGGATAGTGATTTAGATGGCTAGACAGTTGCGTTGCTCCCTGCTACCTCTCGGCGTTTCTGCAGTTCCTTCTGTCCTTTACTGGGATGCCTTCTGCGTGGACAGTTTACTTGTTCGGTACTTGTATGTTTGTGCTATGATGTTGACAGCTTTTGGGGAGTTTACTGGTGGTCCCGAGCGCTGTTGCTCGCGTGGAATTCTTGACAGTTCATGCCCAACTGGATCTTTGTGCCGTCTGGCGGTATGCTTGCCGTCACAGCTTTCCGTATTTCAAGCACTGTTGAACGGGGTGTGCTGTTTTCATGTCCTCTGCATGGCCTTGCTACAGAGTACAGGTGTCCAGGACATGTTGGAAATTTTGACATGCTGAGAAGGATCCGTGGGATGTTCGATTTCTGATGTCACTTTCCTTCTTGACTTCTTGGTGAAGCATTAATTTTATGAGATTCCTCGATCTTGTGTGGCGTATTTTGAATTTCCAATATGATGGCTCAAAATCAATGTTCGATGCCTTTTGTACTTCCTGTTGATGTTCAGGTGCAAAGCAAGCATTTACGATGTATTGCCGCAGCATCCCTGCTCATCGCAGCCAAGATCTGCCAAGAGCCTGAGGTACTTCGATTTGTGGCTTCGTGGCTATTTCAATTTTTGTTCTCGGTCGAGCTGTATGTTCTGGTGTGTCTCCCATTTGCAGAACGAGCCGTCAGCAAAGGAAATAGTAAGCTTGGGCCAGTGCGGCTTCAAGGAGGGCGATATCACCCGCATGGAGCGCATCATCTTGGACAAACTGCACTGGGATGTGGACGCGTCAACTCCTCTCACCATCCTCAACATAGTGAGTATGACTATGAATGAGGGCACTTGCAGTGATTATGGCGCTCGTAGTGTGCCTGTTGTCTTTTTGATCTGCGATGCTCAGCTTGGGTATGTTCTGGGTGGGTATGAAAGTAACGTGCTGCAGGTGAGAATGATTTCGTACATATTGTAGATCTACATAGCGTTCGCTCCTGTATCCGTGGAATGCTCTCATCATCCACTTCAAATATTTGAAGTGGTTGCTCTGTACTACGCCGGAGCCATTGCCAGTGTTCATCGAATACTATTGTTTCGGGTGTGACTTGCTCAAAATGGCTCCTCAGGATCACCTTGCTGTGCGGGTGGGGGCATCCTTCCCTCCTTGTGCGATGTGAAGTGCTCCGTTGGTCGTGTTGTCACAATGTGGGAGTGCAAAAACTCCCGTTCACAGTGAGGTGTCGCAGTACTTTTGCTCTTGTAGTCTTACTCAGAGCGATGGACCTGCTCGCAGCTATCCTGCTTTGGCTCGACCGGCTTTGAACTATGCGGTAGTGCCTGGTGTTGTCGCTGATCGCCTGGTTGTTGAACTGTGGTGCGATTGATCGTTGAACCGTGTCCTTTTCACGTCAATCTCAGCTGATGGGTGACAGTCACAAGACGGACTTATGCTCTTGCAGGTGTGCTGTGTGTCCCTCATAGATCTACACACTCAGTAGAGCCACAGTTACCCGTGTAACCTGATTGCGATTGGGCTGACCGGTGCTCACCTGACCAATGATCTGCAAGACTGCATCAGCTGTGGTCTAATTCCTGTGTTTGGAAGAGCACTGTCATCTGTATGCAGCTCTGTCTTCTTTTACCAAAATCATTTCCTGTGTGTTCCTGTTTCTCCTGTTTTGCTCAGCTTCATGCCTTAGCCAGCTCCTGGGGATACTTGTCCTCTTGTGGGTTACCACCTTTGGTTCATCTCGGCAAGGTGACCAACTCCCTGGAGACTTGCATGCTGGATTCGAAGTTTGCCTGCTTCAAGGTAATGATTGTTATTGATGTGGCTGGTGGAATGACTATATGTCGTGTTTGTATTGTCCTAGTAGTTGTGTTTGTGGGTTCTGAGTGCCTTATATAACCTTGCATTGCTTTGCTATTTGTCTTCACAGCCGTCTGCTCTTGCCCTGGCCGTTCTAAGTAATGAGCTGCGCCAGCTGTCAGATTGTGATTGGCTAGATGCAACCATGGAACTTCAATCCTCAGCTTCGGTGAGTTTCTTTACCGTTGTGCTGACTGCCCAGACTTTTCCACTTTTTTGAACTGAATGTTGCTTGTTTCCGGACACTGCTTTTAGGAGTCATTGTTTTGTTTGAGATTTTTTTTCGCTTGTTTTCCTGGTTTCGTTTTTGTCTTGCCATCTGCAGGTTAGTGGGCGCACATTGGGCGTCTACTACGAGGCTGTTCAGGCCAGTCAGTTCAAGCTCCCTCGCAAGGCTGCTCCGAAACCGGCATTTAGCCGTCCTGCCTTCGTCCCCCGAGCTTTGTTTTCATCTTCACCGTCTGTGAGTAAGTCAGTTCACCCGTTATCTGGTGGTTCTGCAGCTATGACTGTTCCAGCGGCAACACCTGTCAATTCACTACCCTCTAGTCGCGCCATCAGCAGTGACGACGAAATCTCTGATGCGGACTCATCAAGCTCAGATGAAGATGTATCTCGTGTAGCACCTCCAAAGCAGCAGCCGCTTGCTGCATCCATCCCATCTGACCTGTCTCTATCTGCAGCTGCTTGTGTCCTGTTGTCTTCATGCGCCAGTGCCGCTAGCCCATGCGCTCTCAGTACTGGCTGTGCGCCTCTAGAACGGCCACACGTGTTGTCCTCACCAGTCAAAGTAGCCTAAATATGACTTTTTTTCTCTCTGTGATCACCCTCCAGTGTAGTCTCTTGCATCCTTTTATCTGTCTGTGAATTACAATATTGTATAGTGCACCTAAACACCCTCTCATCTTCACATTATCACTTTTTATTCTCATCGTATCGTACCAGAGCACCGTCCCCAACTATTCCTTCCACTCATCGGATTTTCCCCTCCCATATTTGTCTTACCGATCGTTCTAAACCCAGCCCGTTGATTTTTAATCTACTGTATGTGTATTTTGTGTAGCATAGAGACCTGTGCTTTCATTGTCAAAAAACCCTCCAAAAACAATATATGCAGATCTATAAAATATTTTGATCAGTTGAATACCAAAAAAACATTTGGCCACTCCTAGTACCCACTCGATCCCCATAGGATCGCACACTACGTGTGGAGATTTGTTTTCTCCGCGAGACTTTTTTTAAGATTACAAAAACAGCATCTTGCATTTTATATCCGCTTTTTATTCTAATATTGCTATGTCACTGCACATTAGCTATATATCCACTCTCCACTTGAACACACAGCTGTTGCCAACAAACAATTTTCTATGCCAGACTCGGAAGAGATTCTTGGTGATGATGATACCAGTTGATGGTTGTTTTGTGTCTGGTGCTCTCCAGTTAGACCAAAACCTACTTTGGTGGTGGATGCAACCGCCTTGTGCAGTTGTGGTACAACCACTGCTTGTAACGGACATGCAGACCGGAAGATTTTTTTGGTGTGGGTGCTTTGTTTCCCCAGCATCATAATGTTCACGGATCCTGCCACACATGCACCCTAAAACTCTGTTTGAAAACTGGAAAGCCAGATATTTCATGCCCGAAGTCTTGCAACATCAACATAATAATAATAACAGCTCGCATGTACTCCATGGGTGAGATCACCCATGGGGCTAACGCATCTGTCGGCAAAAGAGTTAGAGAAAACGAGAAACACATGACATACACACCTTCTTCATTCTGTTATTGCAGGGAAAAACTACCTCGATTCCACCATGAGCCTAGGCATGAGGAATATAATATTAAGTACAGAATGTTATTTACCAAAAGGATATTCAAGTAAGCGCAGATATTTTTTTAAAACATCAACATACTGTATATTATAGCAGAAATATTCGTCTGGAATTTAATTTCGTCTCTTTCATTTATTTGGACTAGGGGCGTGTTTGGTTGGTACGAACTAGAACAGGATTCACCAGAACAGCGCGTTTGGTTGGGACTGCACCTGTTCTGGGTTGGCCAGAACATGTTCTGCTTGCTCCAGGCCGGAGCAGACCGAGCAGTTTCACTTTTTCACAGTGAAACCTGGCGGAAACATCGATTTTGGTCCCAAATGATCACGTGCATACGCTTTTGGGTTGGACTCGTACCGTACAAAGTGACCATGGTGACCCATACACATTTTGAAGAATGCACCAAGTTCGGCACATTTTTCCACAAAAATGTGCTCTGTTTCTGGAGTACCGTTTGGTTGGCATGAGGCTGCTCCATGTGCACCAGCTGTTCGATCCTGTTCTAGATCGTACCAACCAAACGCACCCTAAATTAAATGCCGGACTATTAAAAAGAAAAAAAGTCTAATGTAGATTTGTCCAGCTTTTCTATACACTCGTATGATCAAGAGGTATGATCCATGGACGAAATTTTCAACCGGACGAACTCCCTTTGTTTGGAGTTGGACGAAATTTTCTGCCTCTACAGTACTTCAAGAGTTTATTTGCTTGCACGCACCACGACTGCAAGTGGCACAAATAAAAAATAAAAAATAATTTATATGAAAGGACTAGATCAGTGAGTTACATGCTGTCTGTATGTACACATGCACACTGCCTGTACAATCTTGCTAACAGAAATTTACAACTTATTTGAATGAAAAGAATATCACGATATCAGTGTTAAAAAACCCATAATTTGCTGAAAACTGAAGTGAAGTGACTAGTGGTCGCCTACTATACTAAGCATAAGAGAATTGGGGGAGCAAACACCTTTCGTAAGAGGATAACATTTTCTTGAGAAGTCGACGGAATAAAGTGTCCAGATGAGGATACTGGTAAAGAAAAAAAGCTATCGACACCAATGAAACTCAGCAACAACTGGCGGCATGGGCTTCAATTGCATACTGTGGAAACCTACAGAGCAACGGACAACACAAAAACACAGAGTCAAGATTTTTACTGACATTTCTTACATATGAAGTTGATTGCTCCGACGAGGAGCACACGCTTCTTGCCGAACTTGACACTTGACTGACTCACGACTGCCATCCGGAACACACGAGGAGCACGCCGCACCTTCCGCTCTGCAAACCTGAAAGACAGCACCACTCCCTGCTCAATAGGGCTTGAAAGTGATGACGTCAAAAACGGCCAGGGAGTAGTAAGTTGACATCAGATTTCTATTTTGGATCCACTAAGGTGTGACTTATGCTATTGCCTCAGTATGTGGGTGCATAGCAACCCACTCATGTCGTATGCAGGGGTGACTTTTACTTCGCCACCAGTTGTAACCCCGCCCCCAGTAGCCAAATCAGTCAGTTTCACTGGCTACATCACCTTGCTGCGAGTAAGACGGCTTGAAATGTGCTTGGATCCATACAAAAACTGGATCCAAGTGGATCCAGTTTTTGAATTTTTGAAATTGTTGCTATGCTGTGACGTAGCACTTTCAAGCCCTATACACAGTGTTTCGGGGAATTCACCCCTCATCAGTTGAGCTTTAGTAGGCTGAGGAAAATTGTGCCTGAAAAGCGTCACTTATATACTGCTCTCCAGGCCAAACCATCACCAGGGATACAAACTTACAGAGACACTTTGTTTCCAGAGCGACAAACACCTCGTGAAGCCCCAGGTAGCAGTGTGAGTCGGGCTTCACGAGGTGTTTGTTGCGCTGGAAACGAAGCGTCTCTGTAAGTTTGTATCCCTGGTGATGGTTTGGCCTGGAGAGCAGTATATAAGTGGTGCTTTTCAGGCACAATCTTCCTCAGCCTATTCAAGCTCAACTGATGAGGGGTGAATTCCCCGAAATACTGTGTATTGAGCAGGGAGTGGTGCTCTCTTTCAGGTTTGCCGAGTGGAAGGTGCGACGTGCTCCTCATGTGCTCCGGATGGCAGTCGTGAGTCAGTCAAGTGTCAAGTTCGGCAAGAAGCGTGTGCTCCTCGTTGGAGCAATCAACTTCATGACTAATACCGCCGAAGTCGCAACTTCTAAGTTCGTATTTCTTACATATCCAGGATATTGGACAGTATTGGGAGAGAATGCATTCTTGGTGTTGTATTTTGCACTATTTTCTTACTAAAATGGAAAATGATGATGTCACTACTCACAAGTCACTAGTGCAGTGCCTATACAAAGGTTGTGAGGAGTATGAACAAAGAATCCAGATCCTCGGCAACACGATACATTTTAATTTTTCTGGTTGAATGATTGTCATGGACGTGGTGGTGGCATCATTGAGCAGACACCAGGGTTCTATCCAAAGGAGGGCAGGGGGCGGGGTCATCAGCGAGGCCGCTATAACAAGAAAACACACCCTTGAAATGCAGGTTCCGTAGGAACGGAAACCAAGATCCTTTCGGGTTTGGGCTAGGCGTGACTGACGCTAGCCACCGATGAGTCCCTATCGGATTTTCTGCGTGGATTGCCCCTCTAACCAATCGACAGAGAAACTAACGTTCCAGCACAGGCAATCATACCTTGACTGACACAGAGGACATTGAACAGATTCTGCCAAAGATAAAGATGCACATGCCTTGGTCGATTGATACGCAGACGGCATTTGACGACTCAGCTGAACACACACACGAGGGAAGCACAAAAAAACAAACAAACAAAAACATCGAGTCATCGCCACACAATTCAACAGTAGCTTAGTACATAAATTCACACCATAGACTTCAGATGCCGCCCATCGCTGGAGGCAGCAATAGGGCTTGAAAGTGCTACGTCACTCCATAGCAATGGCATAGCAACAATTTGAAAAATTCGAAAACTGGATCCACCTGGATCCAGTTTTTGTATGGATCCAAGCACATTTCAAGCGGTCTCACTCACAGCAAGGTGATGTTGCCAGTGCAACTGACTGATTTGGCTAGTGGGGGCGGGGTGACAACTGGTGGCGAAGTAAAAGTTGCACCTGCATACGACATGAGTGGGTTGCTATGCACCCACATACTGAGGCAATAGCAAAGTCACACCTTAGTGGATCCAAAATAGAAATCTGATGTCAATTTACTACTCCCAGGCCGTTTTTGACGTCATCACTTTCAAGCCCTATAGCCATGTCACAGCAGAAGCCATAGAACTTGTGCTGGGACAGACGCAAACAGAAACACACGTGTACTTGCTTGCACACACACACACACACACACACACACACACACACACACACACACACACACACACACACCTGCCCATCGCGGAAGCGATGATAGCCAACAGCTATGTTAGACATAGCAACCTGTGCTGGGATTACACCATTCAACAGCTTGCAAGGCTGATGAATTGACCGCCACTACTTTTACCACACAGCTGATTGAAGTGACTTTTTCTGGCCAGTGAATCCTTACTTTTCCTTTTTCCTTTTTTTCTTTTCTACACACACACACACACACCACACCACATACTCCGGCATACACTGGCTGTTGGTAACCACCCAGGAGAATGAAAGAAAAGTCAGGAAGAGTCCGAGAAAGAGAAGAAAGACGTGTGCGACCATAATCGTCGGGAATTGAACCAGCAACCTCTCGATTGGAAATCGACTGCACATACCACTGCACCATATGGACACACACACACACACACACACACACACACACACACACAGCATGTTCACTTACATCTACAACCTGTACATCATCCTCAGCATCGGCAGTGTCGGTGACACGCTCCACAACCGACCGCGCCAGAGTGAGAAAGGTGCGATGTTGAGCCCGGTCCAGCTCCTGCCCTCGACTGTACTCAAACTGATGGCGCATATCTGCCGCAGAATCAAATGTAGAGTCAGGCAAAGACATTCACAGGCACAATGAGGGACGAAGGCAGAATCAAATGTAGAGTCAGGCAAAGACATTCACAGGCACACTGAGGGACGACCGGTGCTGGTCAAGACTAAACCGTGCCCACAGCCATTGTAAGAAGCTATGGCGAATTCCAATATTCTCTGCCCAGTGTCACAATGCACCTGGCCTCAGGGACCAACGCAGACGATGCACAGAAAAAAGTTTTTCAATGCAGGTTAAATGTGCACAGGTGCAAAACATATCCCCTCTTCTATGCCGGGTGTCACATTTCTTTGGCCCATAAGGCCACACCGTTTTTTCTATGTTTCGCTTCACCTTATACGATGAAATCAATGAGGGAGGGCGAAAAAAAATAAAAAAGCCATCCAAAAAAACAGTGTACGTGCATTGCATTTGTGTACAGTGAACGGACGCAGCACTGTTCATGTACATTGACATGTACAATGTACATGAATACATGAGTGTATCCCCTCTGCCATGCTTGTGGTCCAAACCAGGGAGTAGTACAATACCGGGAGGTGACACGGGCACACATCCGGGATTACGAGCTTTGCCTCACAAAAAAATACAAACCGCGCGAAAATTCAAATTTTTGCTCTTTTGACAGCGCTGAGAAACCTTCGAATAGTGACGAGAAGACCAGACGTATCCCTTCGTGACAAGCTGCTACTTGTTCTTTTCAGCTCGAGCCTTTTTTGGGAGCTACTCTGGTACATCGTCCACACTGCTGCCAAGTCTCGACTTCCCAAAATGGATGGAAGTGACGAATATGGAGGACGCTATCCTAGGTAAGTAACGTGATGGAATTTTCTCATCTTGACATGGTGTAACACGAACCTGAATTTCTCATTTGGACCCACTCGGACACCTCACCAAGTTGGGATATTTCGAAACTATACCTATTTGTCTACCATTCTACTTCATCTCAACGTGTTAGCTAATGTAACTCTTTGGAAAACTCATTCCAAAAATTTTGAAACTTATTTATTTGTATAGACTTGAACATAATGTTCAAGATCACTTGTTTTCAGCACTGAATGAGGCCAGGCCTGCTTGCTTTGTTGCTTTTTAACCCCCAGAACCCGTGGACAGAAGAGGAAGAGCGACGACTTGGGTGCGGCAGCGAAGTCTGCCTGCCCAACGCCAATTGCTCCTCACCCAAAAAGTAAACAAATTATATAGCAGGAGTGGTTTCAAGTGGTTTCAATGCATTGTGTTTTTGGGATGTTGGTGTGTACTTATGCAGTCCTAGCGTGTTGAGCAATACCAATCGTGAGAAGGGTATAATTCTGCAATACAACATTGTTGATTATAAATATGACACTGAAGCAATACTGAAACTACGTTTTGGGGTTGTATTTGTTTTCATGCGTGTTCTACAGCGCACCCCATTGACGAAGATCATCCTTGTATAGACGATGATAAATACTCTCATCTGACAAGGTTAGTTGCACAGTTCTACCATATTTGTAAGGTGGACGTCGGATATAACATGGCTTATCTCTTTTTGGTATGCCATCTACTGCACAGAACACGTCATCAGAAGCCACTGCCTGCTGCGAATAACAGCGCATCGTGTATGAGAATCTCTTCACCAACAAGTATACACAAATATACACCCACACACCTACACACACCCTCGTGTACTTGTACACCACACACGCGCGCGCACGTGCGCATACATACAACTATTCATCTTTATCCTTTTGTGTTTGACATGATTCCACGGTGCCATGAAAGTAACATTGGTGCCATAAAAGTAACATCTTTACTTATAAAGAAGAGGCACCTGTGACGTGTGTGTGTGTGTGTGTGTTACGCTCAGGCCATCCTGCGGAGCAGCGCTGCCCTGAGCACGCGAAGCGTGCAAACAGTGTAGCTAGCGGCCGCAGAAGCACTGAGCACGCGAAGCGTGCGAATCGTGTAGCTAGCGGAAGCAGCCACAGAAGCACTGAGCACGCGAAGCGTGCGAATCGTGTAGCCACCACCACGTGCTGAGCACGCGAAGCGTGCGAACAGTGTAGGTAGCAGACACGATCAGTACGAGTAGCAGTAGCAGCCGCGCGCAGAAGCACTGAGCACGCGAAGCGTGCGAATCATGTAGCCACCTAGCCTAGGCCATAGGTAGCACTAGCAGCCGCACAAGTGCTGCAGACCACGTGAACCGTTCTCTGCAAATAGAAACATCTGCAACAAAAGGATACAAAAGATCTGCACTGACTGCACTCTGCATCTGATCTGCAGTGAAGAGCGCATCGCACTTTTGTTCGTAAGTTTATGAATTTTTTGAGCCGCTTCATCCGCCACCAGGTGATGGACAACCCTGACCAGCCTCCCGAAGGCGTAACAGACGTCCCTCCTTCTCCTTCCAACGATGAAGAACCTCCCTCACCAGGACTTCAGCGGTCTGGCCACCACCACGTGCTGAGCACGTGTGCTGTTCATGTACTTGCTTCACCCGCATGCCACATTCGGCCAGGCAACGCTGGCCGGGGGTGCTGCTAGTTGGTTATAATCAAGGAGTAATGGTATTGTACGATTCTGATTGCGTATGCTCTTGGTGGCCAAATATAGCAGGGAGTAGTACAATACCGGTATTGTACTACTCCCTGATATCTAGTTCATCGTCACGCAGCTCCCCACAAAGTACAAATTGTAGTAAAAGCAATTACGTACTAATACGTATAGTAATATGCAGACACATACAACTAGTAGTCACACAAAGTATCTATAATAAGCACACGTACTAGGAATAGTACGTAAGCAGGCTATCTTTATCCTTTTGCACTTGGTCTGATTACCTGCATACATGACTTACACGGCATGGTCACTTGCACCAGTAACATTGTACATAATTCCACACTGCCTTTATCATCAACACCAGTTCCTGTTAACGCGTAACATCTCAGGCTTTGTAGCAGGGAGTAGCACAGTGCCATTGTACCATTGTGCTACTCCCTGCTTGACACAGACTTGCGTCATAGTGACATTTGCGAATAGCTGCCCCTGCAGTATAAAATTTATTAATTTTTATTTTGTGTTTCTCTCTGACGACTATAGCATCTGGATTCGGAATAGCCTTACTATCTTGAGACGGGTCAGCCATACCTGAAACATGTTGTTCATTGTGACTAAAACTTGACTCAACATTATCTATTCCCCTAGAAACGACGTGAATAACTAAATGTAATACAAATTAAATTAGGAAGAAAATTTCACTCTTACAAGCCGCCCACGTAAATACTGGACACACTGAAGGTACCCGTGCGAAGGCCAGCTGCTACTTGATATCCTTCGTAGGATTCATCCTCATCACTCAGCAAAGACTGATGGATTCGTTCCCTACATCGTCAAAACAAACTTCAAAAAGTACTGCTCGAAAACTTCTTGAGAGCATTCTGCCACTCTCTTCAAGTCGTTCTATGAATTTTTTGAAAAATGCTACGAAATGCTACGATAAATGGTACGCGTAGTACGACAGTTCGTGACGTTTCCCGGGACACAGCGCTCCACAGAAAAGTGACCTGAGGCAAAGCTCGCCCGCCTGAATGTGTGGCCGTGTCACCTCCCGGTATTGTACTACTCCCTGGTCCAAACACAGGCGGCATGATGATTGTGTGACTTGCGGCCCACACACACATGTAATGATGTACATGTGTGTGAGCTGAGTACAATCATGCGATACTAGTAAATAGAACAAATATTTAATTGATGCCAACATAATAGTTATGTGTAACAATCATGTTCCATTTTTTTCCTTTTGGGTTACATTTTCCGGTTTTCCGGGTTTGCATTAAATTTGTATTGCATTTTCAAAAAAAGAAGAAGAATTTGTTCCGTTTTTTTAATTTTTTTAAACTCCGGCTGTAAAATACATGCGCGCGGGGGACGCGAAACACAGATAAAAAACGGTGTGGCCTAATACATGTACAGTCAACTTCGCTAATAATGACTGCGGATATAACGACAATTAGCGAATAACGACAGAATTTCCATGCCCAGAGCAAAGCCCCTTCCAACTGTAATACATATACAGGTCGTCCCATAACCTCTGGGACTTGACAAATGTTATGTATTAACGGGGTTTATGTACTAAACGAAAGTGTACATGACTTGCTTGTGTACCAGAATTTTTCACTTTTTCTACTTGTCTGAGTGTTTCTTGCTACCATGACTAGGGAGCGAGACATTCTTGATTCCCTCGATATAACAAAAAATTTATGTTATCACGGTCACAGTCAGCGAAGATTCTACAGTTTACATGATACATGCCCAGCCATGCCTGTACAGTCACTCGAAAAAAACAGAGCTTTGTCTGTTTGTGATGTGCGCTCTGATTTCTGAGTTAATTGCGTCCACAACTAGAAACTAGAACACGATGCGCCTCCATTGGAAGGCCAAAGGACCAACAAAGTTATGTACTATTGAGGTAGGTGGCATGCAGGTACGGAGAAATGTTATGTACTAACGGGGTTTATGTACTAACGAATTATGTACTAACCGACAAACTTTGTATGGAAGTGATCACGTTTCGTCCGGGACTTGAGATTTCTTATGTACTAACGGGGTTTATGTACTAACCGGACTCGTATTAACTGGGGACGAGCTGTACAGGTAAAACCTGCTCCAAAGACCACCTGGACTCAGCGACCACCTGCTGTGGACGACCGTATTTGTCTGGCACCGTCCGTTTCACGTACATTCTGACTCGCATTCAGCGATCACTCGCTCGACGCGACCAGCGATCGGCTTACAACTGGTACCGATCGCCAGTTCAACGATCTCTTCACGACTTCAGTACTCGATCTGAAAATCGTTTTACATGTACCTGTACACTTCAAGTAGTACAGTGCTGTGTAGTGATGTACATGTATCAGTACTTCAGTATATCACTCCCCCTTTAAGTTATGCACTTCACCAATGCACAGCATGCAGTGCGAGGATTCATTTGATACCAATATCACCATCTAGGGAGATCACCTGCTTTGAAAGACCACCTGTTTATAAGACCACTTTGGGCTGGAACCATGCGTGGTCGCTGAAACCAGGTTTCACCTGTAATGAGACTTCGGGTATAACGACACTTCGCGAATAAGGACCCTTTGTTGATGCCCCGCCGAATGTCGTTATAAGCGAAGTTGACTGTAGTATGTAAAAAACAAGTTGTGGCGTCCAAGGACACTGATCTAGAAAAGACTGGCGGTCTCTTCTTGAAACACCGGCTGCACTATGATAGAATCCCACATGCGGAAAGCAACACAAGCCATGCTACATGTATATGTGTGAAGGGCTTTCGGAGAGCAAACCGTTCGAATGCGGGCAGGTTCTCATACTGGTTATCGAAATCGAAAATAGAGTATAATGTGATTACATCATCACCTGGGGTGTTCTTATCTGTGTGGAGTAGCATCACAAGCAACTGGTTTGCCACTCAGTACAAAGCAGGCACAGTGAAACCATTCTCATACCCTCTATAACGTTAGATGCATTTCATCCAGCAAAGAGTGTACGAATGACATCAAAACGACAGCCTGCAGACTCTGCACCCACACCCACGGACACGCACACCCACACACTTCCACATGCCCATCGCTGGAGCGATGACAGCAAACAAACTTGTGCTGGGATTACACGATTCAACAGCTTGCAAGGCAGCTTGCAATGCTGATGAATTGACCGCCACTAATTTGCACCCCCCCCCCCCCCCCCCTCCCCCCACACACACACACATACACGCACACACAGTCTATATGCAGGTTGGCTGTACCTCGAAACGTGACGGTCTCCAAGTCAATCGTGTCGAAGTCGATTCCGTCAAGAAACTTGTGGATTTCTGCTTCGAGTTGGTCACTTTCGATTGCTGGCACTGACTGCAAGGGCAACACGAGAAGGAAACAAAGTTGACAGGAAGTACTGTAAAGTGATAAACGTTCGAGGCACGCAAATTTTGCATTTCATGCATTGGGCTGGTTCACGATGAGAAACTTTCGCGATTTTATCTCTTCAGTTAGATCTTGCACTGCCTACAATCAATGTAAGTTACAGAGCAGTTTGCGGCGATTTATATTCGCGAATGTTTGATGGTCGCGAAAACAGCGAAATTTAATCTCTAGCGAAAGCTTCTCACTTTACAGGAAGCAGTTGGAGTGGGTAAACATTTTGAAGCAATTTAAAAAGCACACCAGCTGCATCAAATGAACCATGCCTAGGATTTCACACGTCTACCATCGAGCATCGCTGGCAAAACTCTGGAGCCAGTTTGCAGCCAGTGTCAGAAACCCGATATACATGCAGTACATTCAGCCGAGAACTCTTGGCGATCTACCTCTCCATTCGTCACTTTCACCACTGCCTCCAGGGTCAAGAGTTCATCGTGTGTACAGATCACAAGCCACGACGTTCGCTCTCCGCACTGCATCCGATCGCCTGACCCTATGCGAACAACGTCAAGTGGCAAATGTTGCAGAGTTCATTAATCATCTACAAGCAACGTGTCGAGGTCAAACCCGTAGTAAGAAGTAGCGTAATCATTGCTGCTCACTGGCGTAGTGTCTGTTGTAACCAGCAAAAGGTTTGATTCGCGGCGCAAGCCTAAAGTTGCTAAATATCTGCCCCTTTGTCAATGCTAAACCCGCCGGAAAATTTGTACAGATATTACTTCAAGTGAATTTTGTAGTGATGTAACGAATAATCGACTATTCGAATTCCTCAATCTCTTGGACCTCAATGAATAATCGATTGGATAAAATCTAGGTCGAAGGTTCGAAAATTCGAATATTCGCAGACGGGCGAAGTCCGTCCGCTGCATACCGCGCACGCGACTCTACAATCTCTTGACTTGAATGCATAAACTTTGTACTGTGTTGCAAACAACGACTAGACTACACGCGGTTGACTCTACTCTGACCCGAGTCTGAGCGCTTGTGTTGTGTGTTTACTACATGTACACTTTTTGTGGAATAGTAGAATGATTGTTCGTTCGCTTGAGTGGTATTCGCTAGATTATTCGTTCATAAAATTCATGGTTCGTTACATCTCTAGAATTTTGTGATACTGAGTGAAATCAGGCCTCCTGCATCCTGCTAGCTAGTGCCATGATGCAATGCACATCCCAATGTTGGCAGAGCCAGGGCTGGACAGTGTGCAATGCTAGTTACACCATGCGGCTGGATTTCATTGAGTGTGACTATACTCGTACAGCAATGGAAGGGTCGTGCAGTGTGCAATGCTAGTTAAGCCACGCGGCTGGATTTCATTGAGCGTGACTACACCAGCACCGCCATTACATCACTTACATGATCGGATATGCTGTACGCGGGCATCGTGAGTGCCGCGTTGGCCATGTCGTCGTCATCGATGATCATGATGTCCGTGTTCGGCAGAGGTCGACTGCTATCGTGTGCCTGCATCCATCCACACGTGTTGCCTTGGTTACCACTACCATTGCTTGCGCCCGTACCCGTCCCACTGCCATCTGCTGATGCCTTCATGCGATTCAGCAATGTGCTGCAGTTGAGGTTCAAATTGGAGACGGGGGGGGGGGGGGGGGGAGAGGGAGGGAGGAGAAAGAATGCCTGTGATTTAGTGACACTGCTGTTATCATGTTGTGTTGCAAAGCCATTCTGATAACAGTCATGATACTCAGGGTTTTCCACAGTTCTCAGTCGGGAATTTTTAATCCGAATACAGTAACAATAAACAATTCAACTATTCCCCATCTACTCCTATACAAAGTTTATCTCTGTGACAACACAGATCTACCCTATTCTGGGCACACAGCGTTGTGATGTCAGCGAGTTTAGTGAAAGTCTCCAGAATGCCTGCCCTGATCAACCTGGGAGTTTTCACCACTGGAATCAGTGCAGGAACAAAAGATTAAAACATTATGTGAAGCATTTCGAAACTAGAGGATCAGCTCAGGACATACCCTATCTTCATTTGCTTGTTGGGCTTGAAGCGCGTCTTTAGAGTGACGACCGGCTTTGGCATTGGTCGTCGTTCTATCTTCTTGAATGTCACACGCCCGTCATCGTCGACTCGCTGCTCGATCCGAACCCCCTTATCGTCCACCTCTTCATCGGCTCCACCTAAGACAGCAAAGGTAGTACAGAGACCATGTGACCTTCAAACTCAATCACTCAGCCAAGATACTTGCAAACACATGTACCGCACTATGCAAAAGAAGCAAAGATCACGGCTGTTTAAGCTCGTGAAAAAGTGACATGAGGTCCCGGGCTGGAGTACAGCTACGCAAGTTGTACGGTGCTTTTCAATTTTTTCTTTGAGAACCTCAATTTCGCTTCTGCTGCCACTCCATGTGCATGTGGAGGTTATACGGTTACAGCATCACTGTACTTCTTGCGAAGTGCAGTGATGCTCAATGAAATCCAGACGCGTCACTCAAGTTAGCCCCGTGTTTGCAGGTCTAGGGCTGGGCAACGCCCGGCTCGTGCTTGAGTGACGTGACTGGATTTCATTGAGCAGCACTGTAGATGCTTTGTGTGAAGTGGCAAAGCTATGTGACACAACAAACACCGAACTGCCACTCACTATAAAGTATAAACTAACACTGGTTTGCCACCTCATACAAAGCAGATGCAATGATGTCATTCTTTATATATCTACCGTATGTCAGCGCCATTAAAGCCTCGACCTTATATTCGAAACACCGCAGCTTTCCTAGCTATTTTAGTTGCAAAACGACTCACCCACTACGCCATGCCATAAAAGTCAAAGTCCACACAGAAATTTCAATCTAAATCCACCTGTGTATCCTTCCTCCTGGGCTGTAAGTTTGTTAGCATAGTACTTACTCCTTCATTTTTACTTCAAAACATACGTCAAATGCCAATTCATTAATGAAGCCCATGGCTTTATAACTGAGACTGGCTTTATAATGGAATATAACTCCACGGTTTTAAAGGTGCGGACATACGGTATAAAACTAATCCAGTGATGACATACTAGTAATCACATAACCTCTGAAGAACAGTGGCCCACTTCCAACAAAGAAGAATGTGCATGCACTGATCTTTAAGTATTCAAACACTACATGCACTTCAGAGTACATGTAGTGCAGTAACTCGGTAGCACTGGTAGCTTTACCTAAGCCCAGAACAGTAGGTGCAACATCACTGGGCAGTTTCGGTTTGTCCTTGGTGTACGAACTCATGAAGTTCACACCCGACTGGCTGCGGGGCGTCCTCTCCTTGTTGCGTGCGTCCAGGAAACTCCGCCGTGGTGTCATACCATCTGTAGGTAACAAGAGTGCAGACAAAACTATAACGTACCATAATTGTGAACACACACATGGCGGGGGGGGGGGGGGGGGGGGGGGGGGAAGTATGCAACCAGTTAAATTGCGCACACCAGAAAAATACCCCCCCCCCCCCCCCTCCACACATACATATGTGCACCACCTCCCTCCACACATACATGTACATTTGTGCACCCCTCCACACAACAAAAAATTCAAACAAATGTTAGCATGAAAGTTTGAGCGCGGGGTAATTAATTTTTACAGATGATAATTCAAATCAAGGGGCGGTGTAGTTTTCCCCCAGCAGCTAAATCCTGCCAAAGAGCGACAGTAAAGGAGCTAAACAAGACACATAGAAGTTGAACACACAATGGATAAGAAGCATGAACTGACCAGATTCGTCAGCAGGAACCGACGGCGTTCGTGAGCTATCCAATTGCTGTAGCTGAGCATCGATACGATCCAGTACTGACGATTGGCGCGGCTTGGGTGCAGCAGAGGCGGGCGTGCGGCGAGGGGTGGTGGGTGCGGGTTCTGCCAAACCAACACAAGAGAGACTGTGCATGATTGGGCATCACATGTCATCTACACATCTTACAGATGCTCCAGTAACTGGGTACTAGCGCTGGCAGCGAGGCAGGCAATGTGACCTGAGAGAGCAGCTGAGTGCGACACTCACTATGTAGAACACAATGAAACAAAATTAATGCTTACCAAACAGTATCGTTCCTACGGTCACAGATTGACTACGGGCACCTCCACTTTGGAAGATTCACTTTGATTTGGCTGTTATGTGTGCGTTTGCATACTTTGTACACTGTTTGGTTTGTGCCGTGGTCTGCATCAAGTACGTTGTTCATCACTCATGTTCACCTTGTATAGAGCGGGAAAGAGGAGCTACTTGTCAAACAAACATTGACCAGTATGTAAATACCCAAACCAAGGAGCAGTGGTTGTGCTAAGAAAGTCCACCAAGCCCACAGACATTGCTTGGCAGGGGTACACGCAGAATCGGCCATAACATAACATAGAGAGAGAGAGAGAGAGAGAGAGAGAGAGAGAGAGAGAGAGAGAGAGAGAGAGAGAGAAAGGAATTTACATTTATAAAGACAGGCAAGTCTAACAAATGAGGACTGAGACCTCTACAGCCAGATGCATGATTAAACAAGCAGGTTGTCAGTCTAGATTTTATGCAGATGGAGAAAAATTTATAAAAAAGAAAAAGACCAAGGAACTACGAGCTACGCTATAATGTCCACTAACACCACCAGCTACTAAACAATCAGCTCATGCGATAACATCGCACGACACTGACCAACGGTACTGACAGATGCATGTTATCGCATGAGCTGATTGTTTAGTAACTGGTGGTGTTAGTGGACATTATAGCGTAGCTTGTAGTTCCTTGGTCCTTTCCTCTTCTATAAATTTATCCTTGGCTCTCCATCTGAGTCCATGGAGAAAAATGCGCAAAATTTTTGCAATGAAGAGAGAGAGAGAGAGAGAGAGAGAGAGAGAGAGAGAGAGAGAGAGAGAGAGAGAGAGAGAGAGAGAGAGAGAGAGATAGTGAGAGACTCCCATGATACGCATCCTTTCGCCTTAGGAAAATTAAATAACTACCGCAATTTAAGTAGACAAGCACACAAATCCCTGGCTATAAATACAAATGAGCTCCACAGATGCAGACCAGTCCACCAGCAAAACATCACTTACCAAACTCAATGAAGTCATCCTTGCCTGAGTCAGATGGACCTGAGAGAGAGAGAGAGAGAGAGAGGGGGGGGGGGGGGGGGGAAGAGATGGAAATAAAGAGTAAAAAAGACGAAGCAAAACACTGTCGCCGATTGAGGGTGGGTGACATATTCGAGATAAAAGGAAATGGACTCTAGATCGCCATACAGAAGCTACTCGTTTCTTCACCCATCAATAGAGATGCACTACACGACACTGAGGAACTTCTTATACTAATGCGGTGCACAAGCACGCGTCATTTCTGGCAGTTAAGAGCCTTTTGACTTGATGCACTGAGCCGATTGAGAGACCTCATTGTAATCGATTCGAGAGATGGTACTCTGAACCGTGCTGATAATACCTAACTACATCCTTTTTAAGTTAAAAAAAAACCTGTTAATAATTATAATGAAGATGGAGCAATTGAATGCTAGGTACGTGACTGTACAACCAAAAGTGCATGATATTCGAAAGCGTGCAAGCCGGTAGTACGGTATTCACTATTCAGTTCAAGCCAGAAAGAAGAAGATAACAAGCCGTGATGGCACAGAGCACAGTGCACACTGCTCACCTCGCAAAGAGCCGATTCTAGGGGATACTGCAGACGAACAGCTTGGAGTTGCCAGCTTCCTAGGGGGACTAGATGATGGGTCGGGCATGCCAGGTGAATGCTTTCGTTTCTGTGCGCCTACATCGATACTATCACCAAGAGTCTTGGCTGTTGACGCTGAAGACAATGCCTGGCCCTTCAGCATCATCTCAGCTTTAACGAGGTCCGATCGGAGAGTGACACCGTCACTATCGCAGAACGGTTTCTTGCACTCGATGGCGGACATTTCACTCGTGTCCATGCGCCTAACACGGCTCATGAGAAGGCGCTGTGGTGCCTTGGCATACGTACTTCCTGCCGAAGTTGCCAGCTGCAAAGCTGCCGACCCGGGTAGTGAGGGTTTGAGCACGGGGGCATTTCTTGATCGCAAGTGACCTGGAGCGGCGTCAGGGTCATCCTTTTTTATAGAAACCGTCGATGAGCGGGTGCTTGATGCCGCCGTCACGGGCGATCTACTGCTACCAACCTCATGGCTGCGACTGGTGACTTCGGATCCCCGATTGGTGATGCGTGTCTCTTCTGTGCTCTCCTGCTCGACTCCTTGGAATTTAAGAAATGAAAGCCCGAACGGGTCGCGGGTCTTGTACGGCTGGCGCAGGATGATCCGCACCAAATCCCAGTATTGATCTCTGGATGATGGTGATAGCGAGTCGCCTACAAACGTCACAATTGAAGGAAAAAACAGGTCTCATGATAAAGCAGCCAAGGTACGCGGCACAAAGGTTGTAGACAACAAGTTCACCAGAATAGTTTGCTTAAAATCGAAACGCAGCCAAGCGAAGAGAAAGAATGACATAGGAAAGAGGGAGAGAGGGAGGGAGGGAGAGGGAGAGAGAGAGAGAGAAGCGAGATGCTCACACACTGTCACCGAACTCACAGCGAAAGAGCCTGACGGATGCTTTGTGCCGGCCCGCCCTGGCATCTATCGGTGTTTGCAGCATTGTCTCTGGTAGCAGTCCTACAAACTCCTTCTCATTGGCACTGCCGGAGCGACCAACAAGCATACTAATAAATGCAGAGCCATTGTTACCTGGAGTTGGATGGAACAATCAAGAGAGGAAATATGAATAAAATGCTCGCAGCTCATTTATAAAACTGAGGAAGACTACATATGTGACAGAAACTGCGCAAAGAAAAGTAGCCAGAAACGACGTGGTCAAAGGCACAACACCATACACACAGAAGGGATGGCAAAAAGGCGCAAGTGTGAAGAGACCACACAGGCATGCGGTGTTTTGCGACAACAATAGCCTCTGGACAAAAATAATAAGTTGCTGACGACCTATCAAACAGTTTCTGTTTGGTAGGTTGTCAGCAGCTCATTATCTTGTCCATTGGTTGTTTATTATTGTGGCAATACATCGCAAGTCTGTGTGGTCACTTCACACTTGCACCTTTCGCCATCCCTTCTGCGTGTATGGTGTTATGCCTTTGAGCGTGTTATTTCTGGCCACCTTTCTTTGTGCTGTTTCTATCACATCTCTACTGTAAATAATTCATTGTGCTTGTCCAAAGACCACAGAGGTAGTGATAAAGAAATTGATGTCACAGGCAATGTGTGTTTGTGTGTGTGTGTGTGTGTGTACACATGTGTGTGAAGTCGCTATGTCTAACATAGCTTTTCGCTATCATCGCTTCCGCGATGGGCATGTCTGAGTCTGAGTGTGTGTGTGGTGTGTGGTGTGTGTGTGTGTGTGTGTGTGTGTGTGTGTGTGTGTGTGTGTGTGGTGTGTGTGTGGTGTGTGTGTGTGTGTGTGTGTGTCTGAGTGTGTGTGTGTGTGTGTGTATGTGTGTGTGTGTGTGTGTGCATGCACGCACGTGCAGACAGGGCAGAGTGGAGGAAGTTGTCTCGCCATCCTCGTCTTCCTCCGCCAGAGCAGGCGGGTGACTTGAAGAGTCACTCCCCATATTGCTCAGCTCGCATGCTATCATCGCACTAGTGATGGGCGTCCAAGGTCCAAGGTGTGTGTATGTGAGTGTGTGAGAGAGAAAGAGAGAATGTGTGTGAGTGTGTACGTGTGTGTGTGTATATGTATGTGTGTATGGTGCTCTTGTCTTGAAACGTGCAGTTTTTGAAAGTTGGGAATGCTTTCGGCGTGCAGCCGCCCAGGCCAACAGTGCCTGAGGTGGGGTCTTTATCGACAGGAGACTTGGTCGGATAGTTACGATGCCGACACTCTCCTCGCCGCCCCCACCTCGGAGCCCTTCGCGAGGCCTTGCAAGCCCGCGAGTGGAGCAAACTACCGCACGAAGACGACGACTTGGAACGACTGAGCATTGGCTCATGGAATGTTCGCTCTGTTGTGGAGAGTGATGGACCAGTTCAAGCGGCAGCCGTGAGAGGAATCGTTTCCGATGATAAGCCAGATCCATAGCTGCCAGAGATGGCACTCTCAAACATGGTCCCTGAGTCCCCGACCTCTCTCTCAGCGGACTGCCGTTGCTCGTCGTTCCATATTGTCAGCCTCGCAAGGGGACACGTGACCGTAATGGCAGAGTATACCAGGACCAGGTGATGTGTGTGTGTGTGTGTGTGTGTGCATGTGCATGTGCAGGTGTGTGTGTGTGTGTGTGTGTGTGTGTGTGTGTGTGTGTGTGTGTGTGTGTGCGTGTGCATGTGTGTGTGTCTGTGTGTGTGAGAGAAAGTACCAACCTAAGTCAATGTTGGTGATTTGAGAAGGACTAGCAAGCTGCAGATCGACCTCGATGCGGTCAGCTTGATTCGATTGGTGGCAAACAAACTTGCGATATCGCTCAGTCAGGAGAAGGTTCTTGGAAGAAAACACTGGGTCCTACAAACAAGAAAACGGAGAATGAAGGAATATGGCAATGGACATGGTATTATGTTCTCGGCTAGTGATGCATTTTGTGATTATAATACATCACCGGGCATAACAAGGAAGGTGAATGGGATGCCAGAGCCAGGGCCATTGTACTGAATTTAAAACTCAGCTTGTAACGCAGAAATCTGGAAGGTGTGTAGCCCCAGAAGACTGGCCGCGACACAGTACGGGAGTGCGAGACGTGAGAATGCAAACATCTTCAGGCTACGACAGATGTTACATGTATGTACTACTTGGCTTCTGCCTCGCTGTGGACATAAAGCGCACTGCAGCTGCATGTATTTGGCTGCATCCTTCGCCAATCAGATATTCTGTGTAAGCACATATTTTGCATCAGAATTATATACTGTGCATGGTTTCGAAAACTAGCAACAAGACAAGACAGGATAGTACAAGTAAATCGCGGCCTCACCTCAGATGAACACCTGAGGACTTTGGAAACTCGTATCACGGGCATCCTGTTGACTTAACTAAATTCCTTGGCTGAACAGGGAAATCCTCAACGAGATGAGGCAAGAAACTAAGACTACAGTGTGCTGTGTCTGTCTGTATTCCACTCTGGGAGAATACGATATTTGTACCAGGTCTTACTTCAAACAGTGAATTCTATCTCTTGACTATTGTTTCTGGATGTGCCGAAAACGTGGATCTTCGCCACCGCTGTGTCTGAGTTGGCCATTCATTCCATAATGATATTTCAGTTCAATCTTGTCTTGACTTGTTCGTTCTCAACCTTCAAGGCTTCATGCAGGTAGGCCGTACCGTGACACACATGTGGACGCTCAAATTTGGCGGGAATATGTTGGCAGGGTAAACACGAAAATGAGTGCTGTTTTTACGACTCCCTGCCACATGAGTACTCGAGTGACCATGGTGACGAGTGGCATCAAGTCAAGACAAGACTCGAGTCCATAAAATTTAACCTGATACTGGACACTGGACAGTAAGGTCTCTTCTCTTGCAGTCTTGGCTTGCAGTCTTGGTGGCATGCTGTCTGTCAGTGTCAGTGAAGACTATCAACCATTGTCAGCTGCCATGAGCAGAGCGACAAACTCAGTACAGCCAGTGCACCCACCGTGTGTGTCCAGGTGGTGTCAGTCAGATCTTTCTTGTTGTCCACAGACAGTGAGCATCAGGGAGTACTGTAACGTTATAACTGTACTGTCTGTAGTACTAAAAAATCTGGTGAGCATGGTGAGTGAGAAGCTTGCTTAGCTGAATAATCTGGTTTGCTCCATCAAAGTTTCAAACTGTGAAAGCAATTATGGATACTGCTACAAGCAATGAGTCACTGTGACTGACTGTGTGCATCACCCCTCATGACCAGTGACCTATGCATGCAGAATGAGACGTGGTATTAAAGGTAAAAATGAACTTGTCAATATTCAATTCCAACACTAAAGTTTGTTGCTCCAGATGCAAAATCAAAAATGCAAACAAAATCTGCTTCTTGACAAAGTCACACGGATTTCACAATGTGCTTCATAGAAGATACACAATGCTATTGAAATTCAGTCTTGAGTTGCTCTGGTGGTTATAATGTAGAGGCAGACTTCGTGCTACAGCCTACTGATTCTTCTTTTTTCCTCAAAGTTTATTTGAGAATGAGATCAGATAGATGAGCACCGCAGTCGTGGGATAGTACTAAGTACTGCATCTCCAATGTGGCGTGATGGGGTCCCTGTGTGCAGCTGCCCGGTGCAAATCACTGCAGTCACGGTGTGCGTGCTCCGTTCAGTTGTTGGGCCCGCTTCAAGTTCCAGTCTGGGCAAGTGCCAATAAGTGACCATGCCAGCTCATACAGGCTCCAGTATGTTGGTCGTGCCAGGTCATTGTTTGCACAGGGAGCAAGGCAAGCAGGGGAGGCCATGTTGTTACTTGACCATCCACTTGACTGAGAACACGCGGCTTGATGTAGCCATGAATGACTCCTTTTCTCACCGCGTTTCTACAGGACTTTGGTCACCGGGATGAGAGCAGCACCGACTTTGCGTCCCTCCGTGGCAATGTAGTTATACGTGGAGCAAGCGTTAGGCTAGTGAGATTGAAAAGAAAGAAGAAAAAGAGAGAAAAAAGATACACACACAGCAGGACAACAGAGATTCAACTGTACGCCTGTGACTTGCAATAACATTACATCAACGAGCAATTGTGACTTTGTGAGCCATATGTACAGTCGTCACCAAAAATCCGGTCAATGCCGACACAGTGGTATGGTATGCGGACATGGCGGTGCCACATGGTAGCATGCATGCTTCTACAACTGTTTACTGTAGATCCACCAGCACTGCACTGACTGCAGCTACATACTACTTCGAAGTATGTACATGATAGGTATGTGATAGGTATGTGCAGTGGCAGTGCATGTGTTAGACTACCATGTACAGGATTGACCGGAAGTTTTTGGCAACGACTGTACATTCCCTAATGGCATGCATGCGTAAAATCACACATACATGCACACATGCACACACGCGCGCGCGCACGCAAGTACACTGCACAGGAATATGCACAGTCACAGGGAAGGTGGCAAGGGACACGACTTGTAGAGCGAGCCTTTTAAGTTTTATTCACGTCACTAGACTCCGCTATATACATATACTTCCTCCGCGTCATCGAAATTGTCGCAGTTTGACTAGTGACTTGTTACTGACAACTCCATAAGCTAAACCATTCAAAACTTATTACACAGTATGATAGTCTGAAGACTAGAGTAACGTTCCAGGACAGTTGGACTGAGAGTTTTCATCCAGAGATGAAGTCCTCGTCGTCGCTGATGTCAATGGACGCAAAAATATCGTTCCGAAACATTTCAAGGAAGGTTGAAAGTTGGTCGCGCCTCATCTCAAACGCTTTGACTTTCTCCACAGGACAAGAGCTGCTATGCTTGTCGTCTGCTAGCTCTGGATGATTTCTACTTCACCACCAACGAAGTCTAGTAAGAATACACGATCGTTGCGAGGTCGGTTGATTACCGTCGGCGGAATCACCTCGATCTTGAAATGAACTTTTTTTAGCCGTGGCATGCCTATTTATTTTAGTTGTGTGGTCACAGCTCATGCAGGTAAGTGTACTATCACGTCCAGCGCGCCCTCTTTTTCAGCATCACTGGTACGGCACCTGCGCGTGCATCACTAGCACTATGTGTAGAGTCTACACGGCTCTTGCAGGTACAATCATGTACTGAGTGTCTCAGCCAGAGCGACAATTTTTATCGCTGTTGCATGCATTTAGTTTGACCCCTCGATGTTTCTCCAAGCGCTGCTACTTGTTCCACGAAGTCATTCTCACCCCAGCTAAGGTAAAACAGTGATGAGGCTTGAGTGAATGGCCATAAGCACGAGAAATGTGCAGGCTGCAACGCCTGACTGATCTCAGCGAGTCGAAATTACCATCGCAGCGACATCAACGAAGAAATCGCGTCTAGTTCAAAAATGTCAGCTTCCAATAACAAAAAATAGAACTTTGCCGTCACCCTATACTGATGACTATCGCCTATGTCCGATTCCTTGCCTCTGGTACGAGTGCTGGTGAGTAAATACCCCGTTTTATATCAAAAGTCAAACTGCGACAATTTCGATGACGTGGAGGAAGTACATGTACTTACCGTGTCCATAGCGTCCACAGCAATTCCCTCGGCAAGCAGTCGTTCCTTGATGCTTGGATCCAAACGGCTGACGCGGTCACCAAGTCCGATGATCAAGACTTCTGGGTATGCATGGACCGAAAGAGGGTAGAGCGTAAAGCACACCTATGAGCGGGCCATTCAGGTGTTGCTATCAGGAATACCAAACACATGCTGCTCTGTTCTCCGCCAATAAGTTCCTTGTCTTTCCACTATCTACTCAATTCACAACACAACGAGTGCTACATAAGGTCTAACAGGCACAGCCTTTTGACTTGAAGGACTGGCGGCAGAGAGCATGTGTGCATCTTTTTAGAGCTCATCCGGCTTGACGAGGAAACCCCCAAAGCAAATCAGAAGCCCTCACGCCGGCATAGTGAATTTTAGTGTCTATGCTTCCTTCGTAAGCCGTACCTATCTTTGGATATAGCAGTGGATAGATGACCAGAGACTCGGGTGTGATGTCCTCCTTTCTCATTACCTGATCATGAAATCACACAAGAATACAGAAGGTGGCCGTGCTAAAACTTCATGATGCAGCCGGTTAATACACTACCTGCATGCATCACAGTAGCCAAACGATTGCTGTTCCAAACAGATGACGGTTGTATGCCTGGCCCTGTGTAGCAAGAAACACACCGATGAAAACAACAACAGCGGGGACCTTTTCTACGCGTACTACCAAGAGTCTATAACCCCCCGGTGGATTATGGATTCTTGGTACTACGGGCAGCCACGGGATCAGGTATATTTGTCCCATATACCGTAAGTTGTCCGAATAACACAGTGCCTTCATCATTTTATTAGGAACATCATTACATGTTTTTTTGTTCCTACATTTTGATAGCATGAGTTGATTTCAGTGCATGGAATATTATTTGGGGGAACTCCTTTGGGGTTGGGGTTTAGAATGACGGAGTATTGTCAACATTGCTTACCTCCGATGTTGCGTTGGGCTCACTGGCAGTCAAATGTGCGTCCCAGAGTTGCACTCCGGTATTTATTAGTCAATGCCGTTAAAAGATCAGGATTAGTATCTAAGTTTTGCTGCCGTTACTAGATTAATATCGTGGTAGGTATCGATTATCGTGGCCCATTAGGTCGCGGGCTGTGTATTCTGGCAGGTGGTCGGAGTATAGAACACAGAGAGAGGACGGTGGTTATTGGTGGTTCTTTGGAGGATAGAGGTCTCATTGGCAGATCTCGGAGAGACTCGTCTGGTTCGGGACCTACCGTCCGATCTCTCCAGGTTGTCCGAGGAGCTAGTTAAACGGCCATCGCCGAAGAAAGGTACTGGGAGGGATAGTGTGGAGTGTGGTGGGAACGACGGGAACTCCTTGCTTTCACCGTGATTTGCGTCGTGCAGGTGCCGATCCCGTACGTTATCGTAGGTCGTGCGTGCGTGCCGTGCGGTGTTGTTCGCATGCGGAGCGCGCAGGTCTGTGTGCTGTCCTTGTCGTTGGAAGGGAGAGAATATTGTTGCCTGGAATGTTAGTGCACGTGTCAGTGAGAGTGTGTGTCTGGTCGTTATCTGAGAATTGAAGGATCCGTCAAGTGTCATACCCATTCACATAATCATGTAAGACACTCCGTCGTCCAGATTCATAGATGGCTGCCGCTCTCTGATTAAGAACGACTCCGTGTATTTACGTAAGACTAGCTGTGGTACAGTATGCGGTGTTGAATGATGGGGTTAGACCAATCGATTGTATGTCCAGCGTGCAACACATGTTTTGCCACACCGTTATCAACTTTCTTGTTGTGTACATCTCTCTGGTGCTCCTCCAGTGTTTTTTCATTCTTCTCCCCCGTTTCGCCAGCGTACTCTGCCCCACAAGTGGAGCAGCAGAGGGAATCAACTATCCAGTGTAACAGTTAGTTCTCTGATAGGTTGGGCTGTGGGGTTCTTCCTAATTAGCAGGTTCTTGAGCCCAGTAGATTGGCGGTGGACCATGCGAAATGGCGCGTTCCTGGTTTTCTGTTTATCACCTCGGACAACCCACGGACGTACGGTAGGGATACTGTTTGGTAGGTGTAGCTTGACGGTGGTCTTGGTCTTCGTTCAGGTTGATGCTGCCCATGGGGGTTTTGCTGTCTGTGCTGTTGTTGTTGTTGTTGTTGTTTTTGAATTCTTTATTCTCACGATGGCACCATCGCCAATAAGAGATAGTTGTTGTTGTTGTTGTGGCTGCTGCTGTTGTTGTTGTTGTTGTTGTTGTTGTTGTTGTTGTTGTTGTTGTTGTTGTTGTCGGTCTTGCTGCTGCTGGTTTTGGCGGTGTCGGCGGTGAACTTGTCTGATTACCCCTCCGATGATTTCCAGGGGGTGCCCATTTGAGCCAAACTCAGTACGCAGTGTCTCTCGCTCCTGGTCTTACCATAGGTTTGTGCTGCAATGGGATTCGATCCTCTGTGCAAGACACGATAGTGTGGCACGTTTGGTGGATTGAGGGTGGTGGGATTGGGAATTTATGTACTTGCCGGTGTGTGTCGGTTTTCTGTAAACATGCGTTGTCAAACTTGAATCAGATCTCTGCACCCAGACGTCCAGGAATGCAATTCCTCTATTGTTTTCTTCTTCCACAGTGAATTGGATGTCTGGTGAGATTGCGTTGGCAGCTGTGAGTACGTGGCCTAGTTCTCCTTTCTTGATGATGGTGAAGGTGTTGTCCACGTACCGCAGCCAGGTCTGGATTTCGTTGTCGCATGTTGTTAGGAGCTGGTCCTCTAACCATTCCATGAAGAGGTCGGCCAGAACCGGGGAAAGTGGCAATCCCATCACTGCTCCCCTTGTCTGCCCGTGAAATGCATTTCCATATTGGAGGCAGGCATTCTTGACGCAAAACTGGTGAATGCTATCAACTGAAAGCAGTTTCTCTCTGTTCCTCAGATCCTGATTGATTAGTTTCTCCTCTAATATCTGCATTATTTTGCCCATCGGTACATTTGTGAAGAGGCTCTTCTAAGTCAAAGCTCGCCATCGAGTGCGCGTTGTCGATTGTTTGGTCCGAGATCTAGTAAGAATGTGATGTGTGACAGTGTGTCCAGACTGTGTATGTGTTCTTTACTGTGAGGTGTTTACTAAGCGAGGTTCCACTGTGGTGCTGATTACCTTCCACTGCATGAAGCAGTTCGGTAGAAGGCACACCGGGCCGAATACTCGCCGCGAGCTGATCGTGAAGCCGACTGGACTGTACGCATGCACCAGCGGGTGGGTTCCATCGTACGACGCTGTCTCGATCACCGTGCGTGAGCTACCCTCCAGGAACGGGTTGCTCGGCGTGGCGATCGTGCGTGTATGCCTGAACAGCAGCACAGGCATGTACACCCACACACACACACACACACACGCGCGCGTGCACACACACACACACGCGTGCACACACACACGCACGCACACACGTACGCATGCAAACACACTATCCCATTGAGCATCAGGCACTTCAATACGTCATGTACACGTACACATTCAAGTGATGACAAACAGGACCAGCGCGGCTTAGCTGAGCAGAGGCTGAACTTACACATACCGCATCATCCTCAATACATGTACAGTACTTTTATTTTTTCAAATGTTGTCAGAACTGTACTTCAATAGGAGACTGTACTACTACTACTAGTATTGGATACGTGTACTTTTTTGTTTCTGGAAAGATTGATTGCCTGGGTTCAGTGGCAAACAACTCATGATAATGATACTGTTACAGTGCAAGGCCGTAAATACATATACACTACGAGTACAATGCACACTAAACAGTGTAGAATCACACAAAGATGTAACACTGGTAAGAAAAACGGAGTCAGATGGACCCTGGTACCTGTACCGCAGTAATGCCTATCACATCATTCCGGCATGTACTATTATTAGAGACGTATCCTTTTATATTTTGATCCACGCTCAACATGTACTACAATTGGAGACGTACTAGTATTGGAGACGTGTACGTTTATTGGGGGAAATACGGTAGTTGGGGATTGTGTTATCTTAGCAGTAGCTAAATTCTACCGGCGTACGCTATATCATCAGCCTATTACTGTATAGAGGTTTGTGAGATACGGACACACTGATCGCCTCCAATCTCAGCTGAAACACCGGCATTTACCCGACCAAACCCCCTACCCGTTGCAGCCCTGGCTGAAACATTAACAATACTTGGTGGCGACCCTGAAGCCATAGCCCAGCACCAGGTTATAGCGTCACCAATGCTTCAACAGGGGCGTAGCAGCCGGTCCGCCCGGACCACTTTTTTTTAACACAATGCCAAAGTGCCCAGAATGCAGGATTTTGCACCCTAATTTCAAAACTTTCCCGGGAGAGGCCCCACGGACCCCCCCCCCCCCCCCCCCAGCCGGACCACCTCCAACGGCGGTGCTATGCGCTTGTTCAAACAATTCGCCATTCCGGTTTCATACCGTTCTCCCAACTGCAACCTCTCTGGCAGTGGCAGATTCTCTGCTCGTGGTCCGTCACCGAGAGATCTGATGTCTGTTGTTGTTGTTGTTGTTGTTTTCATTTTAAATTGCAAATCAGACGGATACTAATATCCCATACACGTTTTTGACTTTTTTCAAAGCGCGACGATTCGGGTTTAGTTCGAACAGCAGAATTTTCTCAACACACAAAATATCAAATCTTCCAACAAACTCGATAAAACCATGGATAGTCGCACAAAACCAAACGGGATGACGAAACGAAACTTCCAAAACACCCACATCACGAAACTACGTGCGGTACAGTCAACTCATGTACCACACGTTAAATTTTACGTGAGTCAGTAGAGGACTTTAAATGCGACCTGGAAAAGTTCGTGATTTTCGCGATGGGAGTGAAATCCCAAAAGCAACCGTAGAACTGTAGCAAAAGAAAAAAAACAGTAATTTAACTTCTGAATCACGAACATTCCAGGAGCAAAGTGGTCTGCGCTCGCAAATCGCGAAGTAAAACCAGCGCAAACGTGTCCCGGTTTGCAATAAGCTAATGGGATATTCCACCGGGGAAGTCAATAGGATGAATCGCATGAGTCCTCCAATGGGGCCTTGTAATGAAAACAACTCATGATTTTTAGCGCATTTACTAAGATGAAAATCAATTTAGGGTGCCAGTTTCGAATGAATGGACTGTTATCCAAGATGCAGTAACACTGAAGTCAAAGTAGAATGCTGGTCCATGTACAGTAACACGATTCCTTTCCACAGCTATCAATTCTTCTATTAAAACAATATTTTGATGATTAGGAAGAACACTATTGCCTAGTGGTGGGAAAATACCTCGGTGTCCTGATAGCGAACGTGCGACTAGTCCATCGTAGTAGAGCACCGGCCATCTTGCAAGCCAGTGACTGAAATCGCTACACTGGATGGATAGAACCAGCAGTATACTAGTAGAGGAGACACTAAAGTAATTAATATTTTTTGTCCCTTCTTGAAATGACTGAAACTTGTAAAAGAAAAAAAATCAAAAAAGGTACAGGCGTTGCACGTGTAAATAATGTAGCTTGGAGCAGAGTCAGGGTCACGACAGAGCTAGAGATGGTGAGATCAAGAATTCTGGTACTCGACTTCACGCCCTGCACAATAGTACTACTAGTAGTAACATTCACCTCACACTACATGTCATAATCATACCAAAACTTCCACCCAAAATAGACCAAATCAGCAAATGCTTGAAATGGGCAAAAGCAAAGCTACCACTGAATAGCGAACGAACGAGCGAACGGTATGATGACATGATTGTAGCAAATGGTTGACGTAGATCTACACGGCAACAGGCGCGCTAGGCGTCCCTATGGCAGACTATGCGCACATGCACAACATCACGTGCATACGTCCTACACCACGAGATGAAAAAAAAGAAAGTATTTCGTACTTTCATTTCAAAAGTCAAGCAGTCAAAATGATCTGCAGTTACTTTTATTGTGTTTCAGTTTGAATTTGTGTCACTCTTTCCTCCCCTAGCTCAGGTGCTCATCCTGGCCAGGAGATCTAGAGGATCAGATTTGTGTCAAAGGTCTTCTATAGTTGCTGAGATAATTGTTTACTGAGTTTTCCTATAGTTAATTTCTTTACAGACTTGCCCTGAGGAGCTTGCAAACCAACTTATTGGCATGGATTGGTCAAGATCTGTGTACGTTGCTGGGTTTGCTGGAGTGGCGGTAGGACTGGGTGGTGCCTTAGTTTACGTCAAGGCATCAGCATGTAAAGCTGGTCCATCTGTCCCGGAGGAGTCCAACTTGATTCGACTTGCAACTGCAGTGGATGGCCTCTCTCGCCAGCTGAGTAACATTCAGGAAAGCCTTGGCAGCATCGAACAGGCTCTGAAAGAGCGTAGCGCTGCAGCCAGAGCTGAAGAGTCGGAGGACAGTGCGGATGGCCCACATTTGTCAATGCCTTTGTCCCATTCCCAGAGGAAGGGTAGTGAATACTCTCTGGCCAGTGCAATGCAGAGTGATGCATTCGATACAGCTGAGGAAGACCACACTATCAGGTAAATACCCGAACAGGCTGCAGTACATACCTGTATATGTGCCACTCTACACGTATTACGTGTGTGTATGGAGTACTAGTGACTTGACTATAAGACCGAGATGGAATGGAATCTGCGGCAGAGCATTTTCAGTTGATGAGAGAAAACACTCTGAAATCACTTTGATAATCGTGGCTTAGAGGCGATTTACACGACGCGAAAGTCATCCTGTGCGTGATGCCGCCATAGCGATCCCGTCCTGTGAGATCAAGTTCTGGCGAGAGTGTACGCCACGAGCTATACTGGAACTGTCCTGTGACTGTGACATGTCGGGTAGGCGGTGGAGGAATGGCACACCGTTACCGAGAGGTACCGAAGAAGAATACTGTGCACTGGCTTTTCCATGATGGAGCGTGGGAGACTTGTCAGTAATAGACACACAACTGGTCATGAAAGCGGAAAAAGGAAAAGAAGAAAAAAGAAGAAAGATATTCGGAAATGTTTTCGTTCCGACGAGATGTGCTGTCATTCTGGGCTCACTGTACGAATAATTTTTTCCTGTCCACTGGCATGCTCTTGGCATCACGTGCCTCGCTTCCCACCGGCAGCCAGTCCCATTGTGTAAAGCAGCCTTTACGCCACAAAGGGTCATAGTCATCTTCAAACATTCCTGGGGTATTGTCATGCTCGGGGCGTTTATGAGTTTTGCCTTCGTGGACCGCATCCAATGTTTGCCACGGGAGCTGCGCTCTCTTGGTGTTTCTGTACTGACGGTAGTACTGGTTTGAGTACAGTGCGGACTACCGGTAGTATGGTGCTCGTGTTGGTAGTGATCAGTGAATTACTGGTACCAGTATGCACCCCATTACATGGCCTGAGCAGGACTGGTGGCCATTACCAGGGTTCTCGCCAAAGCAACATAGCAGGGCGCTGCGCTGTGAATACATACATGGAATGCAAGTACAATAGTTGGTTGATTGCTTACTGGTGTCGGTGAAAGTAGCGGCCAAAATGGCAGCACACAATGGCAGTAAAGTCACAAAATTTTAGATCCGATGATCCCCCCCCCCCCCCCTCTTCTCTTTTGTTCTGGCTATAACACTGATGAGAAGACCATGATTGAGATACGAGAGGTACCTGGTTCAAGTCCTGCCTGGGAGCGGTTTTTCCAGCCATGCTGCTACCGACAGTCAACTGGGAACTTGTGGCCAAGCACAAGGGGTACGTGGATGCAGCAATGGGGTTTCCCGGCACTTAAGCCAGTGGTTGTGAGACTTATCCACTCACCCCCACCGTTAGGCGCTGCATCTGGCGCTAGGGTTTACCGGGTGTTAGCGGCCGTCGTGAGTTCCTTTCGGGAACGGACACGATAATTTACTTCCTTATAACCCTGTTTACTAGTATCCTAAACAGAGTATTGTAATAAGTGAAATCTGTGTCACGTGATCCAACCCGACATGGTTTGCTCACACTTGTCACTTACAAGACAGCCGTGTCCAAGTACAGGTGTGCTCGGTGAAATCCGACTCAAAGTGCATGCGTGGCACCCTCAACTTGCACGGCCCTTTGATACCCTGGAAGTGGTACGAATGCGGCTGGACGTACATGTACACAATCATGTACAAGTACAGTAATGTAATCGGAACTGGTCCAGGGCGCCAGTTTTCCACTTTAGGTCGGATTTCAGTGAGCGGAACTGTACTAATACCAAGAGTACATAACCCCAAGAGTGTGCAACTGCCTGCACAACCTCTATGCTGTGCTGCGACGGCAGAACTTCACATCACGTGACATGGTTCAAAAGGTTATGCTGGCTAGTCATAGCCCAAATTTGCTAGCAATTCTTTGAGCAAAATATCGGATGCGCAAGTTGCCGGCAAGTTTCGAGCAAAATATCGAGTTTTGGTGGGCTTTTCGGAAAATCCAAGGCTTCTTAGGGACTTTCCCAACACAATCAGTCACCAAGGTTGAAAACGAGCATAAAAGTAGGACAAAACAGACTCGTGGCTACATTTTTGTTGAAAGTTGAGCAGCAGCAGGAGCCCAATCAAAAATTCCGTAGTCATCAGCGACAGTGATTGTAGATTTTTCCTTGAAACTCATTTTATCTCGAGCAAAATGAAAGCAAAATATCGACAGAGAAAGGAAATGCCGAGCAGAATATCGAAAATCTTGCAGCAAAATTGTGCGGCAAAATATCGATGTGGGCAGAGCAAATTTGGGCCATGACTAATGCTGGCAAACAGTGCAAAGTGATCAGAAGAGAGTTGTACCCCAAGCTGGGCTGCGTACAACCCAGTATCTATCATGCACAGAGTGCAAATAATGTGTACGGGTTCATCACGTGATGTGAAGTTCTGCCGTCGCAGACCCCATAGCTGGAGTTGCACACTCTTGGGGTTATGTACTCTTGCTAATACTCATGTGTATGTCCCCTGATGTTCAACAGGGAAATTGAACCTGATGTTCAACAGGGAAATTGAAGCTTGTGCTCACCCCACCTAGAATAGTGTACTCATACCTAATAGCGGTACTGTTCAATTTGATCCTGTTTGCTTATTCACAGTTCAGATGAAGAGGATCCTGATTCTCTCGAGTCGTTCTTGGATCGTATCGATGCATTGCATGCCAAGAAGGACAACATGTCGGTGACGCAGAAAGAGATCTTTCAGCTCCTTACGGACAGAGTGGAAAACGTAGGCTCTGTGTGTGTGTGTGTGTGTGTGTGTGTGTGTGGGTGTGGGTGTGCGTGTGCGTGTGTGTGTGCGTGTGTGTCGGTGTTGGTGTTGGTATTGGTGTGTCCGGGTGTGGTACTTCTTAGCTTTCACTAGATGGTTATAGTCGAGGTCATTCCGTCACAAAGTTCATATACCGGCAGTACAGTACAGTACACTGGCTAAATGATCAAGACCTGTACATACTAGGAGTAGAGCAATCTTTCTGATTGCTTGAAAGTCAAAAGAAATTTCATGAGCAACTTTATGTCCTTTTTGCTTCGGAGTATTTTATCCAAATGATCCTTGACACAGTGATGTGAAGAGTTGATATCATTCTAGTTGTGACTCTTGAGGACTATGAACAGTGAGGGTAAGGCAGGGGCGTAGCAGCCGGTCCGGCTTTGGCCGGACCGCTTTTTTTTTAACACAATGCCAAAAGTGCCCAGAATGCAGGATTTTGCACTCTGATTTCAAAATTTTCTCGGGGAGACCCCGCACCCCACTCCCAGCGGACCAGCTCCAACGGCGCTGCTACGCGCCTGTAGAGTGCAAGTAAGGCACAGTGTGCACAGTGTGCCCACTGCATCAGCATGTCCAGGCTTTGAAGCAGCAGGTGCAGGCAGAGCATCCTGTACACGGTGACATCAGAGTGTCAATTTGAAACAACTTACAAGTAGAGATGATGGTGCACGATACCACCACAGGTGCTAGACCTGCGTAGCGTTGAGTTGCACGTGTACATGGTAGGTTTGCTGTGCAAAGGTGCAGAAACAAGTGAAGTGACGAGGATAGCTATGCCAACATATTAGTATTACGTGTACTACTAATAGCTGTCCGTGTAGGATTGTTCTGTACATTTGTGGGCGCAACCATTGGCATTCAGAACCGTTTTCAAAGTAGAGAGGTTTTGCATTCCGAATTTCGGAATAATTTTCGACTGTGCTTTTCCGAAAAAAGGGCGTTCCGAAAAACGGTATTTTCAGTGTTTTGCATTCCGAAAATCTGATTCGACTTCGTTTCGAAGGGTTGCCATGCAAAACAAAATGGAGAGCGTCGAAGGGGTTGAGCAGGATCAAATCCATGCAGGTCAAACTGAATTTGGGTGCGGTTCGAAGACGAGGACGGATTGATGGTGGACCAAGTGATCCAGCAGCTGAAGACGAGGTTGTCGAACTACTGTCTTGTACTGTCAGTAGGCTCCATGGCAAAGAAAGATAGAGTGTGATGGAGTGTGAGAAGATTAGTCAACATGGCGAGATCAGCGAGAGCAGCAAAACCAGCAAAAATCAAAACTACATACGTGGAAAATTTTCAAATAATCGAGAGCAGCAGAAAGCAAAAATACAAACATGAAAAATACACTTTTTTGTATTCAAATATGCACTCCCAAACATGAAAGAGCCGAAAATCCATTTTCGGAAAGCCATGCACTTTCGCCACCACACTTCCGAAAGTTCGACTACTTTTTCGACTGCAGCCGCCACATTCCGAAAATAATTCCGAAATTCGGAATGCAAAACCTCTCTAGTGACTGCACACCATGGGCCCTAATTATTTCACACTCTTCTTGGTCTTTTTCACCCCTACCAGAGATGTGTCGCGAGGAAACTGCTAGTAGTACTGGTAGTTTTCACAATTTGCTTTGTTGACCTTTTTGCCCATTGTGCTGGAGGACCCGGTGTCCATTTTCTCAAGCCTCAGAAGGGAATGTTACTAGAGGGAAAGAGTGGGCAATTGAAACTGAACAAGATGTGATCTTGCTGCAGTGCTTGTTCTGGGATTGTTTTTTTTCCGGTTCTCCAAAGACTCTGGTGTAAAGCTGAGGCTGGAATAAACACTCCAGGTAGACTTGTGTGCAAATACCTTCCCTGAAGCTCTGTCCTGCCATGGCACGTCACACTACCCAAATGCCACTATCTCACAGCTTTGCATACACACGTTTCAATACTTTAAAAAACGGTTCTAGATTTTTTACTTCAAGTAAGTACATAATTATGCTATGTGCACTACACATGTGGCCTGTTCTAGTTGATTGAGATAGTTTCTTATATTACCTTTTTAGCGTTTGTATTGAACATTGTGTTGTGCCTTTCTTCCTGCTCGCTTTTCTTGCTCAGTCTCCCGAGGATTGCCATCTATTGTGGCGCTATGCACGCGCCCACAAGACGCTCAGCGATCTTGCGAAGGCAGCAGGCGATACAGAGGAGCAGAAGCGACTAATCTATGCAGGTGAGAGCGTGCATGCGAGCGAGAGAGACAGACAGACAGACAGGGAGAGAGAGTGACTGTTACGGTCTCCATTACGGGGATGTGTTGTGACGAATGTGCCATTGGTTTAGGAGTTGTTATGCTCATAATCTTCATTACTTGGTGTCGGTAACTCTGCATAGCAACCCAGATGTATTCGTTTGATGTTGGTCTAATTTTGCAAACTCTCGAATTATCTCATGCAGGTGTTGATCTTGGAAAGCGTGCACTGGCGGTAGACGACAAGCGATGGCAGGCACATCAATGGTGGGTGCTATTTCAAACCTCTTTTTGTTGTTGCCTTTGCTCACGGTATTATATGAGAAAAGTCATATTGCCGTAATAATCCTGAATGTGAACTACTTTGTAGTGCGTATACTCCTGACCACGCCAATGTACAGCTGTAGTCATTGAAATCTAGGAAGAAATGTGTACTACTAATACATGGCCTAAGGCGCTGGCCTTGCAGCCGTGTGTGTGTTTGTGTGTGTATGTGTGTGTGTGTGTGTGTGTGCGCATGTGGTGCATGTGGTGCACAACACATTTATTACGAACCCCCTTTAATCCTTTGAGGCCCATAGTACGGATATATCCGTACCAGTGTACAGTGCATACTTTTCAAAGCGCAACCTGGCGTAACTCGGCCGTCCCTTGACCAAATCGGACAATCGAAAGGGCTATCGACATTAGAATTGTCTCAGCTATCGGCTCGAAAAAACCCGAAAGCGATCCGAGTTCGGAGAGCGGGGATATGAGACTCGAACTAAATTCGCTCAGCAGAGTCAACTCGAGCGCGTGCATTTTGAACTCGTTTTTATGGGTTTTCCCTGACTCGCGGCCCACGCAGCTACAGATAGTTCACATCATCCCAAAAGGCATGTTTCTCAGCTCTCCAGTAAAAAAAATTGAGAGAATTTGAGTTGGGCGCTCGCAATGCTGGCTTTGGAGCGCCGTATCTCGCTGTGGCGCTGGTTCTGTGGATCGAGTGATGTATTGCTGGCTATCGCTGTGTTCCTCTGGCCAAGAGCTTTCCAGAAAGCCCAAGATCACCAAAATCGGCCAAAGGACACCAAAGTTACGACCAGATAAGTACCCGGGCTCGCGTATGCAGTGCATTTCTTGAAATAATTGTGGGCCCTAAAGGGTTAAAAAAAAAAGCAGGCAACAATAGCAAGGTAACCGAAACGGCTGTAGCTGCTGTCCTTTCGCCACACAAAACATCACGGAGCTGATTGGAGCATACGGTAAACAAAGAAATGAAGAGAGGATTGCATGTCACCAGAACCACATCTTCAGGCGTGTTGCAAGTGCTTTAGTGTACACGTCATTACTGCGTGGCCCTATGCTCTGTACACGTCATTACTGCGTGGCCCTATGCTCTGTACACGTCATTACTGCGTGGCCCTATGCTCTGTACACGTCATTACTGCGTGGCCCTATGCTCTGTACACATCATTACTGCGTGGCCCTATGCTCTGTACACATCATTACTGCGTGGCCCTATGCTCTGTACACGTCATTACTGCGTGGCCCTATGCTCTGTACACGTCATTACTGCGTGGCCCTATGCTCTGTACACGTCATTACTGCGTAGCCCTATGCTCTGTAGACGTCATTACTGCGTGGCCCTATGCTCTGTACACGTCATTACTGCGTGGCCCTATGCTCTGTACACGTCATTACTGCGTGGCCCTATGCTCTGTACACGTCATTACTGCGTAGCCCTATGCTCTGTACACGTCCTTACTGCGTGGCCCTATGCTCTGTACACGTCATTACTGCGTGGCCCTATGCTCTGTACACGTCATTACTGCGTGGCCCTATGCTCTGTACACGTCATTACTGCGTGGCCCTATGTTCTGTACACGTCATTACTGCGTGGCCCTATGCTCTGTACACGTCATTACTGCGTGGCCCTATGCTCTGTACACGTCATTACTGCTTGGCCCTATGTTCTGTACACGTCATTACTGCGTGGCCCTATGCTCTGTACACGTCATTACTGCGCGGCCCTATGCTCTGTACACGTCATTACTGCGTGGCCCTATGCTCTGTACATGTCATTACTGCGTGGCCCTATGCTCTGTACACGTCATTACTGCGTGGCCCTATGCTCTGTACACGTCATTACTGCGTGGCCCTATGCTCTGTACACGTCATTACTGCGCGGCCCTATGCTCTGTACACGTCATTACTGCGTGGCCCTATGCTCTGTACACATCATTACTGCGTGGCCCTATGCTCTGTACACGTCATTACTGCGTAGCCCTATGCTCTGTACACGTCATTACTGCGTGGCCCTATGCTCTGTACACGTCATTACTGCGTGGCCCTATGCTCTGTACACGTCATTACTGCGTGGCCCTATGTTCCGACTAAGCATGACTGTACTATTCATTGTGGGGAAGGGTTTGTAACTTCGTATGTATGCTCCTTCATGTGTGAGGAGCATCTCAGCCATGCGTGATGCCCTTGTGTTGCCTGTTTGCGGTGCAGGTATGCCATTCTGGTGGGGCTCACCAGCGCCTTTGAAAGCACGCAGGCGAAAATAGCCAATGGCAAGATCTTCAAGGTATGTGTTCTTGTTCACTTGTTCACCTAGTATACCGTATTTCCCCGAACATGTCAAACCTCTTTGTACTAAACTGCAGGGCCAACAAAGGGGGTGCGACTTACAACCGAGCATCACTCACTACGGAAGTGGATCATATTGAACTGATTTGACAGACCTGAAAATGGGGACGTGACTTACAATCGAGTGCGACTTGCAATCGGGGACGTACGGTCCCTGTATATCCAGGAGATGTGCTCATGCTGCTTGAACCTGAGAAGTACTCATACATGTAGAACCAGGCAAAGATATCCAATGCTCTCAGTGACCCAGACTGCCTGGTCTGTGTGCGACCCTATTTCTTTGCCGCCGAAGGTGTGGAATGTGCAGGGATCAGTCACCATGGTTTCAGAAACCAGCTGCGGTCATAGACCACATGCGTCTGATCCTGGGGGTGGGCACTGAAACCTGGGTCTACCTGTGTGTAGTTTACATACTAAGTACGTCTTCCAGAGTGATCGTAAGCACTGTTCTGATTTGAATCATGTGAACCTGAACTTGCCATGTTTGCTCTCTGACTAATGCGTGAGCTGTTGTTATTGTTCTCCTTTGCACATTGTGTTGTATGTTATCACGGTTGTGTTGTGCAGGAGCACGTGGACAGAGCAATCGAGCTGAATTCTAGTGACTACTCGCTGTACCACCTGTTGGCCCAGTGGTGTTATGCTGTAAGTCATGGGCTGCGTGTTCGATAGACGCTTGTCTTTGTGCTACCCTGCACGAAGACATAGGCATGCAGAGGAATGCAATTACGGTGGAACTACGGTCTAGCAGACCTCCAGGGGACATACCTATCTGTGCTTTGTCGCCGAGGACGTACTGTGTGTCCGAGGTTCAATAGGGAGGTTTAGTCCCACGTAACGGATACGGACGGGTGTCCTTGTCGATTGGACCAGACAGCATCCAGCCAAATCGGGTCTTGACCGCCGTTGGGCCAACTTCTCCCTGACGCACTTCGCTGGTGACGAATGTCCAGTAGAGGTCGAGACCAATCAGTATGTCCACCTCTAGTTCACGACCATCGGCCATGGGGTCAGCAAGCTCCAAGTCCCGGATGTGCGGTGCGGTGACTTGCGACTTCGTGTCTTGCTGCTGCAATGGTGTGGTGACGACTGGCCTCACCATCAGATTGACTGGTACCGCATCGCCATCATCCGTCTTCAGATTGACCTTCACGATGTTGATGTCATGGTCAATAACTTCCTTGCCCCCAAAGGAACAGATTGTTGCAGCCGTTGTGCCGACAGTCTGCAGTTTCATTCTGCTCCTCGTCTTCTCGGTGATGAACGACTGCTGACTGCCCGTGTCGAACATCAGGCGGACACTAGTGGTCGTGTGGTTGTCAGGATTCACGGCTGTCGCTGTAGCAGTTTGCAATAGGATCGGTTCATCCGCAACCGTGACGCAAACATTGGCCGCCTTCTTCACTGGCGTCGCCGGCTTGCTCTCGTTGCAGATGCTGGCGTGGTGCTTTCCGTTGCATCGGTAGCATTTGGCGCTTGAGTGCCAATCCCGCACCATGTGCCCTTTTCGTAGGCAGACGTAGCACCGTCCAGACTTCCTTAGGATGGCACGCCACGCGGACGCATCGGTGACGACTGTGCACCCTGTTGATGGATGGCCTTGACCGCAATATGAGCACGACGGCTGTGTGTTGGCCATCAATGCCGTTTCCGTTGGCATCTCTCGTTTCATCACCGCACGCTTCGGCGTGTTGCCATTGCCTGTGCCAGTTGCATGAGCCGCTCTCTCCCGAGCTTCCAGCTCGTCACTGAAGACATCTAGCAACTTGTCCAGCTTCCACTCTTCACCTTTGACATCCCGGCTAATGGCCAGAGCCATCTCCTGCGGCAGTTTGGCCATGAGGCCGGACGACAAGAGGCTGCCATACGAGTCAGGTGAGACACCCAAGTCCCTCAAGCTGCCTATCTGGCCCTCCACGTTGTCGTACAAGCTGCGGAGACTGCACAGGTCATCACAGTCTCTAACTGACCGCAGATTCGATAGAATATCCATGTGGCGATTAATCAGCAGCTGTTTATTGCCGAAGCGATGCTGAAGCTTCTCAATGGCGGTGGTGTAGTTCGCCGAAGAGGTCGCCAGCATATCGATGGCTCTGGCTGCAGGACCTTCCACCAGCGATCTCAAGTTGGTAAACTTGTCGATGGCTGATATCTTCAGGTTGTTGTGGACCGATGTTGATTATGTGTCCCAGAATGTGGTCCACTCTGCTATGTCCCCACTGAAGGTCTTCAGTTGCAACTTTGGCAGCTGCAGATTGAAGGCAACTGGCTCACTACTGCTGGTGCTGGCTTCATCAGTCACTGTGGCTGGTGCAGGACTTAGTGCAGCCACATTCGGTTCAGGTTCAGGTGCCTGTGCAGGGCTGGCACTACGTTGTTGCAGTACAATACTAGCATCAAGACCTGGTCTTGATTCATGCCTGTCAGCTGGCAACTGCAACTGTACCTCTAGCTGTGGAGTGGCATAACCCTCTGGCGTTGTCATTGATCTGTGACTGCTATCTGATTCTTGCTGACGTGCAGCAACGTAGTCAGGACTAGCAGTTACAGCTTGTGCAAATGTGCGTGACCTGGTGGTGGTACTGCTAGCGCTGGGTGTGGACGCCAACACAGGACTCATCACAACGGAAGCAGGTGCTGCTCTACTACGACTACCACTAGAATTATGCGCTTCTTCTACCTCCACAGCTCTCAACTTCGCAATGCACAACAAAATCTCAGACTGGAGGCTATCAGCATCTTCAATCTCCTTCTCAATCTCATCCTCCTCACCCATTCCGTTCAAAATCACATCATCAAGCTCCCTCAAACGGGTTACCTTCTCCTCCAAAGACATCCTGACGTGCTGTGTCTCCACAAAGTCCAAGGTGTCACCAGCGAGGAGTTCTGCACCTCGTTTGAGCAGACGCGTGGTGGCTCCTCTCTGCCCACCACGTATTCTTTTCTCCTTTCGGAGATCGTTGGCTACAGCGCCGGTGTCCCGGCCACCGTTCGTACTATCATCCATAATGGGATGTCAACTAGAATAGAGCGCTCTGCCGGCCGGACAGAATTTTGCTCTTCAAGAGTTCAAGGTTCAATTCGTTACATAGGCTGATTCACCTATCCGGCTCGAAGGACCATGTTCTTACTTCAATAATCAGCAAGAGGTTCGGTTCATATCGTTAGAATATTACTTGAACTACGTTCTTTGCTCACCATGATCACAGCTGTTACTTCTTCTACAAAGCAATCTAACACTAACTTAGGACTAGCTTGACTGATAACAAGAGCTAGAGAGAGGAAGCGAAAAGACTCAAATGCAAATGTTACAGATCACTACGCACGCTCAGCGCTGTGCTGTGCTGGAGTCTACTGCTAAAACACCACCATGCATGGCATACGTAAAACAAAGGCAATGAAATATGAGCTATGCTAGACAGAGAGGTGTACTACATTCATAGGACTTTGGTTCGGCCTATGCGCAACACATGCGTTCAATGGTGACATCAATACAGAGACCGCAATCTCGCACAACGGGAATGTGGGTGATACACGTAAAGTTCATGCAATGGACCCACGTTTGCAATGTTGTGTTTAGTCACACGGAACAAACAAGAGCATGAAGCGAAAGGCCCAAACCTGGTCAAAGACGAAGCTTAGAAGCTCATCGAATATTTTGATTTCGTGCTTCGGAAACTTCTTCAGCTGAGCACCCTTACAGCTCGCACAATGCGCTCCATTCTGATTTTCACCCACGTTCTGGCGTAACGTGGGTGAGCCTCCATACACGGTATGTCGTGAATCAGAAAACGTCTGTACGCGGGTCACTGATTATCACGTGGTACACACACGTAAAGTACCGACGGATTATGTGGGACTAAACCTCCCTAGTGATTGCTACATATATAGTAGAATGCAGGGTCATCATTGCATTATATCCCTGATACAGTATGTTATATCAACTCATGAATTATGTCTGTTATGTCCAGGGTAGATTATACACTCCCGCTCAATGAAATCCGATCGAGTCACTCAAGTACACGCCGGGCGTTGCGCAGCCCTAGACCTGAAAACACTGGCCTGCGGCATGGCGCAAGGCGCAAACTTGACTCCCGCTATTCGGATTTTATTTAGCAGCACTGTACTTGAGTTCTCTGTAAATGTATGATTTGTACTCAACATTGTGGCCAGAGACTGCACATTATGCAAAGAAAGTTCGTCTTTATTGATGACTGGCTTTTGTTCACATTATTGGAATGTATTTGGGAAAGGGAGATACGTTTCTCCTCGCCAGAAAATGCAGATAATGTCTTGGAACATTCCGAAATGAATTCGAGCTGACAGCTGAGTTCCGCATATTGCCGCATCACAGCATCAAGTGCCATCTTTTTCACCCATCTTTTTGGCCTAGTCTTAAGACGGCGTGGCTATCATCATTTTCTTGGCTTGCAGGTGGCTGGCTTGACGTGGATCGAACGCAACGCAGCCAAGATGTTGTATGGCGAGCCGCCGAAGTCAAGCTATGATGAAGCGTTGTCCAACTTTCGTGAAGTAAGTGATAAGTTACGTTCGTATGCTGTGGCAAGGCAGTAAAGTTGTTGTGCTTGTCTTCTGGTGTTGATCTCGCCATACCTGGTCATCACCTGTGTGTGCGTGCGTGTGTGTACGTACGTTAGGAATCCAAGAATGGATGTCACTGCAGTTATCTGAATTTCTCTCTCTCTCTCTCTCTCTCTCTCTCCCTCTCCCTCTCTCTCTCTCCCTCTCTCTCTCTCTCTCTCTCTCTCTCTCTCTCTCTCTCTCTCTCTCTCTCTCTCTCTCTCTCTCTCTCTCTCTCTCTCTCTCTCTTTCTCTAATTAGGCTGAGCGACTTTACACAGGCAAATGGAAAAACAACAAACTGATGATTGCAAAGGTAAGACTACTTTTGCCTTTCCTATTTTCTCTCTGAATATATACTTTTGCCTACTTTTCTTCTTGCTTTGCTATTACACGAACAGGTGCACTGTGTGTGAACAGGTGCACTGTGTGTGAACAGGTGCACTGTGTGTGAACAGGTGCACTGTGTGTGAACAGGTGCACTGTGTGTGAACAGGTGCACTGTGTGTGAACAGGTGCACTGTGTGTGAACAGGTGCACTGTGTGTGAACAGGTGCACTGTGTGTGAACAGGTGCACTGTGTGTGAACAGGTGCACTGTGTGTGAACAGGTGCACTGTGTGTGAACAGGTGCACTGTGTGTGAACAGGTGCACTGTGTGTGAACAGGTGCACTGTGTGTGAACAGGTGCACTGTGTGTGAACAGGTGCACTGTGTGTGAACAGGTGCACTGTGTGTGAACAGGTGCACTGTGTGTGAACAGGTGCACTGTGTGTGAACAGGTGCACTGTGTGTGAACAGGTGCACTGTTTTGTAGATAGGTGTAGACGTACGTGAGCCTCCAAATTAATGTCAAAGGACAGCAGCAGCCTGCTTCATTGTATTTGAGCTCGAGGTAGCATAAGTAGGACGTGGTTGCGTTGGGGTCTGCCATCCCTAGGACTCTGGGCTTTGACAGACTCAGAAAGCAACCACAAATGAGCATGGTGTTTGGTACATGTGTTCAGATGCAGAACAGTTCTACCAACATATAGCTACCACGTTGCCGACATTCCACTAGTGTGTCCACATTTCTCATTCTCATAGTTTTGTTGTGCTACTTCAAGTACAGTGTAGTCAATGTAGTAACAAAGTCAAAAGAATTTGCTGTCTTGTAGGAGTATTTTCTTTTTCTTCTTTTTTTAATTGGCAGAGGAAGTTGCCCACTAATGGCTAGCTGCTTGGTCCATATGTATCACTATCTGCTGTTTGTTTGTTTGCTTGTTTGTTGTTGTTGTTGTTGTTGTTGTTGTTGTTGTTGTTGTTGTTGTTGTTGTTGTTGTTCTTCTTGTTCTTGTTCTTGTTCTTGTTCTTGTTCTTGTTCTTGTTCTTGTTCTTGTAATGTTGTTGTTGTTCTTGTAATAATGGTGTTGTTGCTGCTCCTGTTGTGCTCTTTTTTTTCCCAGTGTTTCTATGGCATGAGTAATTATGCTGAGACACGCCAATGGCTAGAGGAAGCCAAGGAGACACCCATTGTCACTGAAGAGGTCAGTTCTGTTCCTCACTATGGCTGTTGATCTTATAGGTCACACAATAATTATCAAAGAAGAAAACACAAGGAAGCGAGTTATGAAGCAACTGTCCACGACTGTAACACGATAATAAGCAGTCAGAAAGTGCGATAGCAGGGCACAACACTGACAGGCTACTAGGTCTCAGATCGTTGAATGTCTCAGTAGCCCGTCAGTTTTGTGCCCTGTTATCGCACTTTCTGACTGCTTATTATCTTGTTACAGTCGTGGATAGTTGCTTCATAACTCGTATCCTTGTGTTTTCTTCTTCTTTTTTACATGTTTTACTGGCTCATTATCCGAGTTAACCCTTTCCCATCCGACCAAAATTCCCCAGCAGTCCCAAATGCAATAATTCTCACCTTATTCTGAGAATATCTTCGGTTCTAATCAACCAATTTTCACAATCTTGGGCATTCTGGAAAGCTCTCCAAGAGCTGCGTACATTGAGCTCAAACAGGACACTACCGAGATCACATATCCAGCGCAAGGGAGCTTCAAATACACCCCATCGCTGGATATACGAGGAAATTCTTTCCTCGCAAGCCATTTCTCGCTCCTTCATCGTAAACATTCCAAATTGTTTGCTTGAGTTTCTTTTCATGCTGCCCATGCACTCAAAGCATGCCAAAGTGACTCAGCATGTCAGGAGAGGGGAAATTCCCCGCTCAAGGTCAGTCACTCGGAAAGAAATTCGACTTTTGCCGTGGCTGAAATGTCGAGCGTAATATCTTTGGAATGCGACACCTCAGCCCTTCACCGATTGATGCAATGGAACGCTGAGTCCTTCGGCTTCTTCCTAGATACTTAGTTGTTTTAATTCCGTCGCGAATGGATCGAGTTGCAAATGTTTTAGTGTATGCATGTCCATCGATCTCTAGAGATCGATTCAAGTACGCACAGATGGTAAAGGGTTAAATAATAATTATCACGATGATTTTCTCCATCTCCGCACAGCTCACTGGTATGACCTTGTTAGGCCTCATGACTGGCCCAACCGATCGCAATCAGGTCTGGTGAAAAAGCAAAGCATTTTTAAATCTGCTCAAAGCGCCAAAAGTCAGAATCCTCTAACTGCAAGAAACACAACGAGCTTTGCACTTGGGCAGTTACCTTTGATGCTAATAGGCGATTCACACGACGCGCAAACTCACGTGTACTGCGCTGTATCCGTAGAGATATACTCGTGTGACCAAAACGCGAGTAAAATCTTTTTTCTCTTGCGTGTGAGCCATGTGCCCACGTTTCTGCTTTGCGCGTGTGTAAAAACCAGTGAAAGTACTCGAGTATGGTACTCGAGTTACTTGAGTATGCTCGAGTACACAGACGCATGCACGGTTCTGGTGTTCGTGTGAATCCGATGGGCTGCTTATCCACTTGTACACAAACGTGTTATTGTGCCTTTTACACGTTGTGCAAATCGCCTATTACCGGAAAGAGTGCTCAATGAAGGCGAGTGGTCATAAATCTCCATGACGTTTAACATTTTGTATCTGTTTCATGTGCAAAATTGCCGTGTCACTACTTGGACAGGCTGATTGAGACCATATAAATGTAGACAGTGTATATTGCAGTTTAAAAACGTACACAGACACAGCAAGAGCATACTCGCAGATCAATGGCTCCGTCTCCCCGTCCCTCATTGTGTATTCAAGCACTGGTTGATGTGCGGCTGAGGCTAGCCCATCGATTTGTGCTTTTGGTAAACATTACAAACTAGTGGTGCGCCTTTGGCAATGTTTGAAGAGCTGTTGATTGCTTTCTGCGGGAGAGCTCTGTCAATTGGGAAGTCAGCAAGAAACATGGGAGCTCTACTATGTGGTGAGAAATCAATAATGGATAAACACTTCCCCAAGATATGTTACAGTTAGGCAAGTGGGTCTTCTGTACTTGGTAGTGGGCACATTGTTATGATTCAATTATGATACAGCGTATCAGGGGCACATAGCAAAGAGTGTGCACCTCAACGACCACTCATGGCGGACAATTTTCATCATCCGTCTTTCTTGGCCATATGGCTCACTGTTTTTTGTTTACTCGAAGCCACAAACCCAAGAACAGATACGCATGGCGCAGAGGCTTTTGCTGAGAAGAGGGATTGCAGAAAGCAGAGAGCAACCAACGTCCCGGATATAAGTATACACGTAAATACTCTTCTGGGGCCCACAGTTGGTTTATGTGAGTGGTTTTCATGATGATGCCAGTGGTCCTAGTATGGTTTGACCATCTCGTGTTCACTCCCGAATGCTGAAGCAGGGGCATAGATGCCAGGCTGGCTGATCATGCCGTACCAGGACTGCTTTTCACTCTCAACCAGCCAGTGTGACTGTCGTGGTAGCAAGGAAGCCGTAGTAGGGTGTGGACATGTATCAATTATTCGAAAGGCATGCCTTTGCACTGTACTGGTCGATCCATATTCAGTTGGCCAGACCCCAGAGCTGTCAGTATTACGCTCTTGTTCGGAATGTGGAGCAGTGGTGTTGTGTTGGTGGAACTAAAGAATGGCAGTGGGTGTTTGTTGTGTCACCTGCTTTCCCATCGGACTCTTTCCCTTTGACATCAGCAGAACACTCCCCCTATACATCGGGGTGTTGCTCGATTAGTGTTCTTGTGTGGGTGGTGTGAGTTGTGGGTTGGTATTACGGCTTGCATGGCTTGCACGGCTGCCGTTCACAGTTTTCCTACTCCTACACATGCACACAGGTGAGGAGAGTGCCTAAACCTGGGGAGCTTGGGCCTGCTAAGTCATAAACAACACGCCGCTTGGAGGAAGGCTTGTTGACTAAATGGCCTGTTTAAACATGATGTTGTGCTTGTGGAATTGCGAGAGAGTTTTTCATGTTTTTCGTGACGGGGAGCCACCACATTTCATGTCCAGCCTGATCACTTCACCCTGCTTACCTCGATTAGGCTGATCTTGGACACGTGTCTCTTGCCTCTTCGCTTCTGCCCGTTGCTGACAGGATCGGACGAGCCAGGTGGAAATCGAGGAACTGCTGCTGAAGGTGTGATGGACACAGACGTGTATTTTCAGACTGCGCCAAGACCAATGGAAGATGTAAATTTAACACGGCGTCAGAGCGTGAGGTGCCTGGAGACAATGGTACCATGTTGTGTATGTTGACAACATACAATAATTGTATTTACTTCAAGTATGGTACACCCTACCTCAACTGACTCTACTGATAGTCTCGAAATCTTCGTTGATAGACCTGGAGAACTTGCTCTGGCATATGTGTGTCACAGTAGTGTATTTTGCTATACAGCCCCGAGCACACAACAGCCCCGAGCACACAACATACCGAGGATACATTTACGTAGAAGAAGAAGAAGAAGAAGAAGAAGAAGAAGAAGAAGAAGAAGAAGAAGAGAGGGTATATTCATAGATTTTGTTTTTCAATTGATGCACTCGCTCCTGACCTGTTGCACGTAGATGTGGGGACCTTACCGACTTGAGTCTGATCCGATTTGAACGCTCCTAGCGTACCTTGCTGTCGAAAGTACCCAGTCCCTTACGTGTGTGAGCCTGATTTTGCTTTCCGCCCCTGCTGCTGGGTAAGCCATGCAATTTGTTTGCTGCATAATGTGTACATTGGAACTTCACCCGTTTTGCCGCTATCGCTAGGCGTCACCCTGGCATGTACGATGTGCAAGTGTGCCACTTCACTGTGACGTGTTCTCACCGAGTTTGTCCGACCAACGGCTTGAACTTCGATTTTTTAAAGTTTCTGTATTTCCCAATTCCTGTACCACTGTCGATTGTTGAGTTTAAGTGGATTTTACCAGCTCTTTTATTAATACATACCCTATTACTTACTTTCTTAGGAACATGCATTGTGGAGCGGGCTGTCTGGTACAGTCTTGCATCACTGGAGATGTACTGGGTGTTCTGTGGTGCGTCTATTGGCAGGTTGTCGAGAGAACATGTGTGTGTGTGTGTGTGTGTGTGTGTGTGTGTGTGTGTGTGTGTGTGTGTGTATGTGCGCGTGTGCGTGTGTGTGTGTGTGTGTGTGTGTGTGTGTGTGATATGTCCTTCTAGTGTTGGCATGTTGTAAATGTAAAGTGCTGTCGTGATTACCGGTACGCGGGTCTGACCAAGCAAATCGGGATCTGTCCAGTGATGGTGTTCTTCATCTTTCTATCTCTCTGCTTTAAAAACAATCTAAACCGGGTAGAAGTACTACATGTACCGGGTACTCTGACAATCCCGAGGAGGCATGTGTGGCTTACCCACCTCTGTTGGGCTGTCGAAGATTAGACACTGGTAGGATTGCAGGGTTTGGTGGAGGTCACACTCGTCTTTGCTGTCTTTCCAGCGTCCCTTTGATGCGATGAAGTTGTGTGTAGAGCCTATTTGAGAATCCTTGTTGAGTGCACACAATGCCCGGTCCTATAATTTGATGGTACGTGGTGCTGAAAACTGTAATCAACATCATCTTTGCTGCATTTCGTCACAGTTTGAAGAGCGAGACAAGCATTGTGCAGTGGTCCCTTTTTAATCCGGCGCCAGGCATTTGTGCTAAGGAAATTCTGCTGGATTAGGGAGGCCGGTGCTGGATTAGAACATCTGACTCACTGCTGCAATGTGCATGAAGAGGACATTTTCGTTGGTGAACATTATGCTGGTTTATACTTTATAATTATAGCGGGTGCCGGTTGATATTGATAAAGTGCTGAGGGACGATTGTACGGACCAGTGCGGTGGTATGCTCAACCGTCTAATTGCTGCCGTACAGATTTGTGTGCTTTGGCCAATGTGGCAATGAAAGATAAGGGGGGGGGGGGGGGGGGGCATTATTAGCTGAGGCCATGTAAGTCGGTAATTATCATTGTTGGAGAGGATATTCTTGGATAACCACACGTGGATTGCCGGATTAGCGTATGACGTCCCCTTTCGCTCGTCTATTTTTGGCTCCGTATCCTTACTTGCCGCCATGATCACTTCCTATCATCAACACGTTCTTCATGTTTGTGTTCATTGCTTGCGACTGGTGCACCTACATGTATACTGAATGTGGGTCTGTGTGTGGTACGATCATCAGACATCAGGAGTGCTCGAGCTCGCTGGGAGAGTACTCCTCTTGGTAGTCACAGGCTTACACAATCATACGACTTGTATTCTGGATTCCACATTACCTTCCTGTTTCTGATAACTAAGATACTTATGGGCTTTTGTATGGCCTCGGGCATGCATCGCAGTCATATTAGACTGTTTACCGGGCAAAATAAATTAGCCTAATGAAGTCTGAAGACGGCCTCACTTGGACACCCGGCCTCAGAAAGCTGTGGGATGCAACACTTGGTGGTCTCTGTTTTGGTCAGGTTCAGGGCAGCTGAGAGCAGCGGGCGGACCATTCTGCACGGTGGCATTTGTCTCAATTAGTTAGTTTAGTTGCTCAGGATGAGTTTGTCTCAAGTAGTCTAGTACAGTGTACAGTGTAGTACTGTATGCTGTCTGACACAGCCATTCACTTCCAGCTAGCTAGTTCAGTGGGTAGTGCAAGAGTCTGAGTACATCAGTCATGTACATGTATATCAAAATAATCAATGCTTATGTTTCTAACAACGCACTCGTCCTACACTGTGTTACTGAGTGCAACGACTAATGAGGAAGGAGTTCTGGCAGTTATCTGAGTTCTGGCAGTTATCACTGACTATCACTGACTATGCTAGTAGTAGTCAGCGTAGAGCCTCTTGTCTTGACAACTCGATCTTGAAGCCGCGAAGTAGTTTTCAGAACAGAATGGTGCATATCAACAGAAAAGGGTGATTTGTACATAAAAGTCATTGATGACGTGACGGTTTCTAGAAGAAGCACATTTTGTACTCAGTATTGTACAATACAAAGTAGATGTGTGTGTGTGTGTGTGTGTGTGTGTGTGCGTGCGTGCGTGCGTGTGTGTGTTTTTACTACAAAGCACTGGCCAGCAACATAAAAAGGGGAGGTAGACAAAATTGGACAAGCGAACATTGACAACACAGAGGAGCCTGGCATGCGTGCCGATGAGGTAGGTCAACCTCCCCCGACCTAGTGGTCTCGGGTTCATCAGTTGGTCTACGCATCAGGAAGGGGAAATGGACAGAGAACTGGAGAATGAGCATGAGGAGCTTCCCAGGAGAGGAAGAGTGAGAGTGAGAGAGAGAGAGAGAGAGAGAGAGAGAGAGAGTGAGAGAGAGAGAGAGAGAGAGAGAGAGAGTGAGAGAGAGAGAGAGAGAGAGAGAGAGAGAGAGAGAGAGAGAGAGAGAGAGAGAGAGAGAGAGAGAGAGAGAGAGAGAGAGAGAGAGAGAGAAACGGAAAATGATAATAATAGAGACAACCGGTTATTCTCAGTGCTGGTGGACGTCAGTGGCCCATAGCCAATTCGTCTGGCGGAGGTGATGGTAGGCCTTGGTCTTGAATGTCGGTAATTTCTTGAGAGTTGGACGATCGGCGAGGATTGGGGCAGGCAGTGTGTTCCAGCTCTCCAGGACAAAGTATGGGAAGGAGCGGCGGATGAACTCTGGACTGGAGGCTGGCAGAGGAGTTGTGAGTTGAAAAGAGTGGCCACCGAGGGACTGGCGGTGCCGGCGCGTCCGGGGTGCAGCGTTGAAGTGTGTGTGTGTGTGTGTGTGTGTGCGTGTGTGTGTGTGTGTGTGTGTGTGTGTGTGTGTGTGTGTGTGTGTGCGCGCGTGTGTTTGGGTGAGGAGGAAGTGAGGAAAGAGATGAAGGGAATCCAGCGTGATACTTGGTCGTTGAAGCTATTTTTGAGACATTCCAGCTCTACACCCGATGTTAACAAGAGTGCACGGGTTATGGGTTATGGACTCTTCATATCACTAATCTGTCACAGCACAAGACAAGGGTTGCTGTTCCTTCTTCTTTCGAATTGTAGGGGTATAGCGCTAGCAATCTACATGTACATGTATGAAGGATATTCTCACTTCAACTGACTTGTCCATAGCAATTAATGAATGACTTCAATGTGAAAATTGCGACTAGTGACTTCAAGTTCAAGTGTGACAATGAAATGCTGTCATGCTAATGTGCGTGGCTGTAAAGTTCAGAGCATGCACAGCTCTTGCCCTGGACAAATGCACAGTCCTTTGTAGCTCGCCTGGCCCTAACTAAGGCCTATATTAGAATAGGCCTAACTTAGCCTAATAAGCATCTCCGCAGAATAGTCTTCTCAAGGCCAAGGATGATGGTCGCAAGATGGCCTGCCAAGGATGATGGTCGCAAGATGGCCTGCCATGGATGATGGATATGCCAGTACAATCATGTACATGTACTCAGTACCCAGATGTACATCTACAATGTAGCCTACTATTGTAGGTAAAAATAACTTTCAGAAAAGGCTTGCTGGATCCTAAGGATGAGTGTACTGTACCTGTCATGGCAGATGAACTTTTCGAGAGGGTGTGAAGTGGGTCCTTTGTATGACAGGGTCACCGGCATTGATGCCCTGTCTTGTTTTGGCACGTCTACGACAGTACTCAGTAGTAACAACTCTCAACACAACAACAGGGACTGGTGTCTGGTGAAAGGCTGAATCCAGTTTCAGATTTCAACCCACCCATTGCCGCAGATCAGTTTCACTGCTTCACCTGTCGCATGGACCTTCTCTCCCGTTCCAGCTCCTCAGTATCGGACCAACTAACTACTTCAAAGACATGGACATGGACATGTACACGCAATCAACGTCCAGGACGTCTAGATTATGAATTGAAGGCTGCAGCTAGAATAGCGGGGTATCGAGACTGGCGGTGTCTAATAATGAAGATAAACTGATAGCGCTCTCTTGGAATGCAATGTTAGTGGAATTGTAGGTGAGACACGAGCGAGTGGCACTTTATCACCAGTGATCACGGCCTCATACTCATAGACACACACGTATCAGCTGGCGGTAGGTAAAAGCATCTAGAACACATGGTGAGAAGGGCGGATGGGCGGATCATAGATGATGGTGAAATATGACCCTAAGACAAGTGACAGTGTCTGCACCTACTGGAGCATGACAATGTAGCTACAGTACCAGCCGGTCCAGTGTCCCTCTTTTCGGTGTGTAGACTCTTATGCTTGACACAGGCAGGCAAAAAAACAAAAAAGTACCTGCCCCCAGGCCCCCCACCCTATGCGATCATGTCATTGCGATAATTATGCCAGCTGGTGTATGGCAGATGCACAGTCCAGTGGCGTAACCATGGTGACCATCGACACCTACACTCACTCTTTGGAATTCCCTTCCCAGTGATATTCGCCTCCACAGTGCGGCTTTTGCCTTTAAACTGGCTCTGAACAGAATTATTGTAATTTGTAACCAGTGTTAATTAATCGCGCTCCTTCCTTGCTCGGTATCCCTACACATTACTGCATGTTTTCTCTGTGTGTTCTTCACTGCATGCTTACACATACACACACCCATTTGAATTATATACATACTTTATGCTTTGGAATTATGATTCTTTTTAATATTTCCTTCTCTCATAATATTATATTCGTTCTTAGCAGGAACCGGCGGTTTTCCTCTGGTGAGAAGGTAGAATTGCCTGTGCTCTAAACGAATTCAAATAAAAGAAACAACAACAACAACAACAACAACAACAACAACAACAACAACAACAACAACAACAACAACAACAACAACAACAACAACAACAACAACAACAACAACAACAACAACAACAACAACAACAACAACAACAACACTGTACAGTAGCTACATGTACATGTAGTACCCTGGCCTAGCCCAGGCTATGACTTGATTAGCAGCAGCATTGCCATTGGGCCTCACTGCCTCACTGCCTCACTGGGCGATCTGGCAATCAGTCTACTCCACAGTGGAGATGGTATTCGTGGAAGGACGTTCAACAGTCAACTAAAGTGGAAGGACGTTT